CCCTCCACCCCAACCATCCCACATCCTCATTCATGTGGCGAACCGTTCATGGAGGCCGTGTGCATCTGTTCGAGGATAACGTCCACTTTACCGATCAACTGCATCCTTCGTTCTTCAGGTGGTTGACCAGCGTAGTACGGTCTGTCGAGTCGCAGTTCGCCGAGTCCTCGCTCCAACGCAAACCCTCCGTGGCTGTTGCCAGCGCTGGACGTTGAAGAGGTTGATACATTGGAGGTAGCTCCAAAGGAATTGAAGGAGGGAGTCGAATGGCTCGACTCTGAGCCACTTCCACGTGTGGACTTGTTGGAACTATATGAGTGCGGTATCAGCCCCTTGTGAACATGTCTACACCTCCCTTCTTCTTTTTCTTCTCCTTCGAGGTCGAGGAGGAGCATTCCACCGGGCGCTGCATCGCGGGGGCTATTGTGCAATACCACCAAACCCTCCTAGTTTCAGGTGTTTTGCATATAGCTTGGCGGCAAAGATGGGCCGGGTGAGTCCTTCGCGGTCAACTTGCAGAAGATGACTCGAAGTTGACTGGCACCGTTTCCCACCTTATCCCTCTTGACTTCCAGTCTTGAGAGCTACGATGTTTGGCAACGAGACTTGTTTGCAAGAAAACTTGTGAAACAGATGCACACACCTCATGGATGCGGTTGTCGGCGGCGTTGTTCTTTTTGTGTGGTTGGTTAGAAGGAAGTTGGATTCACACTGGCGCAGTGGGTGCCTGTTAGATGACAGAGGGCTTTTCACAGAATAAAATACGGCAGATGAGTATGACAAAATCGAGAATCGAGAATCGCTTGCCGAGATTCTTTTCTGAGGGCTAACAGAGATCAACTATGAGGAGGAGGGTGGTGATGTTGGAGGGTGCCGTGCTCGCAAAAAATCGCAGTCTGCAGTGTCCGGGTGGCCGTGTTAGGTATGTTGCAACGGTACGGTTGAGATTCGGCGACGCAGGAGGAAGCAGCAACAGAGCCGGGGGGCAGCGCAGGGCCGTCAGGGCGTACGTAGTCCTTATTTTTCGACAGCCTATCGCCCACCCGTTCGTTCGAGTTCTAGTATAAAGGAGCGGGATTAGGAGTCAGAGTAGCAGTATTTCCAAATGACCTGCATATTTACACCGATCGGTACCAGTATTCCGTGTCGATTCTTGCAGGTTCCTGTGCGTAGTTTGGCGTGGGCCAAGGTGTTATGACAGGGTATTGATCCCACTCCTCGCGACCCCGCGGTCGATGACTGTCGGGATGGATTTTTGGGTCTGACGATCACGATCATGCGGCTTACTAGGCTCTCGTTGATTGATTGATCGAGGACTGACGCGGCCACTGGGGGGTCAATTGGGACTTTTGCATTCTACTACGAGTACAACTGTAGATGGCACATACATACCTACCTAGGTACCTAAGGTGACTACATAACTTAGTGTTGGGTCCTCCATACCCGGCCCTTGACTACAAAAGTGCATTTCAAGTTAGTGACACAGGCCTACGTGCTGGAGTTCACTGGGAGTAGTTTTGTTGACACCTTTGGTTCAATATAGGCTGATTATCTAGGTACCTATGGAGTGGGAGTTCTTGTTGACGGATCGACCACTGGCACGGGTGACCGACGAGGAAGGGCAAGAAAGAGTCAGCCACGGGGCGGTAGGTTCTGTTGGAGTCATACCTTACCTAGGTACCTAACATACCTAGGTCCCTTGGGTTCCTACCTGCGGTATTGTTACTAGTGCCTGGCAATTCATAACTATCACCCATAGGGTGCCCGCGGGCTTCATCTCACAGTTGCGCGTTGAAAAGAACTTTTGTATAGACATACGTCAGCGCCCACTATCATACCGTAAGGATGGGGCAGAGTGGGACAATGGGTTGAAGAATTAAGGTACGGAGGACATAGCTTCCGTGTGGTCGCACAGACACGAACGGGGATGAAGATTTGACGGGTGCAGATCACAGCGATGCGATGGCAGATGGCAGATTCCAGATGGCAGAGGGCCCAGGCGGCAGGGAGGGTTCTTCGGGTAAAGGTGCCTAACGGCCGAGCCAGTCCACTGCCCACTGCCCGCTGCCCGCTGCCCGCTGCCCGTCCACCAGCCCAGGTACGGGGTACATACTAGACCTACTAGACACGCGTAAGGAATATTCGTGAGCATGCCTCCAAACATGCCGTACAATAATACTACTATTAATAAGTAGGTACAAACTGAAGTACCGGGGCATACCGCCAATTATTAATATACAAACTCCCGCCATTCTTGACCAAAATAATATAGATCCTTTCTCGTCGGCCAGAGTCCTGACAAGGAAGTACAGTATTAAGGTGGATATCCGTATGGGGAGCCGAACAGGCCAAGTAGTTCTGCTGGTTAAACAGCTAGTTCCTAAACAGTCTTTCCAGTCTTGCTTGATACAACAACTAATTAGTACAATGCTGTGCCTCCCCTCGATATCACACTGGCGAGTCATAACAATACCTACCTATTACCCAAGGTAAGTGCTGTCCTGGCACACTACCGCTACAAGCCTACACATAGACTTACAGAGGGCAGTCTTGCGCATATGAAGCACATCCACTCCTCTATAATAGTGCATTTTCACTTGACTTGGAAAACAGAAATCAGATACAAGTAACTCTAGAAGGCACCTATAGAAATACTTAGGAGGTAATGAAGCTCGCCTTCCTTTAGGAGTTTGTACAGCCACTGGCAGGCCCCTAAGACCTGCCCCTGCCGTGTCGACCTCCTCCGGGCTTGGCATGGTAGACCGCCGCGGCGGGACAGTTCGACTCCCTCTCCTACGGAGTACAGGCCTTGAATCCAACCCAGTATCGTCCGAGTCCATTTCAAGACGCACTGCAGTTCCTGCTTGACGCCACCGCGCGCTCGAAAATCCCTGTGTGCACAGCATGCCTACGCGCACCGGTGTCAACCCCACACCGACACCGCAGCCGGCTCTATGTCCTTAACCCCCCCATCCGTCCTGCATGCCGGCGAAGACCTCGACCTCGACCTCGACCTCGACCTCGATCTCGATTTGACCATCCGCTTCTCCGCCTCGCTCCCAGACCTCCTCCTCACCATCCCCGGATCACTCAATGCCAACACCGCGACTCTCAAGCAGCTGATCCGCTCGCGGATCCCCCATGAATACGCCGACCGTCGCATCCGTCTGATCTATGCCGGAAAGGCACTGGTCGACGATGTTCCGCTTACGGTGTCGCTCAAACGAAACTTGAGCAAACCGCCTTCGCGGATAAGCACGCCAGGGCCGTATGACGAGTCGAACGGCGGGGGCGGAAGAAGACTACCTTCCGGAGCACAAAGCAAGGCCAACAATGGCAATGGAAAGGGGAAAGGCAAATCGGCCGTTCGCGACCCGCCGGCCCAGTCGCGCATCTACATCCATTGCTCGATCGGAGACATTGTGCTCTCGCCTGCCGAGCTGGCCGCGGAAGCCGCATGTGCTGAGAAGAGTGCGTCGCCAGGGGACGAGGGCGAGCATGACAAGGCCAACGCGACTGCTGCATCGGCCGCGCCCCAAGCGTCTACCACCCCTGCCCCCCGAGGGTTTGATCGGCTGGTGAACGCCGGCTTTACACCCGCTGAGATCCAGTCTCTACGTCTCCAGTTCCTGGCCATCCAGGCGCACACGCATACTCCGGACAACATGCCGTCCCCCAGCACGCTGCGCGACTTGGAGGATCGCTGGCTCGACGGTTCGAACGCCGCCGGGGGAGATCAGACTGCACTGGGCGCCGCCGGAGCTGCCGGGACTGACGGCCTTTCAGGCGACGATGACACGCAAGCAGGTGCGTTGGACGACATGATCTGGGGCACCGCAATGGGCTTCTTTTGGCCCATCGGCTGTCTTATGTGGGGTGTGCGTGAGGAAGGCATCTGGAGCCAGCGTCGCAAAATGGCCGTCGTGGTCGGGTTTATGTTGAATATTGGATTGGGCATCATCAGGTATACAGGATAGTAGATTTTAAACCGGTCTAGTTCTTTGTACAAGAATCATGCCTTGTCCATGCAACCCAATACCGCTGGGAGATGTCTCTCGTTTGAGGATAACGATTTTGCAGCATCCACCATACGCCGCCAACGCCCTTCTTCCAGTACCAGGACAGCAAATACCAACAAGGCATGCACGCTTCTAACACCGCTTCACTTGAACTTGCTATAGATAACGCCGATGATGAGAAGCACGAGAACTGTAATTATCGCAATGGTGATTACCCGATTGGTAGCCATCCTAGCATTCCTCCACGTTAGCATAATGCACATTAGAAGCAGACGAGTACTGCGTTCCCCCTCGTCAACCTAGAGGCGGGGACTCTGGGCAGGAATAAAAAGAGATGGATGGAATGAAATGGGCCTCACCTACGCGCCATCCCCCTCAACGTCTTGACGCTCCTGTCCACGTAACCCTCACTCTGCAGCAGATTGCGATGTGTGTTTTCAATGACATTCCGCTGCTGGTGTAGATCCGCTAGGGTCGAAGCACCGATCTGTTCCGTTTCCAGCGCGATCCGCTGCGACTCCCTTAGCCTGTCACTGCTGCGGCCTAATCGTTCAGTCCCCGATAACAACTGCTGGCGCTGCTCGAGTTGCAAATCCCGGGGACCGGCTTCTGGGTCGTCGGTGTATCTGTCGCCAAAGAGCTGTTTGCGGTCCGAATCGGCTAGCGACTTTAATTTGCGCTTCAAGCCGTCTACGTCGCTCTGGTGGTTTCGGAACCGTGAGTTGACCTTGGATCTCGCCGAGGTCGGAATGTTGGATTTTTCCAGGTTCATTTGGTCCAGCTATAGTCCAGACGGTCAGTAATGCTGCACCGGAAAAATAAAAACGGCAGGTGAGAGTCTCTGCGTGCCCACGTACAAGCTCTTTCCCCTCTTCAAGCGCCCTCTCTGCGCCGCGGATGGCTGCTTTGCGCTCTTCGCCTGCCAGCTCGGGAATCTGGTCGAGTTTCTGGTTGATGTCGGCCTCGATCAGTTTCAGCTCGGCCTCATAGGTGCTGAACAGTTCGGAGCCGGCGTCGGTGTCGAGCGGGTTCGCCATTGTGCAGGGCGGCTGCCGGTGATCGATTCAGTGGCGCCTACCGGATGTTGAGCGGCTTACGGATACTGAATAGGAGGTTAGAAGGTGACAAGGGATTGATGACGCGGAACAAGTTATGCCGGAGTTGTTCTATAGACTCGGCCGCAGTTGGTAGGTGATGCACGTCGATATGAAATCCAATTCGCAACCCGAGTGGAATGAGTGGTGGATAGACGGCGATGTCCTTTTGGAAGGGAACATGTTGGAACATGCCGCAGGCTGACTTCAACGGTCCATTGTGGCACAAACCCTTGCCGCTATGAGTTTCCCAGCCACCATAGCCACTTAGACAGCCATAAACGGCTAGTGTCCCGGTACATTATGCCCGCCGCTTGTAGGATCCACAACGATTGGGTCATAGCCATACTACGGACTCTATGTCAACGGCACAAATGAGAGATCTGCTTGCACGGTCTCTGTCAGGAGGAGAGCCGGTTACGAGCGAGACAGCGAAATCTCGGAATAGCTGCACTGTGCGAGCATTGCTTCCTCTTGCCGGCGTCTGGACTTGTTCATCTAGACCAACGCAAAAATGGAAAAGCGAGTGGCCATCGTCGGAAGCGGATGTGGGCGCTGAGGACCAGTACCGATCATGAATTCACTTATTCGAATCCAACTTGTTGACGCTGTGGTGAAGGATTTCCCTAGAGACAAGATCCGTCTTGTATGCAAAATCACTGCCGTAACCCTCACCGAGGCAGATGCCGTAAGGCTAACAGCTAATGGCCGAGACCAGGAGTTCGACCACGTTATTCTGGCCACCCATGCGAATCAGGCTTTAGAGATCCTATGGCTTGTAACGGGCATCGACGAAGCCGAAATCCTGAGTGTGTTCCATACCAGTAGGAATGTTGCGGTTTTGCAGTCGGACGTCTCATTGATGCCGAAGAGGCGGGTGGCATGGTCGTCACGGAACTGTATCATATAATTTCCGTTCCCCCAAAGAAGAGCGGGAACATCTCCGAAGTTTGCGTGATCTATTAGATGAACTCGCTCCAGCATATTCCGGAAGACAAGTTCGGTCCGGTTCTGGTCACGCTGAATTCTCTGGCAATGCCAGATCCCGGCTTGTTTAGGGTATCTGGGAGTACTGTCATCCACAACATAGTGCTGTTGCGATCGCATCTCAGCAACTTTTGCCAAGGTCCAGAATACCAGAAACATTAGCTACTGCGGCGCATGGACCAGATACGGCTTCCACGAAGATGGTTTCAGTAGCGGATTGTCCGTTGCGGTGAACCATCTGAGAGCCACGCTACCATTCGAATTTGTCGACTCGATAATCTCCCACAGGATAGAGCCGTCATTGACCATGAAAGATCATTTGCTGAGGCTGGTCATCCTGATTGTGCAGATAGTGGTATTCGTGTTTAGAATGGCCTGGGGCAGACTGATGACGGCCGCTGAGGGACAGATTGCCCTGCGAAGGGAGATTGCGTAAAGGGCACTTAGCCAGCTGAGATGGCGATGCCAGCAACCTCCCTCATCAAAGTCGTGCTCGCTTCTTCGTCCTCAACTCCGACTTCGATTGATGTGTGCGGACGGCTTTTGTTGAGACCTTCGAGGAGTGAACAGGCCTTGCATACTTTTTGACTGGACATATAGCCGCATCTCTCGCACTGGCCCATGACTTGTTTTACTATCTTTCCTTTTCGACGTCCGTTCGATTTCTTGTCATGGATACTCACAGCGGCTGGATGTCCTGTTACCTGAGGTTTAGCCGTTGCGGTTGGCACTTTGATCTCGGTTTCTCGTTCGGCGGCGGCTTCATTAAGTGCCAATTGTTTCTCCACTAGGTCCATCGAGTCGCCATTAGTATTTCGGCTCCCGCAGCTGTTCGCCTCCTCTTCGGCTTCGCCTGCGCACGATACGGACCCGCCTACTTCTGGAGGGACAAGTGCTGCCATGTCCTCTCCGCTCTTGACAATATCCAGAATACTGCTTGGCCGAATCCTCTCCAAGTCTTTGATCAACGTCCTTGCACTTCCTCGGAAGGCTTCGGGAGAGTAGATGCACTCCGTGCTGAAGTAGTCTAACTTCTTGTGATGGGCATACAGCACAATTTCCTTCTCGTAGGCGTATTTCAGAGGTTTGCTTCGCTTGATTGCGCTCGCCGCACTAGAAGTCACAATAGACGTCGCCCTTGCAAGCCGGGGTAGATCGCCACGGAGAAGGTTCATCATGACGGTTTCGGCAACGTCGTCGGCATTGTGGCCAGTCACCACATGTTTGATCCCCAGTTTCGCAGCGCCTCGATCCAACGCCTGTCTGCGGAAAACACCACAGTAGGTGCAGTTGCCCTTCTTCCCGACTTGCGCCACCACTTGGTCCATGGTCCATCCATATAGTTGGTCATATCCCACGATTTCCAACGGCATCTCATACTGCAAGGCATTCCGCTTGACGGTTTCCAGGCTGTCATCTCGATAGCCTTTGATTCCTTCGTCGATGGACAGCAAGACCAGATTCAGACCATAGTCATGGCGCTCGTTCAGAGTCTTTAATACCGACGCCAGGACCGTCGAGTCCTTCCCACCAGAGGCGCCTATGGCAACTCGTTCTCCGCGGTAAAATAGATTGTTGCTCACGATCGTTTCGTGGATCTCGCTCTCGAAGACCTCCAGAAAACATCGCTTGCAGATCTTCTGTGAGTTTTTAGGTCTTATCACCGCCGCTCGAGCGTCCTTACAGACCTCGCAGGTCGTCGGCGGCATTGTTCTCGACCTGACTTGGCTGTTGAAGAATTGATGAGATGAAGAAATCTTCATAAAGCGGCGAATATTGTCCAAAGATGTTACGGAGTAATTGAGTCTGTCGAGGAACTTTACGGTGGAGTACACGGAGGTGATAGGCTTTCATGCGTTGAACGGCGGATCACTATTGCTTAAATACCGCGATTACCAAACGCTGTAGAAATGAGTCCACGAACCTAGCAAATAAATAAACTGAAGAAAAGTCGGCGTACTGCTTCTCGCCAGCCCTGCCCCTTCCCGTCGCTCGCTCGAATGCATTCTACCTTGCATGCGGAACTGAGGTTCACGCAGATCCTTAAGTCCACTTGTCGACAGTGCGCTCGACAGCAATCCAGCAGAACACGCTCCTTTCATTCCGGCCCTCGAATACGTGCTCCTCAAGAGCCTGCAAACAACGCCAGTTCAGTCAATGGTGTCGACCTCGGCGATGATGCCAAGAATGTTGAAGTCCGGTCGGAGGTAGCGAGAGAAAAGCCGAAATTCGAGGAGACGAAGTCCCAGGTCAATCAACAGCGGACGACACCTACCGACCCTCCTTCCGACAATGCGGACCAACCCCAAGTCCAGAGTTTCTATGGCTCATCTGCGAAAAGACGACTGCGGAGTCGCATGCTCAAGGAAACTGAGCCGGAGCACAAAATTCCAGAATGGTTGTTGGCCAACAATATACATCTGTATGGTGAAGGGACTCTTGCGGTCGGAGCGTCCTCGAGGATCCAGGTAGTTCCTGCCGATCTGATCACTGGCGAGCCATTAGACCACACCAGTCCCTCCAGTCCGAATGGGAATCCCCGTGATCCGAATGCCGAAGACCAAGAGTCAGTCCTGAATCAACGCTCCTCCTTCGAAGCTGCAGACGGGTTCGACGCAGCGAGTCCAGATGCTGGGGAATTGTCTCCCATCAAGTCTGGACAGACCCCTTCCAGTGGGAAGAGGTATCATGTAATTGATGAACAGTATGAAGAGGTAGAAAGGACGGCAAGAGGCCTCATGCAACTATCCCGGGTGCAAACAGCCTCGACTGAGGTAGAGTTTACCAAAAGCCACCTGCTGTTACAGTATGCCGGTAAAGATGGCGATTTGCTGTTAGACCACGTTGTGGAAGACCTAGCTCGCAACCTCGGTTGCGATCTTATGGTGTTGGATGCTCAGGATATCGCAGACTTGATCAGTCGTTCAAACCAACAATCGCGCGTCGCAAAGGCAGGGCGCATGTTGAGCTACGATGTCTTCACAAATGCTTATCCCACCTCTTCTGAAGTGGGTCAGGCCCAACTCTCCAGGGAAGAGGACGAGGATGACGAAGATCTGATGGACGACTTTGAGAGCGCACCGTCTCCTCCTCAAATGGGTATGCCTGTGTTCATTGGAAAGCCCATATCCATCGACTTGAAGACGATGTTTGGGTCTCAGGGACGGTCAACAAGATCAGACATACCTATATCGCCCATGAAGCTGGTGTCTGATATGTTGAATATGAACACGGGATCGGCCTCCCAAGAGACAACCCGCCCGTTCGCCGGTGTGGTTGATAGTCTACTGACAAGCTTCTTAGAAAGGCGACTGAAACCCGCTGGCAAGGGACAATCCCAGTCTTCAACAAGGAGTCTGAAATGGGAAGAATTACGCGAATACACGGCGAGGCAAACTGGGGTTCCAAAAGATGCTGCTATTATACACGTCAAGGACCTTGAATCGATCCAGGAAACCAGCATTGGCAATCAGTTCCTCCAAGAGCTCTACCGGCAAGTCGTGAAGCGAAGAATCTCAGGGGCAAGCATCCTTCTTGTGGGCACGGATTGTGCGCGGGAAGACCAAGAACCATTCACCAAGCAGCGGATCAACGATACCCAGACTGGTGAGCGGGATGAAATATCTCACAACATCGTCCTTACTCCCGTTTTACCCAATACCACTTCCAAACTTGCCCTTCTTCACGACCGCAAGCAACGAATAGCCACGGTCAATATGAGACATCTTTGGGAGATGATGCGGTATCGCAAACCAGCCGTGTTCGCCCACCTTGAACCCGGATTTTGGCGGAGGGACTTTTTCAACCACGTCACTAGGAGCGACAGGTCATGCTTAGAAGCACAGATTTGGAACTACTCGTATGTGCAGCGCCTGGCGACATACATAGCCGGAGCTGCCCCGCTAATCAGCAACATTCCTGGTATCACTGACAAGAAAGAACTTCAAGATTCCCTGGCTGCTGTCCAAGGGGCCTCGGAACCCGTCATCTCAGCAGCGACAGCTCACTTGAACCATAGCGACAAGACCAAGATACGATGGGCGGAAAAGCAGGAAAAGGAGACGAAGATCGAGCTCCCCGAGCAGCAGAAAACCAAGGAGGATGTACGGCTTGCCGGGATCCGCGCTTCAGCCTCAAAGTATGAAAAACGGTTGATGGGTGGCATTATAGAAGCAGAAAACATCAAGACGACATTCAATGACGTCCATATGCCTGTTGAGACGATCGACACTCTCCAGACCTTGACCACTCTCTCGCTCATCCGGCCTGATGCTTTCAAGTACGGAGTCCTTGCGTCAGATAAGATCCCTGGGCTTTTGTTGTACGGGCCACCTGGCACGGGCAAGACATTAGCTGCGAAAGCTGTTGCAAAAGAGTCGGGAGCGACAATGCTTGAAGTCAGCGCCGCAGACATCAACGACATGTACGTGGGGGAAGGCGAAAAGAATGTGAAGGCCCTGTTCGGTCTCGCCAAGAAGCTCTCCCCGTGCGTTGTTTTCCTCGATGAGGCAGACGCCATGTTCAGTGCTCGAAGCAACCAAGGTCGTCGTGTCAGTCACCGCGAGCTGCTCAACCAGTTCCTCAAGGAGTGGGATGGCATGAGTAATGACTCTGGCAGCGCGTTCATCATGGTCGCGACCAACCGGCCGATGGACCTTGACGATGCTGTGCTCCGTCGATTGCCGCGGCGGCTGCTTGTGGATCTTCCGACAGAGCCGGACAGGTTGGAGATTCTGAAGATCCATCTCCGACACGAAATCCTTGCCGAAGATGTCGATTTGGCGGTTCTAGCGAAAAACACGCCCTTCTATTCCGGCTCGGACTTGAAGAACGTGGCGGTTGCGGCGGCGATGAACTGTGTGCGCGAGGAGAATGCACTTGCGAAGAAGCACACGGGCGAAGAGCCGTACAAGCACCCTGAACGCCGAACATTGTATTGGAAACACTTTGAAAAGGCTCTCGACGAGATCTCGGCCAGTATTTCCGAGGACATGAGTTCGTTGAGAGAGATCAAGAAGTTCGACGAGCAATTTGGCGACAAGCGTGGGAAGAAAAAGAAGGCGCCTAGGCTGGGCTTCCCGACGCAGGAGGAGGAGAAAGGGCGTGATACGGTAAAGGTCCGACAGTAATGGCTGTCCTGGAAGCAGATCTGGGCTGGCGTTGTCGTTGTCCGTAGCGAGGTGGCGGGTCGGGTAGGAAGCAGACTCCTGCAGGTGATGTCGACATCGACATCGACGTGGCGACGTAAGGTATGTTTTGGACGAGCGGAGTGATGCCGATGGATAACACACCACAGAACTACCCATTCAAGTTGTACCTATACTAAAGGGTCGAGGCTGTTCTTTAATCCTAGAAATAATAGTCCGTCCTCCATCCTCCATCCTCCATCCTCCATCCTCATCCTCGATGATAGCCATAGCTTTTCAGAACAAGGATTAGCGCTCTCATTCATGATCTCCAGCTCCAGCCCCAGCAAAGAACACGTCATGATTTCATGTCATTCTTCAAAGTCACTCAGACCGAACGGTAACTGAAATCAGGCGGGACATGTTCAACTCCAGAATGTCTAGCAAGTGGCAAGTGGCAAGTGGCAAGTGGCACGATACTCAGTATGGTTGATGTAGCAGAGCAACGGTAGTTTTGTGTTCCAACAATGACCATGTTGTATATTAGAAGTTGGGTTGAGGCCTTCGTCTCGTCCTACACTATGTATCCTTGACTTAGTGCTCGGAGTGCACGGATATAGTAGTTATGGTTAACTTGAAGAAAGCTTCTGCACCACGGCGTCCTCGAGCCTCGCCACAGCCCAGTCCAGCACATGGCGCATGTCCAAGGTCCCCTGGCCCGGACACACGTCGACTCCCTGCTGGCGGCACTGGGCTTGGTCGAATGTGCCGGCCTCGACATCGCCGCCCACAAACATCCAGGCGTGGTCGCGGGCGTAGTTCGGCCAGACGATGTCCTCGACGTAGCCCGGCGGATCGACCCAGAAGCCCTCGAGGGTGACGTAGCCCGTGCGCGCGAGGCGGCGGCTGAGCATCTGGTCGCGCGTCACGGGGAGGAAGAGGCGGCGGTCGAGAACGGTGCGGGAGATGTCGTGCAGGTGTGCGAGGAGAGGTGCTGACGAAGACGGTGACGATGAGAGCGTCGGCTCAGGTGGTTCCGGATATAGTAGGAACCCGTCGAGGACGCAGATGCGGATCTCGTGGCTGTCGCCAATATTACTAGTAGCCCTCCCTGAGAGGTCCGGTGTTGTTGGGTCGCTCTTGTTCTGGTTCTGGTTCTTGGACGCGGCGACATGGTCTTGGACGACTCGGTCGAACCACGCTGCAACTTGATCCTTGACGCGGGCGACCTCGGAGTCGCTGATCCCGCTGGGCCCGATGGCGTTCTGGTCCTCCTTGCTCGCCATCTCGGCCGGCAGCGTGCCGTGGTCGCGGACGTGGCGGAGCGTGCGTTCGAGGAGGGGCAGGTCGAGGGATTCGACGCAGTCCCAGTCCTGGAGGTCGCGGGTGCCGAACTCGGGGGATGATGCTGAGACGATGGGGACGCTGGGGACGGAGAGACAACGTTGTTAGTGATGAGAGTAGACGCCGCTGTAAAGAGAGATGTGCACATCGTTTCTGACCAGGGCCGGAACACGAAACAGAACAAAGACCGCTTGCCAGGTTCCCACAGTGTCTGACAGGCTCATGATCTAATTGAGCTGGCATCACCACCAGCACGGAGAACCCCTTTTCTGTTGTTTCCGGACAAGAAAGTAGTGGAGGTCGAAAGGGACAGCACCTGGAACTTGAACACAAACACACACACACATACACACATACACAAACACAAACGAGACAGAGATAGAGAATGTGAAGGTGAAAAAGGAGAGGAAAGAAACGGAAGACTCGGCGGCCAGCTGGCTTACTTACTCCTGATCGGTCTTGTAGAAATCATCCTCATGCAGCACGAACAATGTCAGCTTCCATCGCGTCGGCCGGGCTGCTGTAGCTGTGGCTGTAGCTGTAGTTGTGGGAGTGGAAGTGGTAGTAGTAGTGGCAGTGGTAGTGGTAGAAACCTCCAAGTCGAAAATGGTCCGCAGCAGCCTCGCGAGCGTCGTCTTCCCACTCGACGACGGACCTGACAAACCGATCAGAATGGTCTGGCGCGACATTGCGCCAATGATAAGTCTGAATCTCAAACAACAACAGCAACAGCAACAGCACCTAAGGCCAGACCAGACCAGGCCAGGCCGGGACGTCCTCCGGACTGCGGACTGCGGACTGCGCACTAGATAGCTATATATCTCGCCGAAAATGTAGGGTAGGTGGATGGATATGGACATGCAAGATATATCTGTATGTGTGTATATATGTGTGGCATAATGCCGTAAGATACTGTCAGAGATCTAGGATGGATAGGATAGGATGCCGTGGGATATCTGCGGATCTGACTGGTCTAGATATCACTCTCCCGCCTATCGAGCAGCTGGGGATTGCGGGACTCTTGGTGGCCCGAGTCCAATCTCGGAAAATATCAAGAAAACACGCATGCTTGAGCTTAGTTATTCTATCCATCAACAGCGAGTGACTGTAATTCCCGATAGATATTTCAATTCCCTGGGGAAGTTCTAACCACTCAACCACTGTAGGCCTTAGACATGCATAGGTATGGATATGGCAGCACCCCTCCGAGGCACGTGACCAACACGCGAGGCTGCGCAAACGAACCGCGAGGCGAAGCAAGACAGGGACGAGCTTGTCCTCCAAGAAGTGAAAAGACCCAGAACCGCAAAGTCACATAATAACGACGTTGCGATTCTATTAGAGAGCATCTGGCGGACTGACGAGCATCCCGGTTCCAATTCAGTGCCGTGCTGTGCCGTGCCGTGCCATGTCCATTCCGGTCCTTCGCCCGCCCGTTCCAACCCGGCCACACTCCTTGACGCGTATCCAACTCCCGCTCAATGCTCCCCGGACGCATGTCTTACTTTTTCCTGTCTGCGACCCGACAGACAAACCCCGCCGGCCAGACACTTCCGGACCTTCGTCCATAGACATGAGGTTCCTTTCTCCAACATCAAACATGTACTGCCGAGGTGATAAAGTGCAAATCCAGGACGAGGAGAAAGACTCCCCGTAAACAATAATATGATACAAATCCGTTGGAGTTGAAGCCGAGCCGCCCGATCCCACCTTCTCACGACGCTCCTGCCAGGCCCAGACGAGAAATCGATCGTCGTAGACTCTGACTCAGGACAGAGTTTCGTTTCCAAAGACCCGACGTCACCTTGATCTAGAGGAAAGAAGCGTCCGGCCCATCTGCCCCCCCGATCTCGACACCGAAACCCTTTGGGGGATATCCAAAAGGATTTTATGCAATAGCGCAAAAACATAACCATCGCTGAACAACTCATTTCAAACGCCGTGCTCGTAGGCCTTGCGTCAAGATGGAGCAAGCGCCGGGGCGTAGATCCAAGAATGCCCATAGGCTGCGGCGGAACATGCCCTGGGCCTGGGCCTGGTCCAACTTCACTTCGCGCAATGTCCCACGCGGTCCGAGGGGGCCATCACGACGCACCGGCGGCGGCTTTCTGCCTTTTGCCCCCAATCTTGGGACTGGGTTTAACTTTGCTGGGCCCACTCGGCTCTCCCCCAGCATTCTCTTCTTCAAGCTTGACGGCACTTGCACGCCGCCGCTTATTAGAGACGTTCGGGCTGGTGTTGGTGCTAGGGCCTTGACTCCCACTGAGATTGGACCCCTGAGCACTCATCTGGTGCATCATCGAGACCCCACCCGCGGCGGGATTTTGTGCGGGACTTGGCGTATGTACCGGCCCTCCCATGAGGGGTGATCCTTGAGTCTGGGAGACTGCCAGGTGCCCCATCCCGGGCGAGTTCATCATCGTTGGGCCGTTCATGCCGGGGTGCATCGCGTTGCTATATGGTACTTGACCGTTCGCAGTTCGCGCCATATGGTTCTGCATTCGAGTACTATTGACCTGGGCCATGGCTTGGGCGTTTTCTTGAGTGACTCTGAACATGGTCTCCTTGATGCCGACTCCGGGATGAGAATGGAAATATTCCATGAGCGGGCCCATGGCCGTCATGACCTCCGCAATCTGGAAACAAAACGTCAGCATTCGAGGAGAACCACACGCGCGAGTAACTCACCTCGAGAAATTGAAAAATGTGATTCGGCACTCCCCATTCGCCAACCCCGGAGCTGGGAATGATGAGCTGTGTACTCAATGCCGCCGCTTTTCCTTGAGCGCGTTTGACATTTTTGTTGATCTTAGGACTCTGCTTCGTCTCGGGGGATGGTGGCTGGGTAAGAGCGTTTCGGGGAATGTATTCTTGCCAACCGGATGTGCTAATATTGAGATGTTCTATCTTTTGCATGTCGTCAAAAATGACCCGCAGCTGTCCAGTCGTCGTCACTCGGATATCATTGCCGAAGATATAGGTCAGACTCGCATTGCTGCTCCAGATGTGTACCCCGCCATTCGGCAATTTGTTTTGATTGTGATCGTACGACTGCAACAGGAGCTGTTTCACTCCGCTCGCAAAGTGTGTGTGATAATAGCGAGCCAGTGACGGATACTGAAGCTGGAAGGACTTGTCCACCCCGTTTTTGTTGCTGAACAGCTGCTGTCGTATGGATCCAAACGGCGAAAAGTACCGTCCAATGATTTGTTCCCAATAGTCCAAGTCATGAGGTCGATCGGGGGCGGCGAGAGTGTCCTGATACATGATTAACTGTAAAATGCACTGACCTCCCATCATCGTGTCAGGCTTGGCCACCTCGGGTACGAGCATAGGCGCGGCTACGTCGTGTTGTTGTTTCACTGTTGGTTCTTCTTCGGGCTCACTCGTCTTCACTGGCTGGCTGGCTGGTTGGGTTTGCTGCTGGTTGCCGCCCGGTTGCGCCTGTGGTTGTTGGGGTTTCGGTTGCGAAGGTTGCGGTTGAGGCTGCGATGTTGGCACTGGCTGCTGTGGAGCTTGAGTCTGCGGGATCGGCGTCGGTTGAGAAACCGGAGTCTGAGTGTGCCGTTCCTGGGATCGAGTCATTTGCATCTGCTGATTAGCGGCCCTCTGGTTCTGAGCGGCGGCCATTTGAGCTGCATGGTGAGCCGCCTGGGCCTGTTGAGCCTGCATCAAGCGTTGCTGGTGTTGCTGTTGCTGGTGCTGGAAATTTTGTACCTGAGGGTTATTCGGGTTCATTTGCATCTGCGGATGCATTCCCATTCCCATTTTCATTTGTGCCAACTGTGCTTGATTGAAGCTGGGCCCGTTCGGCAAGCCCATCGGCATCCCTTGCTGCTGTTGCTGTTGCATCTGCTGCATCATGCGCTGTCGGGCAAGCATCTGCTGCTGTTGCGGTGTCATGGGCATCTGACCAAAGTTCATTTGTGGGTGCTGCTGTTGAAACATTGCTTGTTGAGGACCAAGATGTGCCATCGCCATTGTGCCATTGTGCATAGGGCCAGGGGCGGGCGTCCCAGCACCTGGAGGCATGCCGGTTACCATAGGTCCCTGTGTGACCTGCGGCCCCGAGACGCCAGGATGCATACCCTGCATCATTCCAGGCCCCGGTTGGACCCCCATGTGGCCAGCTCCTGGATGCTGCATTCCCGCCATAGGATGTCCATGGGGCATACCTGGGTGCCCGGGAGCCATGCCCGCATGGGGAGGAAAGGTTGGGGCCATCATCTTCAGCAGCACTTATTCCTGGATGGAATTACCGCCAAACAACCAAAATGTCGGGCGCGCTCGTCTGATAACGAAACCACGCGGCGGTCCCTGTGATTGCTCTTAGAAACCGTCTCTTCTATCCGCCTCCGATTCCTCTGGCCCCACTTTTACCGAGTGTGTATGAAGTTCGCGACAAGAAATCGTGATTACATTTGAGTCGTAAATGGAATCGTATCTTTCAAGCAGAACCGGGGTCTTGGGCGACCGAGAGTTGGCAGTCGTGGGCGATGCGCAGCGGCTCTGTCGTGTGGCAGGGGACTGGCCGACGTCCACGGCGGCGTACTATGGGGGTAGAGTCAGTGTCGCGACAACCAACACAACAGGTTCATCTGTGGCTGATAGTTCGGAAATTGACGCGCATAGGCTTCATGTTCGACAGATCTCTATAGGAGGGGATGACAGGGTTGAATCAGGTGAGATGATAGCTGGGTGTCGTGTACGGCGGTGGCGGTGGTGTTATCGGGCGACTGGTGACCCTGCAGAGCGAGAGCGGAGCGAGGAGTCGGGCTCCCGCCTCGCGCAGGATGGCGAGAATAAAGAAAGAGGGAACAGCGAAAGAGCGAGGACGAGAGAAAGGAAAGGAGAGCTGCAGTGTATCGTCGCTTGAGATGCGCGAGCCTCGATGGTGTTCGAAGCTGCAAGGACGAGGTACGGGATAGTCAGGGCAGAGGTTGAAGGTGCAGCGCAGTTGCAGTTACGGGTGGGTGGCAGACTGGCAGTAGTTCGCAGTTGGCAGTGGGCAGGTGGTAGGGATAGGACCGATCGGCTGGGGGAGTCGGGCTGCAGTCGCTGGCTGGGAGTAGTAGTGGGAGGCGGACGCCAGTCTCAGTTCGACTTTTCGACTTTCGACCTTCGGGGGCTGCTCCTGCTTCTTCAACTTGTGCCAGCGAAGGCGCCAGTTTGCCAAGCCTGCGTCCGATCGCCAGACTGGCTGGACTCGACCGCCCTTGACCACATCGGGAACTAGTGGGTTGGGCTCTTGCTGCTTTTTCCGCCTGCGCCCCGGCTCCAAATAATAATCTCGGGAGCAGGCCATCAAATAAATTATATAAAAGAGTTTTGATTTTCCATCCTGCATCTCTGCTTCCTCTCCTTCGTCCGCCTTCTCGGCTTTTCTCACTCCCTGTCCTCGTACAGCCAGCCAGCTGCCTGGCTCCTGTTGACTCATGTTATGCTGCTCACAATCTTCTGCTGGCTGACCTCCCCGTTGCTACCTACAGATATGCTACTGGTAAGTAACCCTACTCTCGGCAGATCACTGATTCCTGTCTGCCCTCCACTGCTCAGAAGATGACATCTTAACATCCTTCTTCACTTTTTCCTGATTCGCCCTTGAAGAAACATCCAGATCGTCATCGCTGGACGGTCTGTTACTAGCCAGTATATATTGTCTGATTTGACAGCTACCCGCTTCGTTCTTGCATTCGAACTCCGGCAACTGTTGCTAACAACTTGTCTCAGATGATACAGCTGGAACCTGGTTTCCTCGATCCAAAGACCATACCTCCAACGGCATTTCTCGGCTTGTCAATGTATGTACCATCCTTCCATTCTCCTTCCCAATGTTCCCCTTTCCTATGATGAAAAACTTTTCCACATTCGCAGTTTCCACGCTAGCACTGGCATGAACCTAGTAAGTCCAGTTGTCGATGAGCGCGCAATCTTCCTTGGATGTCTGACTTGGAATCTACCCAACTTTATTGCTACTTGAAGTGTGTTGTCATGTTCCCGCGAAGCTGACATCTCTCTCATTTAGGTAGTTCTCGTGCTTCTGCTTCTGCTCCCCCGTCCCACACAGTTCTATTGCAGGTTCAAACAAAATAGTATACACTACAGTCAAGAGTCGAGAGGAGGAAGGGCATGGGTCACTGTTCCTTTGCACCTATACCATGTTTTGATACGCGATTGTTACAACCGCCACTGAACTGTATCAGGCAATAAAAATATCTTGTAAACATGAATTCTGGGTCCCTGGTAGGACCTCTTATCCCGTAGATTTCCTCTCTCCTCGACTCGTGGCGGCGGAGGATCTCTTTTCTTATCTGGTGATACACTGTAGACGGATGCGATGGTGTTGATCTGGCCATCTTTGGGGTGCTTGCAGATCTCGTCCGCTCATCTTCGAGGCCTTCCCCAAGTCGCGGCTCCCACTGAAGACCATAGCACCTACGCTCCAAATAGCAACCATTCCATAGCGATCTGCAATTCTGCTGAGGGCGTGCCACATACGAACAGTAATACAATGCTTCATAAACTCCCCATTGATCTCCTGCCGTAGGCCTTTCAACTGATGAATGATCCAGCAGATGCCTCCACAATCTTTGCGCTTCGCCTGCCGTCAATGAAGAGATCCTCGCACTCAGCAATGTCCTCGGGCGCGATCTCCTGTCTCCCGTTGACCTTGGCCAATATGCTGCTGGGGGTCAACAGCTGCAGTGCGTAGCGTAACGACACGTTCGTGCCATGCTGGGCGAGTTTCTCAATGGCCGCGTCGGATATGGACAGGCCTTCCGTCTTTGCGCGTAGACGGATGATGGTTTGGATTTCGGACGCGCTGTATGGATGTGTGGGAATGATGAGCAAACGGGCTAGAAGATCGGGCGGCACGCCGTGTGCGCCTTTGATGTCTTGGGTGCCGCGAATGATGGTGTTTCCCCGGTTTGAGGCCAGGATGACAATTGGGGAGATGGGCGACTCGAGAGCACGATTCAGATATGTAAAGCATTCAATGTCGAGCATGTGGACCTGATATCACAACGATCAGCCCTGCGTGGAGGAGTCGCGAAAAGGATAGCTTACCTCGTCGATGAACAGTACACCGGGAACCAGCTCGGCCACACCCTGGTCAATGTATCTGCTGACGACCTTGTTGATCTCGGCTCTTAGCTTGTCTGTGATTTCCGTCTTTTTGGGCTTCATCAGTTGGCCCATCATGCTCATAACATCCTGGCCACCCTGAGGTCTGGCATTGGCAATGTCCAGATCGTGCAGCGTCACGTCTTGCACGACTTCCTTCTTCTTATGCACCTCTCCCTTGGGTATGGGCACGTATTCTTCCGCCTCTAGATCGAATTCTGTAGCGTAGGCGTCTGATCGTCCAACTCTCTTACAGGCGCCTGTATTTGCCTCGATGTAGACGACGTCACCGACCATGACCCTCTCTTTCTGAATGGCCTCGTAGATGCTGGGATCGAGCCTCAGTTTCTTTGTGCCTTTCGCGGATTTCAGGGTGATGATGAGATGAGAAATAGTGCGCCCGAATCCTCCCAGGGGATTCTCTGATTCCTCGGGGATGAGTTCTGTGACTTCGCCTTCGTAGACTTCTTTCGTTTCGCGCACTCGAAGCCCTAGCCACAGTATGTCAGCCTTGATGGCGCGCCGAACCGTGATCTCGATCTCACCTATTGCCCTTCTGAAATTTTCCATCAACGCCTCTGTCTTCTTGACCTCTGTGGAATACACTTCGCTGCCCACAATGGGACAGAAAGGCACCTTGGTCCCTAGTTCTTGAGATACCGCTAACGCCAAAGCCGTTTTCCCAGTACCTGGCCCTCCCGCCAATAACACTGCTCTCCCAGACATCTTTTTGGCTTTAATGAGATCGACAACCACGCCGCAAGCCTGGTCCCAGTTAGTCAAGACGCGCATCTTTCCTCGGAGGAGTCTATGTACCTCGCGGGCAGCAACTTGGCCGACGAAACCATTTCCAGAAGTCTCAGCAGTCCCGTCGGAGCGCAGGCCCAATCCCTTGATATGTGTATGCGCCGCGGTGCGGTTTTCGCGCGAAGTGCCCTTGACTTCGCTGATGTTGACCATTCTGAAGCGGCTCACGCGCGATATCGACAAGAGGGTAGTTCAAGATGACGGAGATAATCAGAGGAATGTATCGGGAACTCGGGAGCGCATTGGAACGAAAGCGAGTGTGGAATAATGGGTGGCTGCTTGTCAAAATGCCCTGTCCGCGACGGTCCAAAATCACGCTAAAAAGTTGAGCTCAACTTCAATGTCCGCAAACTCTCCTCGTCACAAAACCACTCGGTCGACGCACACCTCGACTCCACGTCGGCAATTGCTCGCGACCTTCTTTCTACCGGTTTCGCTAATTGCGCTTGACGCTCACAGTTGCAACATGTCGACGTCCGCGATCACCAAGTTGCCGCCTGTGGTGCGCAGCCCGACAACGCTGCAGTACCTCGAGTACCTAGGCAACAGATCACACGACCCATACTTTAAACCCAGGTTTGCTTTCAAAAGCGAAGACCGCAAGCATACTTTCAGCTCACCCATGATCCGCTATACGGATCCCCTGATGCCCCCATATCCCTACGGCAAGAATCACGCATTCAAAGAAGCGAACTTTGGTCTCTACGGTGGGGCCACACTCCAGTCGGGGAACAAGATCTCCAAGGGGAGGAATAAGGGTAAAACGTTGCGAAAGTGGTTTCCCAATGTGAGGATCGAGACACTGAGGAGTGAAGCTCTGGATAAAGAACTCAAAATCCCGGTCACGGCTCGTGTGCGGAGGACGATACAGAAATGCGGCGGACTGGACGAATATGTCACTGGAACGAAACCAGCGCGGATAAAAGAGTTGGGTCTGCTGGGTTGGAAGCTCCGATGGCTTGTGATGACATCCCCGAAATGGCAAGAGAAGTTTGCGAAACAACGAAAGGAACACAAGTTGCCGAATGAGTTTTCTCCATCTGGGTCGTTTGAGGCTGCTTGGAACGATGAAAGTCAGAGAGCCAAATTCATCGAGCAACAAGATGCAGCATGGGAGGACCTCCGTGAAGCAGCTGCAAGATTCGAGAGACATGTGCAGAAGCATTGGATTGAAAATGGCGAAAAGGAAGCATACCACGTCCCCAAACTGGAGACATTGATAAGACGCAGTCCAAGTGAATTGGATCTGCCGGTACGCCTGGCAAGAGATCGAACCCGTTCTAACGTCACGGCTGCCATGAAAGTCAACCTCGTTGTGCAAACCAAGATTCAGCAAGAGAAAGCAACCATCGATGTTGAATAGGCTGGCTTGGGCAGCTGTGCTGGGCTGCCCGTAATCTCCAGTTGAACGGCCGAAGAGGATTCGATGGTGGCCATTCGCCTACACTCACACGGCCGCAGATGCCGCTGAGCGAGTCCACGGAGTGTCTTTGTCCCGAAGTGACCGGGTCTATCAGTTGATATGCGCAGAGTTTCGCTCTGGCGCTTTGAAGAAAGCATTACACTTGGGGTAACCATCTAAAGGCATGGGTTATCGACTGGGTCGGGATATTGCTGTGAGGGCTAGGGCGTTGTATACTAAAGAGATGTGCATTAAAGACCTGGAACTGGCTTGAGTACCATAGGCAGAACAAAAGACTAGCATCGCATTCGATGGAAAACAATGTCTGGGTCTCTTTTCTCGGATCAGAGCCGAAAATGTCATAATACCGAGCAAGTTTGCAAGCACCTTCACAATTCGAACTACCAGAGCCTTCGTGGAGTGCTCGTCATGATCCCATATAAGCAATCCATCATGATCATTAGCATCACAAGCAGCCGTCGCCAGTAGTCCTTTTCGCCTCGGAACCAGGTACCTGACCATGTGCCTCCAAGTCCTTCCAGCGCTGAAACAATCTCGTGAAAGCCGGGGGTTCTTGAGCACCACCAACTTCCCAGCGGCCATTGATCTCGTAGTGCGGGACGCCACTGATGCCTTTCAGCCTCGCCTCTTCTGCCAGCCTGTCGACCTCCTCTCCATCCTTCCCACTCTCCAAGTACTCTCTGATTTCCTCCTTGGAGCCGAGGCCAGCTTCCAGGCCAATTTCAGCAAGCGTGTCCAGGGTCGTGATATCGACTTCCTGTTCGAAATAGCGTCTCCAAAGACCCAATAGGGCCTTGTTCTGTGCCTCCTCGCCGCCGCGGTTCTGAGCCCAGTAGACCAAGCGATGTCCGTTCCGGCTGGGGCCGGTCATGCCGCCAAATTTGAAGTTCAGACCCTCGCCTGCGGCCACCTGGCGCATCATGGCTTCGATCTGATTCGCTCGCTGCGGGCCAAACTTGGCTTCATACATTTCCCTGCGTGGGCGGGATTCCACGGGGAACGGTGGTGGAATAGCTCCGTTGGTGGCAGTGAGCTGAGGAGGTGGCTGGAGGTAGAACGGCATGTATTTGAGATGGAACTGGTCGTCTGGGTATGTCTTCTTGTGTTGGGCGATGGCTTTGGCCAGCCTGGCTCGCCCGATATGGCACCAAGGACATACTATGTCTGAGGTGATGGTGATGTTGTAGTTCGTCATCGCGGCGAAGAGGCGATGGGTTGGCTTGAAGAGCATCAATTGAATGCCAATTCACACAAGACGGTCCGTTTGAAAGACCGTGTTCAGCTGTTGTTTGTCCTTTGTATGCTCGTCGCAGGCGTGTCTTGTCGGATGGAAAAGCGCAAAGTCTCCAGGATGGTAGATTCGACAGATTGTATTATATTTCTATATTTCTATATTTCTATGGATTTGTCAGCCACTCCCAACCCATTCTGAGGCTTCGCGAAGCTTCGGCTTCCCCAGCTGTCAGTCTACAAGTGGCAGTATACACAGAGCATGATAGTGTGCTCGGTGAAAGAGGGTGCAAGAGTGCTCGTCCTAATCGTTCAGCTGGTTCACCTCGACATGGGCAAGAGACAGCGTTGTGCTAGTTATGGACCATCATCTTTGTTCGAAGGGAACCGACTCCATCAAGACTAGACGACAACGGGTATCAGTGATGGGTAGGAGAGTAATAGATATGAGCATGATTCCTACCGCCTCCGCCCCCTCGTGAGCCTGGATGTTAGCCAGCAATTGTCCTTTAAGCTCACGCATATGTACTCAGACGTCGACAAGGCTTGGGGCCGCAGGCTGCCATGCGGCCGCCAAATTAGAGCGTCTGACGAGGCTCAGGGCTGAATGGCCGGAGGGCCAATGCCCATGTGGGGGATAAATGTTGCTGTCAGACTGTATCCATTTCTCTCCATATCAGTATCAGACTCTCTCGTCTCTCACCACCAACACCAACCTCACCGTCCGCTTTCGCTGGAGACTTGGTCCATCTGTAGTTGTCTACCACTTGGCCTCCCATCTACCCTGTCATGCCCAGTGATAGCTATCCTACTGCTCAAGCTCTCCTCGACGACGACGACGATGATGGACCCTTTGATATCAATGGGTTCTTCGTCGGTTCGGCAAACATCGACAGCCGGACTGCAGTCGAAGGCTCAGGTCAGAGTATCCTCCCTGTACCTGACCAGAAGGTAAAACCTCTCAGAGCAGTCTTCCATCAAGCAATATTGACTCCAGGTAGCCTGACATACACCATATGACCTCGTCCTGCTCAACCACGAAGCCCGTGGATCGTGATCCTCTCCCTCTGCCTAACCAAAGCCATCAGCCACCACCATCTCCCATGGACAACTATATAGCCCTCGGGGCTATTCGTCTGGTCCAAGCACCTGACTATGAGGATGATTCCCGCTGGCTCATGGTGGGTTCAGACCAGAATGTTCCGCATCCGCATCCGCTGCTCTCTCAAGGCGAGAAGCGGCAATGGATCCAGACTGAACTTCTTCACCACAAAAGCTTCAGTAACCGCGCCTCCTTGAGGATCTACGCCTTCCCCGAAGGTATCAAGCAGAGCACGAGAGGCTGGCTGAAGGATTCTAGGAAAATCCTCAAATATCTCTCAGCCTTCATTGACATTTCCCCCGATGTATGGGAGGGCAATTATGACGCAGAATCTCCTATTCGCACATACCTTGCGCCCGCAGCGTCACAAGAAGAGTCACTCTTCTACATCTTTAATACGCTTTCATCACCTCGACCATCTGCCGATAGCGCTGGACATTGCCCCCACAGCCAACAAGCCATGGCTGCTATATTTGAGGACGACATCCCTGGACTCAAAACGTCCCTGTACCCGTACCAAAAACGCTCGGTTGCTGCTATGCTGCAAAAAGAAGCAAACCCAGCCAACTCACTTGACCCCCGAAAGCCACAGTTTCGAGACATGCGGGGGAGAAGCTTCTACTTTGACGTGCTCGAAGGGGTGCTACTTCCTCATCCATACCTCTACAGTGAGCCGCGAGGCGGGATCCTGGCGGAGACCATGGGCTACGGGAAGACCCTCATATGCATCGCTCTCATTCTGGCGACCAGGGGCCATTACCCTCAGATACCAGAAGGCAGACTTGACGCGTTTGTCGACCATCAGAATCGTCAAACTCCAAGTCTGCTGGATATGGCTGCCAAGTCGTTGAAACGAGCGGCCATTCCGTGGAAAGGGTACTTTGCCAGCTTCGAGAATGAGGGATACAGCTTTGAACGATGCATCGAGGCCATCGATAAGTATGATGCAGAGTATGCAGAGCCCATTTATCAGCCCACAACGCCAAACCGCGCAGGCAAGAAACGAGAAGAGTTTCGAGTTTTGCGCTTGTGCTACGCGACGCTCCTTATCGTCCCTCCCAATCTTCTTGTGCAGTGGCAGCACGAGATCGAGAAACATACGGAGCCCGGAGCCCTTGACACTCTCGTGCTCGACTCCTCGACGAAAGAGATTCCTCATTACCGGGAACTGATGAAATACGACATTGTGCTTATCACAAAGTCTCGCTTCGAGCAAGAGTATCGCGACGATGATCAGAATCAAGGCCGGCGCATGATCGACCAGGAGAGATTCCAGTCTCAGCTGATCGCGGTCCGCTGGTTGCGAGTGATCTGCGACGAAGGTCATGGCTTCGCTGGAGCGAGTTATCGCACGAACGCAATGGCGATGCTTGACAAAATGTCGATCGAAAGACGCTGGGTGGTCTCGGGAACGCCATCCCACACTCTTCACGGTGTGGAGGTGAATCTTGCCATCAACGATGTCAATCCAGACGGCGATTCATCGCGTGCAGACTCCATCCATGAGGCCTTGATGCGGCGGAAGCCCAAAGACTCGGCCACAGAGGAGATGAAAGACATGGAGAGATTGCGTGTCATGGTGGTGAAATTCTTGAAACTACAGCCCTGGGCGAACCAGAAAGGAGCCGACTACGCCGACTGGAAGAAGTACCTGGCACCGTTCGACGGCTCCGGCAAAAGACGATTCGCCCCAGCTCTGCGGGTGATACTACAGTCGCTCATCATCCGCCACCGCATCGAGGACATCGACAGCGATCTTTGCCTCCCTCCCCTGTACAACACAGCCGTTCACCTGGAGCCAAGCTATTACGACAAGCTCAACATGAACCTGTTCCGGCTGATACTCACTTCCAATGCCATCACCTCCGAACGGGTCGACGAGGACTACATGTTCCACCCCAAGAATCGCAAATACCTGGACGAACTCATCTCCAATCTCCGACGCGCAAGCTTTCACTGGATCGCCTTTACTCATGAAAATGTCTCGCAGACTTTACGGGTGAGCCACGCTTACCTAGATGAGAATATCAACAAGCTCTCTCAGGACGATGTTCGGGCCCTCACCGAGGCAATCGAGAACGGCGAGCGCGCCCTCAACGATCCGGGCTGGCGTGCCTTTTCAACTCTCCATGAAATTGGTGTGTACGTCCAAGGCTTCCCCGACCACGCAGCCCAGGCATGGGCGTTGCACGGCGAACAATCAGATCCTCTACTCTTGGGCGTAGTCGAAGCGCGAGAAGCGCAACAACATGTATGGAAGCACTTGAGTAACGACACTGCCGACGCCGACCCTGCGGCCGGCTTGACCGGTGCAGGTCTGCGAGCCATGCAGGCTGCAAGAGCACGCGCTGCCGAAGAGCAAAAGACAAAACGCGAAGATACCTTCAACACCACCGGCAGCAAGGCTGCGACAGCCAGCGCAGGCAATGAGCCGAAAGTCAAGAGTCAATCGACTTACTCGTCAAATCCACTCTCGTCACCATCAGCCATTCGGACTTCGACCAAGCCTGACGAGACCCCGTCCAACCATCTTCAGCCATCCTCATCACCGGTCCCCAAGCGGCAGCTGCCAGTAGTGGCCGATCAATCAGCCAACAATGCGCTGCCAGCATCGCTGACTCGGACCAGAGTCCTCGGCTTCACGTCGGCGAAACTGAACTACCTCTGCTCGCGCATCCTGACGCTGCACACGAAGGAGAAAATCATCATCTTCTACGACTCGAACAACATCGCATTTTGGATCGCCGAGGCACTCGAGCTCTTGTCCATCCAGTTCCTCATCTACTCCAACACGCTATCGGTCAGCCGGCGCGCCGCGTACCTGGCGACTTTCAACCAGTCGGACGTGTTCCGCGTGCTGCTGATGGATCTGAAACAGGCCGCGCATGGCCTGCACGTGGCTTCCGCCAGCCGGGTCTTCATCGTCTCGCCCATCTGGCAGCCCGGCGTGGAGTCGCAGGCCATCAAGCGAGCCCACAGGATCGGCCAGACCCGCCCGGTGTACGTGGAGACGCTGGTGCTGAAGGGCACCCTGGAGGAAAAGATCCTGCACCGCCGCCAGCAGATGAGCAATGCCGAGCTGGTCAAAGCCCAGAAAAGTCTGTTGGACGACGGCATCATGAGCGAGATCATCCGTGGAGAAGGCTTCCTGAAGATCGCCCACGACGAGGACACCCAATTCAAAGGCCGCAAGTTGGACGTGCCGGTGCCGGTGCTGTTGTTCGAGAAAAGGCCCGGCAGTGGAAGTGGAAGTGGAAGTGAAAGTGGCAGTGGAAAGAGTGATGGTGGAGGTGAGGGTGGAAAGGCCCAGAATGACGCCTTGATTCATGCCTGGGAGGACCAACACCGCCGTCTCGCGAAGAAGAGGAAAAGGGAAAAAAGTCCTGATGCGAATCCCGCCGCCACGTCGCTTGTCCTGGCCGGTGGAGAGTCGGCCAGGTTTTCTGCAACGCCCTCTCGGCCGTCGACGCCGGCTGCTCGAGCAGAGTCGGTGGCTTCGGTCGGCGTCACGCGAAGCGGGCCCTCGAGGCCAAAGAAGAGTGTGACGATCATGGTTGACAGCCCGTGAGGCCAAAGAAGAGTGTGAGGATCATGGTTGACAGCCCGTGAATGCACGAAGAGTCCTGGAATGCTTGTACGATTCTTCTCTCCCCGGGACGCCGTTGAGCTCGATGGAACACCGCGAAAACTTGGAAGGGCTTAGGCTTAGACACCGAAGGCTGATCAGCAGCACGGTGGCAGGGCTTAGGGCCCGGATGTCTATACACCATTGCTACATGACCATTGCTGGAGTGACCAAGTCATTCATGCCCATTGTAGCGTACGCGCACGAGCTTAAGGGATCAAGAATACATTTTCGCTGGAACGAACGAGACAACTCGCTTTATGTACTTTAGCTCTGCTTCTTGCTCTCGTCTGGTACGGAGTACAGCAAGCATATTTGAACCCAACCTAGATAACCAAAGCCAGAGTCAACGTATCCGCTTTTGATGAGGCAAGTGAAAGACATCGTCGATAGATTTGTTAGACTCGCTTGCATCTACTGGCACTGGAAGTGTCTCCTGAACTCGGACATGTTAGTAGTCCCCGACACCAAACACCCTACTGTCTGATCACTAAACCTAAACTAACCCCATCTCGATATACGACCACCTCTTGATCCGTGACTAGATCGATATGAAGAAACTCTTCTCCCCTTCCCTCGGCTCCACAACGCAGCGTTTGAGGATGGGGTCGGCGCACGAGATCCGGATTCTCTCCGGCGTGGCGGGGCTGCGCAGGTTCAGGACGGCGTGCTCACCATACTCTCTGCGAGCGGCCTTCAAGGCATCGCGGATGGCGAAGAAGGCGGCGCTGCCCATGAACAGAGGCGGCTCGCCCACGCCACGGCTACGCTGGATCGTGCGCAGATTCTTCCACTCGACATCCTTGAGCAGTGAAATGTTCATGACTTGCGGGATGTCGCGAAACCCAGGGATCTTGTACGCACCAGGCCCACGTGTGAAGATCTGACCCGAGCCGCGGTGCCACAGCGACTCCTCGGTTGTGAAGAGACCCTGACCCTGGACGTATGCGCCTTCGATCTGGCCATAGTCGATCGCCGGGTTGATGCTGCGACCCACGTCCATTTTGATGTCGGTCCGCAAACAAGTCCAGTCGCCGGTCAGCGTGTCAATGAGCACTTCGGATGCCGTGACGCCCTGTGTAAAGTAGAAGAACATCTTGCCGGTGTTCTCCAGAGACGGGTCTGATGGGTTGGGGCCCCAGATGTAGCCGATTTCAGGCGTGCGGTAGAAGCCGTTGGCGCTCAGGTTGACACGGTCGAAGTAGGCCGCGTGCGCAAGTTGTTTCATTGTCGCATTGGGGCCCAACTGCTCTCGGTAGGGCGCCAGACGCTCATTGATCTGCACACAGGCGTTGTAGGCTGCGTAGCCGTTCAGGTCCGAGGATGCCGAAGCAGCCGTGCTGGACGTGTTGGCGACCGTGTTGGTGGCCGTCTCCGAGATATGCACATCGGAAAGCGGCACTTGAAGCGCTTCGGCGACAATCATGCAGATCTTGGTATGCAGGCCTTGGCCCATCTCGGTCCCTCCGTGGGCGACAAGGACGGAGCCATCGTGGTAGATGTGCACCAGGGCGCCGGCCTGATTGAGGAACAAGGCCGTGAAGGAAATGCCGAACTTGGTCGGTATTAGGGCGAGGCCTTTCTTCTGCCATTTGTGGGTGGCATTGAATTCGTCGACAGCTTTGCGCCGAGCTTCATAATCTGTCGACTCCTTGATTTGCTTGTACATCAGCGGAACATGGAAGTCCTCAAGCTCCTGGTTGAAGTGTGTCTGGTCGCCCTCCTTATAGAAGTTGATCTCTCGGAGCTTTTCCACAGGGATTTTCAGGTGGTCTGCAACCTCTTCCATGTACGTCTCTGCAATGAACATGCCTTGCGGGCCACCGAAGCCGCGGAAAGCGCTGTTGGACACCGTGTTGGTCTTGCAGATACGACCATTCACGTCAACATTCGGAAAGTTATAGCAGCCGTCGATATGGGAAAGTCCTCTGTCGACCACCGCGGCAGAGAGGTCTTGCGACCACCCGCCGTTGTTAAAGACGCTGGCCCTGAGCGCCTGAATCTTGCCGTCCTTGTTCACGCCAACCTTCCATATGCCCAGAAATGGGTGCCTCTGGCCGGACGTTACAATGTCTTCGTCACGGTTGAGCATGCATCGGACAGGCCTCATGAGCTTGTTGGCAGCGACAGCGCATATGGTTGACAGTTGGATCGATCGGGTTTCTTTTCCACCAAATCCGCCTCCGAGTCGTTTGACTTTGGATACGACCTTGTTGGACTGCACTCCGAGCGCCTTGGAAGCGTACGCTTGAGTCTCGGACGGGTTTTGTGTGCTGGACCAGATTTCCATTTCGCCATCTTCTAGCTTAGGGATCGCAAGGCAAGCCTGCGTTTCCAGATAGAAATGTTCTTGACCACCCATCCTGGCCGTTCCCTCAAAGACATAATCGCATTCCTGGAAGGCCTTGTCCACATCGCCTCGGCGGATGTAGCGGTAGTGCTCGAAGAAGCTTTGCTTTTCGATGGCCTCTTCAATGGTGAAGATTGCTGGAAGTTCCTCGTATTCTACGAGGACAGCACGAGCTCCGGCTGCAGCTTGATGCGCAGTTTTTGCTACGATCATCCCGATAGGTTGCCCGGCCGTGAAGACTTCATCCTCAGCAAAGAAGACCTCATCGGCAACGGGGGCTCCCCACCAGTTGGCCTGTGGGTCGACAACGTCGTGTCTGTCGACCCAGGTGACCACGCCCGGAAGATCCAAGGCTGGGCTAGCATCCACCTTCAGCAGTTTGGCATGTGCCTTGGTTGACAGGACGAGGCAGCCGATGAGCTCGTTCTTTTGAGCTGGAATGTCGTCGGTATATTGCGCCTCGCCGGTGCATTGCTTGAGAGCCGCGAGGTGAGGATTTGCTTTGCCCAAGATCTTCTGGGAATACGCAACTGCTGCATCATGATCCTTTCGGCCGCGGGATATTTCTCGTTCGATCTCTGCAACGGCTTCTTTGTCAGTCACCTTGCTGGTCTCTGCAATGTTGGTGAGGATATCTTGGTAAAACCGGTAGAAGAATCCTAAAGCTAATGACTTCCTATATGTGGCCATGCCACCTGGCACACCGAATGGGAGATTGAAATCCTTTTCCATGGCGTTCATGACACCCTCTAGAGTCTCAGGATCCGTAAGTGTTTTTCCAACAATATATTCAGAAGCATTCTTTGCCTGGATCGTAGTAGGGGCCATGCCTCCGTATACCAGGTTGGCATTCTTGACCGTGTAAGAATCGTCCAGTGCCAGGCGTAGGCAAGCATTGACGATGGCAATGTCGTCATCTTTTCTTTTCGACTGCTTGTAGGTTCTGATGTACTCGCCCTTTTCGGCAGATACAGGAACTCTCATGGCTGCGATGACAGCATCCTCCGGCAACGCAGTCTTTCTGTAGCCCTTGAAGAAACTCGACATGGGAATCTCGGTCGTCTCCTTCAGCGACTTGGCCACCAACGTGGAGTCAGTGGCGACAAACACCGGATTGAGGTCTGAGATAGGGGAAGCGGTTGCTAGGTTACCTGCCGGGGTGCCAACGTTGCGAATCTGACGCCCGGCAAAGTATTTGATCGCCTTTTTGATGGCTACGAAAGATTGAGATCTGGCGGGGCCGTAATGTCTGACAGCTTCGTCACATATGTTCTCGAGGTCGGTCAGCGCCACATTGCCACCAATCTCGAGATAGTCATCATGAAACGAATACTTCCGCAATTCGGCAATGTCACCCACATAGACCGAAGTCGAATATTGCATAGCCTTGAATTTGATTTCAATCTGTGTCTCTGTACTTCCGCCAATCAACTTGGCAGTGGGAGACGCGTTCTTGATCTCCAGCAACTGCTCGAGCGTAACTGGTCTATACCACTTCTTCCTCTTGTTCCCAATAGCTAGCGGTTTGAAGTCATGTCTTCTAAGGGCGGGAGGAAAGATCAGTTCAGTCGATTTGTCATAGTGAATGAAAGAAGGAGACGTGAATTTCTTTTCTGCGGTTTCGTCTTTGCCATTCGGGCCGTCGCCGTTGCAAGAGCCGCCATTTTCCATGCAACAGCCAGAACCGCCGTTCGCTATGGATCTGCCACATTTCTTATTGAAACTCTGAGCAGCGTCGAGGATGGGTCTGTAGCCGGTGCAGCGACACAGATTGCCATCGAAGGCCTCTTCGACCTCATCCTCGGAAGGCTCAGGTCCATGGTTTCTGAGAAGGGCATACAAGCTCATGACGATTCCTGGTGTACAGAACCCGCATTGACTGCCGCTGGCCATGGCAATCCGTTCCTGTGCAGGGTGCGGGCTTTGTGAGCTCCCAATGCCCTCGATTGTGACAACATGCTTTCCATCGATGCTGACCAAAGGGGCCAGACAGGCATTGACTGACGCATGGTATATCTTGCCCGTGGTGGGATTCACTTGCGACACCACGACAGTGCAGGCACCACATCCGCCTTCAGCGCAGCCCAATTTTGTCCCCGTCAGCCCAATACCTCGTAAATACTCTAGGAGTGTGACTTCAGGATCGACAGCGTCCAGTTCGACTTTGGTGCCATTGAGATAGAAACGAATCGCGTCGTCGTAGCTCTCGGTCAAGGACGATAGGGTGACGACTTTCTCTGCCGTCGCCGCTGGCTGGAGGAGGCCAGGTGCCATGTTGACAAAGAGACGGCGCTCGATGGTGGAAGGAGAATGAGAAGGGTGAGGTGATCTACTAGATTAGCATTCCACCAGGCTGTGGCTGTTTTCCTGAGAAGCCGGGGCACGAAAGCACTGAGGAGACAACATGAAAGGCAGAGAAACTGGAAAAAGGAAATACTTATCAGCAATACGTCGATCTCACATCACAGCAATTGCCCATGGGATTGATAGGGCGTCTGCCATCTGGCCTGGGGGAGGTGGGAGCGCACGAATCAGAGAGCGGCCATTGCAGCAGTGGCAGTACGATGTGGGAAAGATGGAGTTGTGCAACTCCAGTGAGGGTTCGAATCAGAACGCCGCGATGCTGCGATCCCGCTTATCTCAGTCACGTGCACGTCGGAGTCCCCCGACCGCCACAGCGCAACAGGCGGGACACGACGATAGGGCATGGGGAAGCCTAAGCCGGCGAGGTTGTACGAACCCAGCTGTGTCATTCATTAATATTGTGTGGTCGTGGTCGTGGCCAAGGACTCGAATTCTCATGTCGCGGTCTCCAAGCGAGATCAGCCTCAGCCTGGGCCTGGATCCTATTCTTCTATTCTGTACTCCGTACACTCCCCCCTCCCCCAAGGCCATCGGCCCAACTCCAACAAGTCACAAGTCTTCGCCACCACTTCAGACCTCCAACCGTCCAACTGCACGGCACGGCACGGCACGACTATGCGTGGAGGAAGGCCTGTCGACTGCTGCTCATCTGGTCGGCATCATCGGAAGAAGGCCTCGGTTGCGCCACATCGTGTTGACCTCGTCCACGTTGTAGAAGCTGGTGGGCACTTTGAAGCCGCCCCATTCTCCTGCCAGCTGCATGCACAGGTACGTCAAGATCTCATCCGTCCAATTGCCGGAGATGATCAGCGCCTCTCGAATCAGTTGGAACGCAGTCATGCAACTTGCGTGGGCCAACGGATCCCCCAGCATCAAGCACTGGAGGATGTGACGGTCGAACAGCCGTCTCCGTGACTGGGGCGTCATGTCGTTGGGAAATACCAACTGCAGCACGACTCGCCCTGTTCCACGCACCGCGTTCCATTGTTCCTTGGTCGGCTGGGTAATTTCGGGGTCAACCATGTCAATGTCGTTGAAGATGAAGTAATCGCTATCCGACATCGCCCGGTAGACTGCCTGTCGGTGCCGTTCAATCAGGTTGTGACGCTGGCAAACAACGTATGACCGGTTTGGTATCTGGCTGTCCTGGATCGTATTTTGATCGATCGGCCCAGGTATTTTCGCCTTTTCACACTCCATCACCCAGTGACGTTGGATATCTTCGAAGAGATGTTCTTTAGTACAATATCGTACATAGCTTTCAGGTCCGCACGCTGGACAAATGACAACGGCTGAGTCTAGAGGCCATCAAAGTCAGTATCTCGTTGGTGGTCAAGATTTGGGAGTGCTTACCCCAACAGCTAGTCATCCGGCGACAATCAGGTTTCGGGCATTTGAGCCGTGGATCCATGCTGTCAAATTTGAACTTGGGAACGATTGGCGGGCCAGGGGCAGCAGCAGCTTCAGCAACAGCAGGCTCTGATGTCTGGAGATCTTGTCAGCTATCGCCGCTAGTAGTCGACTCTCCAACATACCTGAGCGTTATCCAAATCATCGCTGAAACGCACTCGCCGTAAGGCTGTCGACAAGCCTTCCGTGATGTCATGGTCTGCATCTTGAGGAGCATCTTGACGAGCATCTTGACGAGGAGGTGTTGGCTTGTTATCGCGACTCTGAGAATCGGAGGCACCGTCTTCCTTAGCCTGGGCTGTAGCACTAGAGGATTCTTCTTGTTTGGCCTTGTTCTTCTTTTGCTTGTTTCTCTTGCTATTGCCGCTCTGAGAATCGAATGCACCTCCTTCCTTAGCCTGGGCTGCAGCACCAGAGGATTCTTCTTGTTTGGTCTTGTTCTTCTTTCGCTTGTTTCTCTTCTTTGTCTTCTTGGCCTTCTTTGATTTCTTAGTTTGACCAGTCTGGTCGGTACTGTTGTTGCTCATATTGTCATCATCCGTGTCTTCTGATGAAGAGGTTGAAGTGGAGATTGAAGGATGATGATTATGGCCGTCTGAGGGAAGTGCGTGAGGTGAAGAGGTTGCGTGTTTTGAAGAAATCAAATGGCCGGGTCCGGACTTTTGGCTTGTCGTGGCATGCTTGTTGAGCACCAACGCCGTGACTGACTGTGCCGTGTCTTCAGGCCTGCTCTCTTTGACCACTGACTTATGGTAGAAGGCAGCGCGCTTTATATCTTCCACCAGTGCAGCCGGCTCTCCCTGATTGAGCTTTTGCGTGAGGCGCTGCCGTGCTGCTGTAAAGATTCTTATGGCAACCATCGCGACCACAGCCATGTCGCGCTAACTATTGTTAGTCGATATCACCTGGCCGCCAGCTTCTGGAAACCTACCGCTGGATCCGCTGTCCTGAACTCTCTCACGAAACCAGGATGATTGACATTTACAAAGATCTGGAACGCCGCTTGCTCCCAGCGAAAAAGGCTGGTGAAACTGTGCAAGTGGTATCTCACCAGGCCAGCCGTCTTCATCATCGACCGGTCAATGACGATCAGAAAGGGCGAGAGATAACCCATCCATACTAGCTGGTTCCCTTTGGCATCAAAATGCTTTTCTTGGACAACTTGTTCCCCTTCCTCTCTCTTTCTTTTTTGAAAGGCATCGTGCAGTGGGGAAAGTTCGTTGTCTTGCTTGGACCAGTTAAGCTCCTGCACACCTTGAATGCCAAAAGGCAGATTCTCTCGTGAGAACGACCTCGCACCGTCATAGGCTCCAAAAAGCTGCTTTGTCAAAGTGCCTGCTAGGACGAGTGTCAAGAAATTGGTTGTTGTTCCCAGTATGATCTTGTGGCAGATGGCTGAAACAACATTTTCAGCATCCAGGCCCCCAAACTGTTCTCCCAGCATACGAGTCTCCCGGTGCCAGACACCATCTCGTAATGAGACTGTGAACACTTCCGATTTATCTTCAGAAACGAAGATTACATGTGAATCCTTCAATGACTGAGATGTATGGGAGATGTACGCGTATTTGTGCGTCAAGTCCATGTCCGACGAGTCTTCTGAAGTGAGTTGCGACATGGCTGCGCTTCACACATACCTCTATGCCGGTGATGCTGTCCTATCCCTGGGTAAGTCAGCAAGGATCTCACACGGAGTTATAAGGTGCTTCTTACCGTTGTGACCTGAAAGGGCGTGTGGTCTCTTCTGCGAGTTAGACAAAGTTTGCAAACACATGCAAGAGCAAGCACAAGATATTTACATGTCAGGACTTTGGCACTGCATCTGCTAGGGTTACGGCACAAACTGTCGCACGTGATATGTTGGTATTCACTAAAGGCAACATCACTGAGCAGAATGTTATACAGACATCTTGTTACCCTGGGCAAGCCCCAATACCACATCTCAGACAGCCAGAGCAAGTATCTGCTTCTACAGCCATTGCACTTGGAGCCCTATGTTGGCATCGAGGCTTGCAGGGATGCTGATCGCTTTTAGATTTGCGAACCCAGGAAGAGCTTCAAAAAGGGGTAGATTTTGATTTTTTCGAGCAACAGGCAAGAGCGGCATAGTGGCAAGTCGTCACAGAGCTCAGATCAAGCACCTGGAGGCACATGGGACCTACATGGTAGGGCTTGATACGTTTCCAACTGTAGAGTCTTGAACGAGAGGACGTTCAGGGAAAGGGGCGGGCGGGCACCTGCAGCCTCGAGGTGAAAACTGAGCTAGTCCCGCCTGAGATTAGCATCGAGTTTGCCGCACGTGACCATGGGATTGGCTGCGATCTTGATGGCTGCTGCATTTTCAAAAATTGGCTGCAAACCCCACCACCACCAGCATTGCTGCCACCACGGGCCTTCACTACTTGTCGGCCTCATCTCGTTCTGTGGGCATCTCTTCCCACTCCGTGATCTGTCTACTGTAGAGCAGCGTCGTTGACTCGCTTGCCATCGGTTCTCTATCATGGCTGACCTCAGCAATATCCTCGCGGCCCTCGCAGCTCAGAGACAAGGTGGCACACCATCGCAAGCTCCTCCTCCGCCTGTGCCTGGCGCACCCTACCCTCCCCCTCAGTATGCCACGCCGACGAGCAGCACGACGGCATACGGACTTCCCCAACCGATCCATTCTGGCAGCGTCGATTTAGCGAACATAAGACCAGTCAGTTCCGGCTCAGTCAGTATTGCAGACGCAATCGCCAAAGCTCGTGGCATCGCGGCGGAGAAGGGTATTTCTTATGACCCCAGCAGACGTACGACTCGCCTTCTAGCCGTATCTTCTACCAGCTAACGGTATCTGACAGCTCCCCTCAATCCCGACCCTCGTTCAGGTGGCCGGGGCTACCGGCGGTCCCGTTCACCCTCGCGGTCTCCACCTCGCTCAAGCAGGGATGGCTTGCGAGATTCCTATAACCCATATCGTGATGAACGGCGTATCACCGCACCCAGTTACAGCAGGGAGCGTTCGTTCTCACCCCGAGGTGGACGTAACTCCCCCCCGAGATATCGGGATGATCGATCACCAGGCAGGGACAGAGGGGCCGAGGGCGATTCCGAAGTCCTTCCATTGGACAAGGGCGTGGTGGGCTTGATCATTGGGCGCTCCGGTGAGAACCTTCGACGAGTCGAGAGCACAACTGGCGCTCGCGTCCAGTTCCTCGATGGGCCGGAAGTTCCTGGGAGCCAAAGGCATTGTAGGATTTCAGGCAATCGATCTTCTCGGGCAGCTGCCAAAGCCGAGATCTTCAAGATCATCGAGGACAACGAGTTGGCCAAGAGGGGACAAGACAAACCTCGCAGTCAAACTAAGTCTTCAGTGGTCACTACCAAGGAAGGCGACAGTCTGCAGATGATGGTCCCGGACCGAACGGTGGGCTTGATCATTGGCAGAGGTGGCGAGACGATTCGAGATTTACAGGACCGAAGTGGCTGTCACATTAATATCGTGGGAGAAAACAAAAGTGTCAACGGATTGCGACCGGTGAACCTGATCGGCAGTCTGTCGGCTCAACAGTATGCGAGAGACTTGATCCTAGAAATTGTGGAGAGCGATCAAAAGGGCATCAGCGTCAAGGATCTCCACCGGGAGCGGGAGGATCCCAACGGCAAGGTGAACGACAGCATTGTTGTGCCCGGCGATGCAGTTGGCATGATTATCGGCAAAGGTAATGTTGTGTGAAAGTGTGGTTCAAGACCCATCGCTAATGTTGTCTGCAGGGGGTGAGTCAATTCGTGACATGCAGAACCAGACAGGATGCAAAATCAACGTCTCGCCGGCAACTGGTCGGGATGTCGAGCGCGAAATTGGGTTGATCGGCAGCAGACACGCTGTCGACGCCGCCAAACGTGCCATCATGGAGAAAGTTGACACGGTAGTAAGTGGCCCAAAAATCACCTTTTAAGGCACCCTACTGACCGCAAGTAGCGTGCTCGAACTCAGGGTCGTGAAACTCACGATGAGTACACGGACCGATACCCGGCGGCCCAACCGCCCAGTTATCCTGTTAGTGGGATGCCTGCCGCCCAGCCGGCCCAGCCGACTCAACCGGCTCTCCCACCCACGGCTGCAGGTGCGGCTGACCCGTATGCTGCCTACGGTGGCTACCAGAATTATCTTCAGTTGTGGTACTCGGCGATTGCGGCGAACCAGCAACAAGGTGTTCCAGGTCAAGGTGAGCAACGATAAGGCGCGTGGAGTTGACTGTGACCTGGCTCGTGACTGTGGATTATGTGCTTCTGCTGGTTGATCTCGAACCACTCGACGACATGACCCGCCTCCTCGAAGCTGCGGATGAGCCGTCCCCTACATCCCTCACTACCGTCGTGCATGCTGTGACTGTTCATGAGTGCAACTTGAGCTCTTGGACGCATTGTTCTACCTCTTGAGACCGGTGTACGATACGCAACGACTGACCAGCGTGACACGACCTCGTTCTGCTGATGACTGCCTCGTGCTTCCGACACGCAAAGACTATGCACTCGCCATCTCGAAGAGTCTGCGCCAGGTCCGATATATATGACTGCAGGGCTCGCAACTGCCAATTCAGGTTGAAACCCCTGGTCGAGCCCATTGACGCACAAACATATCGCAATCGCGCGCCAGAAATGAAACTGCGCAGTCGTGACAAGAAGGAAGATTGGCGTCTCATAGTACCTTGTTGCTCTTGAAATATTGACAGGACTACTTGTAAACAGCATAGGCCTACTTGAGATAATGATTACGAAGCAAGTAGACGTGTACGGTATCGCATGGCGGGGCTTGTGCTCCTCTCACCCTAGCACTGGCACTGGCACCGGCACCTTAGTATACGGATAGAGGGCTATACGTAGTTAGTTGTACACCATCAAAGTACAGAGTGATACCTGCTACGGAGTACATAGGACGAGGCAAGGATCTGTGAAGGGCCCTGAGGCTCCTAAGGCCATAGGATACTAGGCCAGAAGCGGGCGGCTAAGAATGCCAAGCACGGGAATGACAGGGGTGGAAACAAGGAATGATTTCATTCCCATCCCACCTTAATACCTTAATGCGATGTCTGGTTGACGCCACCCAGGCGCCACATCGGGCTGGGTGGCTGACTTCTTAAAAGCCTGCTTCCCTCCGCCTCGTCGTTGTCTCTGCTGAGGCACAAGCTCGGACGTCAAGTTGCTTCGTCGTGCCTCATTCCCGGCTCCTCGGTGCTGTTTCTGGGACGGTGTCTCGGTTGGTCAAGCTACACTCATCTGCCCAGCAGATTGGAGCCGCACCATGCTCGGAACGGCACCGAGGCAGCTGGGAAAATGGCGAAGTGACCTGAAGACCGCCTGCCCCCTCCATCTCCTCCGTTGCATCAACGAGTTTCAACCCTCGACTCACGTGAGAGCGCGTGTCTGACGTGCCAGAAGCGAGGGCGAGATGGTTGGCGGGCGCTTCTTCAGCCTAGTAGCGCTGTTTCCAGATTTAGGCGCCGACCTGGTTGGAAACATGGCTACCAGTTGACATCCTTCCGCCGCTACAAGTTCTGCTCTCCTGAGACACCTGGATTCCGGTTCAATCTCAGGAAGAGTTTTGTGCGACATGTTGCCGGTGGATCTGCGGCGTGGAGGAGTGATTCACGGGGAAAGCGGTACGTGCGACAGAATTCCTATTCTTGACTTATTGTTCTTATTGTCCCCGACTCTTGCGGGTCCTTTGTCAATCAACTCTCATTCACTGCTCTCGCTATTGTTTATTGTTGCATTCAAAGTCACGAATCTCCTTTTGTTTGCTTTTAGCATAATTTTCTTTCAACAAAGTCTCGATGACTTTGACTTTCCTTGTCACCTAAACGGCCTTGTCACTTGTTGTATCACCAGAATCCCTCACACATTTGCTGTCTTGACTGAGCGAGCCACGCTTCCGCCTTACTACAGCACTCTACCATCAGCATAACAAAATACTTACTTCTGAGTTGGATATCCAGATAATTTCCCGTCGATCTTTCCTCCATGTCCGCCCCGTCAGCCTTTCCGGCTGGCCTTCCTCCATCCATGCCTGCCGGCAGCCATGAGATACGAGACTACTACTCCAACCAAGACCCACCTCGGTCGTTGGCACACACTGCACCATCCATCACACCCTACCTTGGCCTCCGGGCTCGTTTATCGCAGATATGGCTCAATCGATGGACCATTCTGCTCCTACTTGTTCTTGCTCGCACCCTTATCGCCATCTCCGGGATCGACAACGACTTGGGCTCGGCGCGACGCGAAGCTCTATCCGCATGTTCGGACGTTGAGTCGATGGGTTCCACCATGGCATCCATGCCTCATTATATGTCTCAAGGAGTAAATGAAATGGCCGCCACTGGTGTCGAGAAGTCGGTCAACGGCCTGATGCAGATGACCACCTTGAGCGTTACGGCGGTTGAAGAGATTGTCGTGTTTGTCATTGGCATGATGACAAACACCTATCTCTGCCTGATCACTTTCGCTGTGAGCGGGAGCTTGCATTCGGTCATTGGAGCCTTGGACTCGGCGCAAACCGGTCTCAACACGCTCACCAAGAATCTCGGGAATGACATGTCAGGTGTGGTGGGCGACTTTGAGTCGGCCTACAACAAATTTCTAGACGCTCTCAAGGATATCACAGCATTCGGACTATCAGTTCCTCAACCTCCGCCACTGAACTTGACTCAGCAGGTCAAAACCCTTCAAGCCCTCAAGCTACCAGCAAACCTAGACGCCGATCTTCAGAAGCTCAATCAGTCAATCCCCACCTTTGATGAGGTCAAGAATTTCACCGAAGGCGTTATCCGGCTCCCGTTTGAAGAGGTCAAGCAACTCATCAATGGATCACTTGGCAACTACACGTTCAACCGGTCGACGTTCCCCGTACCACAGAAGCAGGAACTTACCTTCTGCAGTGACAATGACGGGATTAACGACTTCTTTGACGACATGGTCAGCCTGGCTGCTATTGCGCGCAAAATTTTCATTGGCGTTCTGCTTACCCTGGCCATCCTCGCCATGCTTCCCATGGCGTGGCGCGAGATTCGGCGTTGGCGCAAGATGCAAGAGCGTAGCCCGCTGGTTCATTCAGATGCGCATGATCCCATGGATGTTGTGTACTTGGTCAGTAGGCCATATACTTCATCCGCCGGGCTGAAACTCTCCCACTCGTTTGAGTCTAGGCGCAAGAAAAATCTCATTCGCTGGGTGATTGCGTACGCTACGTCCGATGCCGCGTTGTTCGTCCTCGCACTTGCACTGGCGGGTTTGTTCTCGTGCGCCTGTCAGGCAATCCTGCTCCGATCGCTCGAAAGGGAGGTTCCCAACCTAAGCAACCAAGTGGGTGCCTTTTCCGACAAGGTCGTGGCACAACTCAACAATGCGTCTCAGGAATGGGCCGTCGGCACTAACGCAGCTATTGCGTCCACCAGCCACGACATCAATCAGAACATGTTGGGTTGGGTCAACACCACAACGACTGCGATTAACGACACTCTGAACGCATTTGTGGACAAGACAACAGAGGTGCTGAACGTCACTTTCGGCGGCACTCCTCTGTATGACCCGATCCTGGAGGTACTGTACTGCCTTGTCCTCATGAAAGTCGCGGGCATCGAGAAAGGCCTGACCTGGGTCCACGATAACGCCCACGTCGACTTCCCCACGCTTCCGAACGACACTTTTAGCCTGGGCGCCGTTGCAAGTCTCGCATCAACCAGCGATCCCAGTGACTCATTCCTCGCGAGTCCCGGCGATGCCGCGAGCGATAAGATCTCCAGCGCTGTTGCCCGCGTCGTCAATACGCTAACAGATGCCATTCGGACAGAGGCAATCATTTCGACCGTCATCCTCCTCGTCTGGGTTCTGGTTGTGCTCATTGGGGTCATCCACGCTCTCACGCTTTGGGCTGGGCGGGACAAAGTCAGAGGTGAAGGTGGTGCTCCGGCATTTCCTTCATCTACTGTGTCAAATCCCGACTTCCGCTCTGACAACCAGGACCGGTATGCCGGCTTTGCGGATATCCCACTGTCTGCAGTGGACAATACGAGGCCTTTGTCGCCTGCGCCCAGGTATACCCCATCCAAAGAGGTCGAAATGCAGGAAGGTGGCTACCACGACTCAAAGCTCGGATTTGCCGGACAACGGGCGTATAAGGAGACTCCGCCAACGAGGATTGATAGCAAGCGGGGGAGCATCTGGAATGGGGAATGAAAATATTCCGTTGAAGACTGATTGATTTTTAAGAGCGACCGAAGAAGAACCGACAGGTACTGCTGTGGCACAACCTGAAGCCCGCCATCTCCCAGAGTGGCATACAGTGGAAAGCTATTGAACATTGGTGGAGGAAAGAATGAAATTCCGATTGAAACATGACAGCGGTGAACGAGATTTATCGGGTGGCATTGAGTCATGCGCGTGTGATGTTGAATGATGATATGCTTTGTGGGGGATTTCTTTGTCTTGGCTAGGGAACAAGAGCGAATCTTCCGAAGTCAATTTGACCAAGGACTATCCGGCCTTGATTCCTGTCAGGCAATAAGTCCCCAGGACAACACCGAGGGACGAGAGTTCCTTCCCTGCCCCTTCTCTGGCGGCGCAGACCGTCTCCCTTCCTCAGGTTGGGGAACCTTGCTCTTTTCTCCGCCAACCTTCCGATGGCCCTCGACTCCCCAGAGTGGCCGTCGCGCCTCTCTCGCATGGGAGGTGTTAAGCAAGGCGTTTGGTGTGATGAGATCAGTGGCACTGCGCCATTATTATCGCTGCCGGAGTCGCGTGATGGAGTGGAAAGATAAGTCCTATCGATCTTATATACCTCGTGTCCATCTGACACGGTGGTATCTCGGGGACGAAGCAGGCCTTGTATTCTGAACGTTTGGATCCAAGTCGGTTTAAGAGCCCCCGTTGTTCTTGGACGATGTTGTGTAGGCTCTTCCGACCCAAACATTTTTTGTTGTTGAGTTGTGATCTCGGGGGTTATCTCATGGCGGCCGTTGACGTGTGCGTGGATGTTGAGGCCCTCGTTGGTGTTGTTGTTGCGCCCCTCTGGTCGTCTTCTCCGAAGCATTCCCTTGTTTCAGCCGGGGCCCATTGTCTCTTCACTCATCTTCGGAGAAAGTCGAAAGCAATGACCGTGGTGAGAAGGCGATCGGAGGGATCCCGCCATCCGCACGAACGAGTTCGCCTTCGGAGCGAGCCTTGCATGCTTGTTTGTCCAGTTTCAACTTTCGACTTCCTCCGCCAACTCACGATCTGTCGAACATTGCATGTCTTCTAGGGCAGATCGAGTCGAAACCCACAGAAACCAGCATTGCACCAGTTCGGTTCCGAAGAAGGTCCTCTGTCGATATGCTTCTGGTGGCCCGGATTCGAGCATGCAGGATCTGACCGTCACCGGTATGCAGGAGTATATGGATCAGAGGACGGACTTGTGTAGCTTTGCTCCGAGTCCATCCCCCCAAATCCCAAAAAAGGCCGTGGGCCAGGTCGAGGTGTTGCTGGTGTACACGGCATCTGCCTCGGGTTCGAGAGAGGCTGGCAAGATTCTTTTCAGTGTAGATGGGCAGCAGCTTAGATAGATACTCTACCAATATCAAGATCTGGCCTGACAACCAAAAAGTATTTCCGTGAAACTCATAGTATACCTAGCTGGGAGCATACACGATATCTGGTGATTTCGCGGAGAACTCTGATCATAAGGCATATACTGTATATACTGTATATAGTGTATACGGCGTAATACGTTATACGAAGCTGATACGAGCCTTCCATACCTTCAATCGCCCTCCCTCTCTTTACACCTTCGCACCTTCGCGAGTCTGACCGTGCATTATGGCCATGACAACAACACCCGCTCTGCAGAGGTTGACGTCCTCGCCACGAAGCGTGTCAGCCACCATCCATGCAACGGGGCTCTTATGCTTTGCGGCCTCGTTTGTATGGCTGCCGAACATCACCAACCCGCTCCACAGAGGCTTCGGCGGGTCGTACCAGTTCCTGACCATCATTGCGCTCACGTTATCCACCATGACATTCGCAACCGGATTCGTTGCCGACCTCTCTCAAAACACCCGACTCGCTGCTCTCAAGAGCAGGCTCTCCGTATGCGCGACGCCCCTGGAGCTTCTCGTCACCATCTCCTACTGGGGCCTGCGCTGTATTGACAAGACGTTGGTCGTGCCTCCTGGGCACGAGGTCCCGTTCATCCCAGATTTCGGCTTCCACGCTATGCCGGGCATCATGATAATACTGGATTTGATGCTCCTGAGCCCGCCGTGGTCGATCAAGGCTGACGGTGCCCTTGCGCTCAACTCTTTTATGGCGTTGTCATACTTGGCTTGGCTGGAGTACTGTTTCTCGCAGAACCGATGGTGAGACTCCCCTGAAATTAGTATTCGTGTTCGAATTCAATGTTTCGGGGTGTCGCCGATGGGGCTGAGGTTGACACCTTTCTTTACAGGTATCCTTATCCGCTCCTTGCGCGGCTGTCCATGCGGCAGAAGCTATGCCTTGTGCCTGTTTCAGCGGTCCTCATGACGGGTAGCACCATGGCTTTGAAGAGGGTATATCGAAGAGTTAATAAAGTGCAAAGGTTTGGGAGGGACGCCATCATCGCCGTCAAAACAGATTGAGCAAGGCCAAGAGCTCTGTATTCCTGTACAATCCTCGCACGACTGCTGTGTACTCCATACTATTGAGTGGCTGAGCTTGCTGAGGCTGAGACTGGGGCTGAGCAGGCTCTGGCTTAGTCCGAGGCGCATTCGGCTGAGGCAGTGGTGAAGTTACAGAGAGTATTACCCCTCCAAGAGTACTATGCGTCCACTCCTCTTGCTGATTTCAACCTACCTTCTGCTTGTGATGAGCTGAATGACCCCCCAGTTTCTGTATTCACCCTTGCGGCCGAGTGAGCCCCCGAGCTCTGTGACCCAGCTTCATATCAGCCGAAATACAGTACTCCTGAGCGGAAGATGTACTCCTAGGATTACAGGATAGTCCGCCAGGTCGCCGAGGGGCCAAAACTGGCGCCTGGCGCCTCTCGCGGAATTGCACCTCACAACTTGATAACAACTTGAACTCTGCCCAGCTGGCTGAGCAGCCTCTTGCCTTGACTTTATCCTCTGCGGTTTTCTGGCCACCCACGCACCCCATTGAAAGCTCTCCAACATGGAGGGTCTTGTTGCCCTGGGCGTGGTCGCCAATGTTGTCCAGCTCTTGGACGCGTCATGGAAAGCGGTCGAGGTCTATAAAGAATTCCGTGAACGAGGTACAACCGCTCAGATCGATGCGATGTCCTACGCAACCGCACAATTGTCGGAGTGCAACCACGAATTGCGGATTTCACTGGAAAACGCCCCCAACAAGATTTCGCTTTTGCAAAGCGACGTCGCACTCACCGAGCTGACCAAAACTTGCGAAGGGGTCGCCGATGAGCTCCAAAAAGTACTCAAATCTTTACAGATCGGGCCAGCAGCCACTCGGACTGGTGCCCTGATCCACGCCGTCAAGATCAAGATGAAAAGAAGATGGAGGCGCCTCGAAGAACTGAAGTTCAAGCTGGATCAGTACGCAAAAGTCTTGGACTCGAAGATTCTCGTCCATCTTGGGTAAATACATTCGCCGCTCCAAGTGTGAAATTCCCGGGCTAACACGATCACGATTTGCAGCCAGAACATGGGCACCCTCTCGGCGCAACAGACAAATGTCGTTGACAAGCTCGACGAATTGCAAAAGAAACTGCTCCAAGAACTTGTCAAAGGGAATACGTGTGTCAAGGGCCTTGTTACCGCAATGAACGAGATGAAGCAGGTGAACGAGACGGCTGAAAACCAGAATAAAAGCGAGCATGTTGCCACGCGGCAACTTATCGACAGCAAAGTCGACCACTTGGTCCAAAGACAGGCCGAGCGCGCCGAATTGGACAACTTGCTTAAAAGTCTGCATTTCCCAGAGATCGACCAACGACAAGATAGCATCGAGGATGCGCACGCCCAAACTTTTGAATGGATCTTCAAAGATTCTGTACAACTCAACAAGCCATGGCTCGACAAGCCCTGGAGCAGTTTCCTTGATTGGGCCCGGAACGACGATGACCAACTTTATTGGATTCTCGGAAAGCCCGGTTCTGGAAAGTCGACTTTGATGAACTTCCTCGTCCAAGATGAGAGACCGAAAGCTGCACTCACATCGACGCCATCGGACCTCCCTCCGCTACTCCTGACCTTCTTCTTCTGGGACACAGGTGTTCCCCTCCAGAAGAATGAAATTGGCCTTTTACGTTCTTTGATTTGGCGGATCCTTACCTGCCTTGACTCGTCATCGGTCGCCCTCCCAGTATGGGCAAAGGAAAAGAGAGCCTCCACTGTCTGGACCAAAAAGCAACTTCTACCCCTTCTTCGCATGGCGGTAGAAGCGGTTCCCAATCGATTATGTCTCTTTCTCGACGGGCTGGACGAGTTTCGAGGCCTGCAGAACGACTTCGACGCGATTATTGATATTCTCAAAGTCTTCCGCGGGCAGAAGGGCGTTAAGATATGCATTTCCAGCCGGCCCTCCACCACTCTCAAAGAACTGTACCGTGATTGCTCTAAGCTACGTCTGCAAGACCTTACCAGAGGCGACATCACCCGTTACGTCGAGGACAGTCTGATCAACAACTCAAGGATGGAATCTCTACCTCTGCCATCTCCCGAACAAATTGCTCAGTTGGTACACGATCTTGTAGCCAAGGGTCAAGGGGTCTTTCTCTGGATCCGCTTGGTCATCCAATCTTTGCTTCGAGGCATGCGAAATGGCGATGATCTGCGAACTCTGCATGACCGTCTGGACCAGATTCCAGAAGGAATATTCGAGCTCTATACCCACATGTGGAAAAGAATGGAAGCAGACCACCCATTCTACGCCAAAGAGGCCGCACTCTATCTGCAATTCGCCCGAGAGTTTGGTGTTCGGTCTCTAGTTGAATTTGCAGTCGCAGGTAATGAAGAGTTGCAGCGTGAATACCTAGATGCCTCGAACAGTCTGGACCTTGAGCAGCTGGGAAAAGGCATCGATCTTGAGAGAGCTCGAACGAGATTGATGGCATGTTGTACCGGCTTTCTCGAAATAGTCGATGGACCTCGTATACCGCCAAGCTATCTCAAAAGTCACCGATCTGTACTGCAGACGAGTGCTGTAGGGCAATATCCTACAACCGTGAACCGGCTGGTTGAGCTCCGCCGGAGCTATTGTGAAGTTCGGGTTTCATTCATACATCGAACGGCAAGGGAATACCTTCAAACACCAGCAGGCCGGCAATTGCTGGAGGCTAAACCAATGCAACCTAGAGATCTCCGCCAACTCAGGTCCCGTTGCAGGTTGGTCTTGCAGCTGTTGCTCATCGTCGGCTACGACCCCCGGGGGTTTCACGGTGAATTTAGGTTCTGCTTCGATTTTGCCTGTACTGAGACTGACGAGAATGACGACTTCAAAATACTGTTGCAATTAGAGGAGGTTTGCGAAACGATCTTTTCATGGGGAATCTTGAACTCGTTGAACTCGGCTAAGGTCCGAAACAAGGCCCGGAACAAATGGCCTGTCAATCCGGACACAGGCAAAGTCGACTACGTGGAAGCATTCTTGGAATTTGGGAATGCAACTTATACGAAGCATAAGCTGGTGAGCTCCGGCCTGAGCGAAGACCCCCAGTACCTGACCAATCTCCTTCGGAAAGGTGTTCACATCCTACAGTCGGAATGGAAGGGCGGGGTTCTTCAAACAATTCCTGTCTTGGTCTCGCTCGGGGCAGATGTGAACGCAAGCACGGGTCAGGATTTGCCTGGCAACGACCCATTATACAAAAAAGACGCAACGATCTGGCAGCAACTTCTGAGAAATGTGTTCTTGCGCTTGCATGGTACCGCTTCCACATCCCTAAATTCCTACAAAACGTCATATATTGCTTCTATTTCGCAGGTCTTGAGGGTATTTCTCCAAGCTGGCGCAGATCCCAATGCTTCATACCACCTCGTCCTCACTAAAGGAATGTACAGAACAATATCCGGGCAAACTTTCTAGCGGTTTTTTGAAGAACACCCTCCCGATCTTCAGGACGAAACTATTGTTGGCGAATGGAACGCTCATGACACTATAATGCTTAGTGTTCATGAAAATACAATATTTTATGGTGAGAGGAGCCCTTGCTATTTCCGCAGCCTGTTGCGCGAGTTTGGGACCACGGGCAGCTCCAAGGCAATGGTCTTATTTGGTCCTTCAAATTCATGGCGTGTTATAGCTAGACACTCTTTGAAGATATGTACCTGGTGGGTCCCCGTTGATGATTCATTTGAGGAAGTGGACGGTGGTATCACCAATTCCGATACCGAGTCAATGTCCTTTCTGGATGCTTTCCGGGCAGCCGGCTGGAGTGATGAAGAGATTGAGCAACTTCCTCTAACAAAGAAGGTGTTGCCAGGATGGCAGGCACAGGCAACGGACGCCGATGATGAGGAAAACTAGGAAACCTACGAGTCTGACCCGAGTCCGAAGATGAGTCTCTGGAGATCAAAACACTTTCTTGAGGAGGAGGAGAAGGAGGAGGAGGAGGAGAAAACTACAGAGAGTCTGATTGCAGCAGCTGATCATAATGAGAAAGCGTGGACGGGCTTATGCCTCTGATGAACGATGTCATAAACAGCATACGCCGGAGAACCAAGCAGATACCAGTTGAATCAACCTGGTGGAAAGAAATCATTCCACCTAACCCCTTCAGAGTGTCGCTCAACTCGGTGAACTTAGCATGGGCCTGGAAGATGCCATGACAATAACCGCTAATATTAGATAGCCAGAAATTCTGGTGGGTGCGGCATGTTGTAAGTCATGACGGCTGTGGCGTCTACAATCATGTCGATCTCAGCAATACATAATGCATGGCGCGTGTGTCGTGCAGGAAGGTGGCAGTGAGAGAGAGTGGGCAGAGCCGGCCACCGGCCACAGGCCACCGAAATCCTTAGGTGCCTGCGAGGCCTTATCTCGACACCACGCCGTCCGACGTAACGTTGCAGACAAGACTCAGGGGTGTTGAGGACGAGAGCCAATGTCGACGACAGCCTCAACGACGACGTGCTGGCCAAGATGGCACAATACCTCGGTCGTCCCTAGAGACCTATGGCTGCCTCGCATAGGAACCGGAAGTCTCTAGCGGGACCGGCTGGCGTTGCTTGGCATGTCTTGGCGCGCCGCGGAGGGGGAAGCCCTGCGATTGGCTGGGGTCGATTACCGCTCCCATCTCATCACTGCTCGGTCTATTGGAGCGTAGACTGCGACCTGCGACCTGCGACCTGCAAACATCAGACGACACGATGCGATCGGCTTGCGACTGGACGATAGCAAGATGTGTATGTCTCTCAGATCTACCCATCCCACTCGCCCGCCCTCGCCTTGGCCTGTGTGGCTAGACCCTGATGCCGGCGGCACTGTGCAGGGTTGCATTGGGGATTGGGAAGATAAGCGGCCCCTCGTATGCTGCTCGTTAAATGCATTCGACCTTCCAGGCTTCCGACGGGCACCTTTTCCTTGTTACCATCTCTATCTTCTTCGTTTCATCTCTTCGACAGCACCATGTCTTCTGGCGCGGCGAACCCCGAGTCGGCGGAAATTGCTAAGGCCAATGTCCCGCCCGTCCCAGAGTCTCTCGATGAAAAGCAACCCCAGCACTTCCACAAAGATGAAACCCTTCATACCTCCGACTCTGATATTTCAGCTGATCTCCTCGTTGGCCCGAATGGGGAGCAATACCCTACAGACGAGGAGCTGAAGACGCTGAGACGCACCCAAGGTCATGTTCCGATGATAATCTACACGATAGGCATTATTGAGTGCTGTGAGAGGTTCGCCTACTACGGCACGATCGTTGTCTGTGAGTTTACATAGCTGAGATGAGATATGTTGCATACCCATTGACGCCCAGAGCAGTCAACAACTACATCAACTGGCCTCTACCCGAAGGTTCTAAGACCGGGGCAGGGGGAACCGATGGTCAGGCCGGTGCTCTGGGTTACGGAACACAAGCTGCCACCGGTCTGACCCTGTTCAGCTCCTTCTTCTCTTATGTGTTCGTCTCAATCTCGCCTGTTGCGGACGCGGCGGTAATGGCTGAACTGTATACAGCACACCGATGCTGGGTGGCTGGCTCGCCGATACCTACTGGGGTCGCTACAAGACCATCAATGTTGCCATCGGGCTCGCTACGTTTGGGCACATAATAATCCTGATCTCTGCCATCCCTGGGGTCATCGAGAAATCAACCACGGCTATGGGCATCTTCTGCCTTGGCTTGATCTTTTTCGGCATGGGGGTTGGCTTTTTCAAGTGCAACATCTCTCCTCTTGTCGCCGAGCAGTACGAAATGGAACACCCCCGAGCCGTTGTATTCACCGAGAAGAGTGGTGAAAGGGTAAGTTCTCCCTCTTGGAACACTTGCCAACACATCTCGTCAAGATTTCCCACGTCCTCTGTTGCTGACAACACTCCCTAGGTGATTCATGATCCAGTAATGACTATCGCTCGCATCTACATGCGGTATTACTTTCTCATCAATGTGGGTGCGCTCGCAGGACAGATTAGTATGATCTTTTACCTTGTTGAGTGACCGTTGAACGCTAACGTATCGCGACAGGCATGGTATACGCGGTTTGTCTGCCCACTTCCTTCTGTTGTTCCCTCTAGCAGAGATGCTCTTTCCAAGAGAGGCTCACTGAACGGCTCTATCTCCTGTGGCTACACTGACTGACTTCCGGCCTTTTGGTAAAGGAAAAATATGTAGGTTTCTGGCTTGCATATCTGTTGCCGACCATCCTGTTCCTGTTCACGCCCGCCATCATGATCTTCTGCCGGAAGCGTTACGTGAAGCGGCCACCGACTGGCTCGGTTTTATCTAAGAGTTTCCACCTCCTCGGCTTCGCGCTAAAACGGAACTGGTCATTCAATCCAAAGAAGCTCCTCAACAGGGTTCGCAGTGATGCGTTCTGGGAGAGCGCCAAGCCTAGCAACGTGGCTGTGAAACCTTCCTGGATGACCTTCGACGATGCTTGGGTTGACGAGATCTGCCGCGGCCTCTCAGCCTGTGCGGTCTTCGTATTCTTGCCGATATATTGGCTGTCGTATTCGCAGATGACCAACAACTTGGTGACACAGGCGGGGACTCTGAAGCTCAACGGGCTTCCCAATGATTTGGTGCAGAACCTGGATCCGATCGCACTCCTGATCTTGATTCCTATCTGTGACAAGTTCGTCTACCCTCTCCTCCTCAGGGCGGGAATCAGGTTTACTCCGCTCAAGAAAATCACGGCTGGGTTTGGCGTCGGCAGCGCGTCCATGGTCGTGGCGGCCCTGATCCAGCACTACATCTACGTCAAATCACCGTGTGGGAAACACGCCACCAACGGCGACTGTATTGCTGAACGCGGCCCGCCGGACCTGTCAGTCTGGGTGCAAACGCCTGCCTATGTGCTGATTGCCTTGGCCGAGATCTTCACGTCCATCACGGGCCTGGAATACGCCTTCACCAAGGCGCCCAAGAACATGCGTTCGTTCATCACGGGATTGTTCTGGTTCACCAACGCCTTCTCGAGCGCGATTGGTCAAGCCTTCGTCCCTCTAGCGAAGGATCCCTTATTTATCTGGCTGTACGTCATCATCGCATGCCTCAGCTTCGTCGCCATGTTTGTGTTCTGGTTCACTTTCAAGAAGTTGGATGCGGAGGAAGATGCCCTCAACGCCCTCCCCGAGAGCACGTACAAGGGACGCAAAGGGAGCGTCGTCGACGTCGACGTCGAGGCATTGCGACAAGAGCAAATCAGACAGGACAAGATCAGGAAGGCCCAAGGACTGGCTCGTGGGTCGGTAGACGTCTCGAGTAAGTAATCGAAAGGAACATTGTCAATACAGTTCCCGCAAACGGGCATAGAGTACCAGGCAGTGAGTGCACTGGAGGTATCCAAGTGGAGATATGGGTGATATTGTGGATGATATGACGCGATATTTCGATGCCAGGTGGCGGTGATGACCTTGACCTGGTACATTACGGAGTACAGGTAGAAGAGGTATTGCCCGGAGAGACACAGAAGACATAATATACTCTGTGCCGCCAACAGGGGGCTCAGGGGCCCAGGAGGCGCAGCCTTATTGCGGGCTCGAGCCTTAGACTCAGGGAGCCTCATCTGACCAATTAAGGGTTAAGCTTAAGTGGTCTGACTAAGGACGGGACCTAGGAACCCTCACGCGCACCGTGTCACGGCGCGTACTCCATACTCCATACCTATCTCCATAAGCCATCCCCTCCACTCACATTACTTACTCTGTACATTCTCCGCGGTGCATAGGGTGTGGTGTATCTGTCTCATCTCAACTGGCGTCACTCACACCGCCATCCTGACTTGACTGCACAAGACCAAGACGACTCTTTGTGTCGAAGTGTCGAGCGTCGACCACTGGCAGTGAGACCGTCTGGTGGTCTGGTTCCAGTCCCCCTAGCATGGAGTGTCGAGATGGTCAGTTGTCCTATCTGCGGCAAGTCGGTGAATGCAGCCAAGATCAACAACCACATCGATTCGGACTGTGTCGAGGATGTTGAGGCCGACATTACTGCCACTTCCACCGCCACCGCCACCGCCTACGGCACCGGCAACCATGATCCTGATAACGACGACAATGCAAGTCTCTCCTCTCCGGCCGTCGCCCCGCTCTTCAAGACGCCCGGTGCAAAGCGCGATGCATCTGCCTCTGCCTCCTTTGCGTCCTTCTTCTCCTCGTCGCAGCCGTTGCCGTCGCCGAGCGAGCCTCGATCGACCGCGGTGAAACGGTCGTTTGATCATGCGTCGACGCAGGCAAATGGCCCGCCGGCGGCGAAGCGAATATCGGATTGGCCGTCGACACACCCTACGGGTTCTTTTACACACTTGAAGAGCGAGGACAAAGAAACACGGCATAATCACAATGGAGTTGGGACCGGAGCTGGAGCTGGACTTGGAATCGGAGTCGGAATCGGAAATGCTGCTGAACAACCAGCGGCTCCGGCGCCACACGCACTTACCCCGGCGAACAAGAAATCCAAGGCCAGGTCCAACGCGTTCGAAAGAGCGGCACCACTAGCCGAACGCATGCGGCCCAAGTGCCTGGACGACGTCTGTGGCCAGGACCTGGTCGGACCGGACGGGGTGTTGAGAGGGCTGATCGAGCAAGACCGAGTGCCGAGCATGATCCTCTGGGGAGCGGCGGGGACGGGCAAAACGACGATCGCGCGGGTGATAGCCAGCCTGGTGGGCAGTCGGTTCGTCGAGATCAACAGCACCAGCAGCGGGGTGGCGGAATGCAAGAAGATCTTCGCCGAGGCCAAAAGCGAGCTGGGGCTGACGGGCCGCAAGACCATCATCTTCTGCGACGAGATCCACCGCTTCTCCAAGTCGCAGCAGGACGTGTTCCTGGGCCCGGTCGAGGCGGGCCACGTGACGCTGATCGGGGCGACGACGGAAAACCCGTCGTTCAAGGTGCAGAACGCACTACTCTCGCGCTGCCGGACGTTCACGCTGCAGAAGCTGAGCGACGCCCATATCTGCCACATCCTCACGCGGGCGCTGGAGGCCGAGCGCGACACCTACGCGCCGTCGTCGCTGGTGAATGACGAGCTGATCCGGTACCTGGGGGCATTCGCCGACGGCGACGCCCGGACGGCCCTCAACCTGCTGGAACTGGCCATGGATCTCTCGCGGCGGCCGGGCATGACGACCGACGTGCTCAAGCGGTCGTTGACCAAGACGCTCGTGTACGACCGCGCCGGCGACCAGCATTACGACACCATCTCGGCCTTCCACAAGGCCGTGCGCGGCTCCGACCCAGACGCCGCCTTGTACTATCTCGCGCGCATGATCCAGTCGGGCGAGGATGCACTGTACATTGCGCGCCGCATGATCGTCATCGCCTCCGAGGACGTCGGCCTGGCCGACCCGTCGCTCCTCCCGCTCGCCACCGCCGCCTACACGGCCGCCGAGAAGATCGGCATGCCCGAGGCCCGCATCAACCTGGCCCATGTCACCGTCGCCCTGTGTCTCGCCCCCAAATCCACCCGCGTCTACCGCAGCCTGCAGAACGCCTTGGATGCCCTGCACGAGCCCGGCGTCGCCGCCCTGCCCATCCCCTACCACCTGCGCAATGCCCCCACCAAGCTCATGAAGGACCTGGGCTACGGCAAAGAATACAAGTATAATCCCAACTACAGAAACGGCAAGGTCGCCCAGGATTATCTGCCTGACGCGCTGAAGGGACGGAGGTTCTTCGAGGCCGCTGATTTCGGCGACATGGTCGACCAGGATTTGAAAGACGTCGATCATTTGGAGGAGCATGGCGCTGATCCTGGTTCTGGGTCTGGGTCTGGGTCTACCGGCGGTGTCGACGGCAGGCATTCATTTTCACTAGGGTAGACAGATTCATTCTCACTAGGGTACTACCGGCATAGACTCATTTCCCTTTAGGCATAGATTCATTTTCACTAATTAGGGTAGGCATAGATTTGCGACAAGGTACTACCGACATGTATTTTTCTCAATAGGGTAGGCAAGGCCCATATGGTTTTATTATTCTTATATACGGAGTATACGGATATATAATTCCTTGTCGCTACCTACCTACATGTACCTTGACTCGCCTCCAAGGTTTAACATATGGCCGGCTACCGGCTACTGGCTACCTGATCTGATATCTATCATTTCTTTGCTTGCGTCCGACTTCTTAGGTCCACAGTTTATGGATCTAGAGACAGAGGGGCAGAGAGACAGAGAGAGAGAGAGGGACAGAGAGAGGGACAGAGAGAGAGACAGAGAGAGAGACAGAGAGAGAGGGACAGAGAGAGAGGGACAGAGAGAGAGGGACAGAGAGAGAGGGACAGAGAGAGAGAGAGAGAGACAGAGAGAATAAGCTGGTAACACTACATGGCTCTATTGATGTTTTCTGCTTTCTATAGTCTGCTTTCTGCTTTTTCTCCATCTCTTTATACTTATTCTCCCATCTACTCATATTATGCACTCCCAATCATATACTTCCGCAACCCTCTCAGTCGCTCCTTGGCGTCTTCGAGGACATCGTCGTTCTTGCACACGGCAAACCGCAACCAATCCTCGGCCATGTGTGCCCGTTCATCGGTGTAGAATTCCGTCGGGGGAATGGCGGCCACGCCTAATTCTACAATGAGGAAGTACGCCATACGAAAGTCGCGCGGCCGGTTCTTGACATGATCTGGGAACGCGTAGTTGTCCGGCAGCTGGACCTTGGCCAGGTTGGCGAGCACGAAATAGCCACCATCGGGAATGGAATACGGAATGTTGAGTTCGTCAAACACCTGGCAGAAACGGTCCATCTTCCCCTTCATCTCCTTGACGGCTTGGTCCCAGAAGCCGACCTTGTCAGCCTGCTCGAAGCCAATGGCGGCCGCTTCTTGCAGAGGCGAGACACTCGAGTAGCAAATCCGCGTGTGGGCGGCGGCAACATACTTGATCAGGTGGGGAGGCCCGATCAGATATCCCACCCGCCAGCCTGTGGCGTAGAAGTTTTTGCCCGCCGACCCCACGGTCAGGGTGATCTGCGCCAATTCCGGGGAGAGCGTGGCTATCCGAGTGAAAGGGACGTAGTATAGCCGATCGTAGACCTCGTCGGAGAGAATGATGGTTTGGTGCTTCAGGCAGAGTTCGCCAATGCGGGTCAATTCTTCCTTGCTGAAAACCTTGCCCACAGGGTTGTGCGGCGAGTTGAGCACAATCATCTTCGTCTTGTCATTAAAGGCCTTTTCCAGTTCTTCAAAGTCGATGGTCCAATTGCCGGCCGAGGACGTTCGTTCCGCGCCGTCGGGGGGAGGATGCATTGGGACATATCTGATGACGCCGCCGGGCATTTCAATATTACTGATGTACTGGTCGAAGAAAGGTTCGAAGATGATGACCTCGTCGCCCGGTTCGATGAAGCCCATGAATGCGCTCAGCATACCTTGAGGTTCCGATCGATTAGCCTGTATAATTGATTTCAAATGGTTGAGACTCCTCCACTCTTCCACTCTTCCAACCCACCTTCATTGGCCCCGGTTGTGATGGTCACCTCGGTCTCCGGGTCCAACTTGCGGCCAAAGAACGGAGTGTACGCATCGGCGATGGCTTTCTTCAACCGCGGCCTTCCCTTGGTGGGGGAGTATTGATTGCATTCGACTCGGTCAAGGGCGCTCTTCGCGGCGTCGATGATGAACTGGGGAGGATTGTAGCCACTGGACCGAGGCAGCATTAGCCTGGGGTTGTCTTTGTCTTCGCGCTGACGGACAATGCCCATTGCCGACGCCCCATACTCACAAAAACCCTTGTCCCATGTTCACGATCGGCTGGATGGGAGACGCAGCAGCAGCCTCGTTGATGATGGACCACACATCCTGTTTCTGATCGGCGACGCGCTTCGCGGGGGTGAATTTGGCAGACATCCTGGCCGAGGAGGAGAGGGTGCGCCGGTGACTGGTGGAGGTTGAGGTGGAGAGAGTCACCCAGGGCGGGTTGGAACTGGAGGAGGAAAGCCGGGGTCGAGGGGCTTGACGAGAGGCAGACCGGACTGCTGCTGTGGTTGCTGACAAGCCTGAGCCCCAGTTCATGAGGACTGGACGGTAGAAAAGAATGTAAGTGTTCGCGCACGCAAAGCCAAAAAAGATGTGTACCTCCGGGAGTACAGAGGACAGCGGACGGATACAGTGCTGCTGAAAGTCGAGGTCGATCGACCAGTCAGAGAGGCTGAAAATGATGCGAGATCGGACGCGGGGACAAGTGCGCCGACGAGTAGGCGAGGCTCCTCTGGACGGAGTATGGAGTACTCCGTACTGTACTCCGTACAATATCTATAGATATAACTATACGTATTTCTATATCTCGGTCTTCTTAACAGCACACAGCCATCGCCATAATCTACGCAAACAACACGTCGTGCACACCAGTGGTGCCATTAAACATTGGCCAAGTCACATGTGACGTTTGATCCGTACGACACGACAGTATACAGTATACAGTATATACCTCCAGTGCCTCGTGTGGGACCACGACCGGCATTGTATGTACTATACATACTACATACAGTCCAATACTGCCTTTTCATGGTCGTCAAAGTAGCCGTCTCAAGAATAAAGCAGTCAGTGTACGCCGTCCCCTATGCAATGCGCTTTCCAAAACATTGAACACAAGAAACATGCCGGCCATCCCAGATGTATGCAGCCCCTTGCCGCGTCGAGGCTGTACAATACTGCCCCGCCCATATTAGGCGGTCCTGGAACCCGCACTCTGGTCACTTTAGGCGTACCTAACACTGTTGCCTCGTTGACCATCTCCCCATCCAGCCGCGTAGGCCGGTGGCGGTTGAGAAGGATACCAACCATTGGGAGCGGGCTGCATCTGTACAGGTGGCTGTCCGCCACCGTAACCACGGTCTCTCATCTGGGCTGGAACCTGCGGTCCATCCCATCCAGTGGGTGGATTCCGGCGAGCTCCCCTCCTATTCTGGCGGCCTCCAGGCGCCATGCCGACCAGCCTCTTCTGTCTCGGTCGTCTGCAGGCTCGCACACAACAGCCAAGGACCGCCAGAAGGATGAGGCCGCCGATTGTACTGGCCAGTGCAATCACCAGAGTCTTGTGGTCGTCAATCCAAGACTTGACCTCGCCGCCAACGGTGCTCCCACGACAAACACCATTTTCACAGTGTCCGCCCCCGCCGCAGACAGTCCCGTCCAAAAAGTTCTGCTGCATACTATAACAGACGTTGGCGCCAAAATCAGGGCTAGCACAGCTCAGGGTGCACGTCTGGCTGTTGCAAGCGTAGGTATCGTTGTTGGATGTGTAGCTTCCCATGAGTGTCCGGCACTGAAGATCACGACTGGTACATTGACCACTGGCACACTTGAGCCCGTCACCACAACTGGTCCCGTCAGGGGAAGTCGTGTCGGCAGGGCAAGTTCCATTGGTGCCCGAGCAAGTCTCTTGAGGATCGCATTGGCCGGTGGTTGCACGGCACACAGTCCCCGCGCTGGAAAATTGGCACGAAGCCGTGCAGCAACCTTCGTTGCTGGGGTCGCAGACGGCGCCATCGTTGAATTTGCAGGTCGTGGGATTGCAGCATGAGTTTCCGGAACATCCTGACTCGCCACCGCAATCGCAATCCTCGCCCTCTTCGACGATTCCATTGCCGCACTGGTTGCCGCTGATTGTGACCACGCCTTTGTTGTCGGTGAGACAGCCCGATTGGACCGAATTGCGACCCAGAGCGCTGCAAATGTTGCCAATGGAGCAGGGCGAGAAGGTCGTGATGTCGGAAGACGAATAAGGGTTCATCATGTACTGGGCGTTGGCGTCGCACGTCGTGGCGGAAAGGGGGCAGCATTGGCCCGAGTTGACCGTGTTGGAGTCGGCACACGTGCTCGAATCACAATCATGCACGGCGCCAAAGGTATGACCGCTTTCGTGGGCGAACACTTGCCATTCCGTCGACGTCTTTGCAATCACATTGGCGCCGGTGACGCTTTGAGTGCTGCCGCTGGTGTCCTGCTGGTCGGTTGAGCCATGATTGCACAACTGCCCCAGCCATGCAAGACCGACTTCGGCACCCGTGTTGCAGGTGGTGAAGAGCGACCAGTAGGCGTTATCGTCGCCCCGCTGCCCGCGCCATTGCGAGAACAGGTTGAGCCGTTGAGTGATGTCGGTGCTGCCGGTGCAGCCCACGTTCCACGGAGTTTGAGAGCTCGCATTGCTGGGACACTCGGCTTCGGAGACGGTCAGATTTCTGAGACCCAGGGTGATGTTGAAAGTGGATTGGTACAGATCAGAGGCCGTGTTGACCTGGGTGATGACGTTCTGTCTCAAGCTGTCCGTGGAGTTGAAGCTGCTGGTATAGCCGCAGTCAGTAGCAACCCCAAGCAGAGCAACTTTGCGGGTTGTCGGGCAGCCCGCTGTGCTGCCAATCGTTGACTTGAGATTGACACCCGCCGAATTCCCATTCCCGGCGCCCCCGCCGTCAATATTCTGGCGCTTCCCGAGCAAGTTGGAAAACGACACGGCACCCCAGTAGCCCACGTCACGCTTGAGCATCAAGTCCCGGAAAATAGGGTGTTCAGGGTTCGAGTTGAACTCGAGCTTGTCAGAAGCACAAGTCAACCCAGCACTGCGCTTCAGCTGGGTGTGTGCTTGTCGACTAACGTCGGAATCTCGCCAGACGGCCATGTATTCGTCGTCATCGTCTTCCAGGTCTGGGTCCATCAGATGCTTGGTGGCCATGTAGTTGGATTTCATCTGAATGTGATGATGGTTGCCATGTATCGTAAAGGCGCCTTCAAACAGAGGCTGCACTCCATCTCTTCTCACCACGATACGAGCCCAGCCGACATACGTGGACATACCATCATGGTCGACCACGAATGCCTTGCCCTGGTACACTTTATGGTCTGCCCGTTGCATCCTTTCCGCGTGCTGGACATTGCCATGTTTGTCGATAAACTCAATGTATGAATCTTGATGGAGGATATCGTGGTTTGGTTCCAGACTGAGCCTGACATGTTCCGAGTTTTGGTGGAGATCGAATGTCAAGTCAAAACTTGAGTAGGCATTAACCCTCTGGGAGGGAGAGTGTATTCGGGGGTTCTCAATTAGGGAGAGATAGTTTAACGGGTTTCTCGATCTGGAGTGGGCATCGACTGTTGATGAGAGGCAGAAATATGAGACAGCCAAGGCAGCAAGGTGCTGGAAGAGGCGCATCGCGCCGGGTCGGATTGGGTGCCTAACAAAGGTGGTCTATCGGGGGCACATGAGGATGAAGGTCTGAGTGAGGATACTGGAAGTGACCGCCGAAGGTGAGTGTGTTGTATTAGTCGTCCCTCGCTCCTAATGGAGATCTGCTGTCTTGGTATTTGTACAGGTATAAGGCCGCTGTAGATGTCAATCTTAATTATTCAGCACTGTAGCGACGGCGACGTAAGAATGGAGCGAAGTCGCAGCGCTGCGAAGTGAGATGACAGGTGAGGCTCGAAAGATGGGAGATCGAGTCAAAGATGAGAGAGGAGCGAATAGCTGTCGGCGGCCCAGACAGAGTATGTGTATGCGGACAAGCTGAGCACCTCGTACTAGTACTGGTATGTATGTGTAGTCACTGTGTGCTGTACGGATAGTACCTGTTGGCGGTGGATGTGAAGGATGCCGATGCTACTGATGATGATGATGGAGGAGTGGATTGCAGCGCAGACATAGACACTGACACAGGCACAGTTTGCACACTACGCATACGGATGTGCCAGTGGAACAACAATGGGGGCTAAGGCCAGGCGAATAATCCATACACATACTCTACAGCCTAGCACCTATAGGGTGCGGCTAGTGGCCGGGGGCCCTGAGGCTGGGCTCGGGCGCCGAGAGGAGGTTACGACAACGCCAAGGTTGCCCCCATTGCCCAGCCGCGGGACGGGGTTTAGTCACAGTCCTAAGCCCCTAAGCCCCAAGCCTTAGGACCCTAAGCCCCCCAGCTCACACCTGGTATGTAAGGCCTAACTTAGGTACTCACTCCCGTGTCCGTCTGTGCCGGCTTTGTGCTGTACAAGGCCAGCCCGGCAACCGTCATCACCGGTGGATCAGATTCAGATTGTCAACGTTAACAACTATTAATAATATACGATGCGACGGCTTGTTGAATCCTATAGTAGATACTATATATCTACCAGGGAGTATCAAACTCGTGTAGGACTAGACGGAGTACTGAATCACAGTATAAACCACATCACACATCCTTCTCTCTGACCACCTTTTCGTGGTTCATTGGGATTGGACAATGCCACTCACTCACTCGCTGCACAGCCTCACCACCCTCCCCTCACCCGTTACAATGTTGCAGAGGCTCCGTGGATCGACGCTGACACTGCCTCTCCTTCCTTTGTGCTTTGTGCCGGTGTTTCCGGCTTGGGCCCTCCTGGTTTCGGACCCTACAATGGGCTCTTCAGATCGATGCTGATTCGTCCGCCCCTCCAGCCTCAAGGTCTCCCAAAACGTTCTTGAACAACTCAATTTCTTCAGGGAACTTCTTGCTGAGTGAATCCTGAATAATCTCTTGACCTTCGTAGAAAAGTAGACTCGCTTATTACTAGCTAATTACCGATTGAAGAGGACGACTCGAAACACAGTGCACACAGCGCATGCCGACCAAGAGTCTCGTCTCTTCCAGGTCCTTTTTGTTCCAAACCCCTCAAAATTCGCCAGAGGAAGGCTACTTGGTTCTGCTTAGCTGCCGGTCTCAGTCTCGACACCGGGCTCTCTTCCGCCCAAGCCTCCCGTAAATCTTTTCTTGATTTTGCTCATTCCAATCTTCGCTTCATCCTTTGCAAACTTGACATTCCGTGCTGGCGTCCACTGCGACAGTCCTCGATGTTTACGGGTTTCCGCTCGCTTGCCCGCCTTTGCATCCCACCTGGCATCCTTTTTCGCCACGGGCAGCACCGAATCTGTCGACGCTTCCGTCATAGTCGTGTAGTTGGTGTCAGCTGTTGTCGTCGTGTCCGCACTTGGTCGGCCGGCACTGCCATTGAGCCCTCTCACCCCATTCGTGTGGGCGGTCTCACTCTCGTCCCGAGCGCTGGTAGCATCATTTATGCCCAGATCGGACGACGAGCTGCTGTCTCCATCATCGTCCCCATCGTCACTTGATGGATGATAAGGATCATGCGGCGGGTCATCAACGCCTGGCTCGGCAATCTTTTCATGCTGTTTGTTGGTGTACGCCCGCGGATCATGGGTGAAGGCGCCGGACCAATCTTCTCCCGTCCTGCTCAGCCACTTGCGGCGCTCCTCCTCCGATGCCTGTTGCTGGAGGATATCTCGACCTTCAGTCAAAGAAGCCTCGTGCATCTGTTGGATGCTTGCCGGTACCTCGGCCTCGACTACCCGCTCGCGTACACCCTCCGTCATGCACGTTTCCCACGTCTCAAAAGTCTCGCGTGTGTCGTTGTCCACCACGAAGTCTCGGTGCGATTCATCCATCCCGGCCTTGAAGCGGCCACGGAATTGCAATCGCCCGACCTCCTGCAGATCTTCCAAGCCCTTGTCCTTGAAGCCTTGGACGTTCTCTTCGGTGATGTAGTTCTGCACGAGGCGGCTGCCGTTCTTCGTCTTCCAGATGGGGATATCGATCGGGGTCTCCTCATTGTCAACGAGATTCTGCAACCAGATCGACGCATAAGCGGCCGCACCGCGTTTGCCCGTCACATGGAACTCGAAAATGACCGGGGACCGATATCGATACCTGACTGGCAGGCGCATATGGCGATTGTTCTCTGTCGAAACGTCCCAGTACACGCCGTCGCCTGTCTCATTGCTGTGGCAGTGAGTGCGCGGGATCGTGCCCGTGCTGCCACCGGTGCGAAGTTTGAGCTTGGTGTTGTCCTTCCAGCCCTTGGTCACGATCTGATCAGAAAGGAACTCGAAAGTACCAACGTCCCAGCCCAGCATCTTGGGAGGAAGCTTGAGTTCTATGCTCCGGAAGAGGACGGAGATTCTGATGCGGCCAAAACCAATGCCCCCGTCAAGCGGATACCATCTCGTCACCTGAGAACTGGTGGTGAGCAGTTCCGACAGGCGCAGAGGCACCACGCCCAAAATGGGATCATGCTCCCGATTCCGCTGGTCACGAACGGTGACCGTGACAATACCGGATCGCCAGTCACGCATGAATCGCTCTGTTCCGGCATTGAAGATGGGCTTGCTGCTGACCGCCTTGGCTCGAGTGCGGTAGACAAGCATGTCGTTGAACAGGATGGTGCAATATGAAGTTGGCAATCCTATCTCATGTTAGCGGCCTTGCACCCCGTCCAGTCATGATGGGTACTCACTGATGGATTCCTCTTCGGTGGCCTCACCGAACGGCTTGGCTGGCTCAAATTCTTTGCCCTTTCTGTTCCCCTGACTGCCTTTGATATTTTCAAGTTCCAAGCTGACGATTTGATGCACGACAACGCTGCAGATGCCACTGGGCCACAAGGGGTCAGGAGGAGTATGGGCGACGGCATCGGAATCTTCAGTGTCAAGTGTACCCTTTTCGTCTTGAAATTGTGCATCATCCTGCAGTTTAGCAGGCAAGTTCTTGTCCTTCCCGTCGGTGCGCAAGGCGGGGCGGAACTTGGGCTTGCCAAAGTAGCCAACCTCCCAGTGCAATTCACCTGGCATCTCGGTACCGTCTTGGACGCCAGATAATTTGGAGATCTGCGGGTACATTTTGCTCGGATGCTGAATCATTTTCTGCATCGACAATTCCACCTTGCCAACCATGTCATCTGCAGAGTTGCGATCCGAGTCCCACAACTCAACGCTTAGCTGTTCATCAGCCTTGATCAGCTCTGGCGTGACCAGAAGGGCGGTGGTCTCCTCAAACACTGGATTGAGGTCATCGCAAATCACACGAGTACAGTACATCGGCTTGCCATATTTGGAAAAGGACAAGTTGATGTAAGGATCGCTTCCGCCGTATTTGCTGCCGCGACGATCTTGTTTGCTGAGTCCGATGGCGCGATGGATTCGAATCCACATGACCCCAATGGCCTGGGTGTCCTTGGTGATGTCGTCTCCTTGCAGCATTGATTTGAGGTCAAGTTGCATCGACTTGGGAGCAACATACATGCTGGCGGCTGCTCCGATGGCATAGTTGACAAAATTTGAGATCAGAGGCAGGTTGAGGATGTTAACCCCGTGCTTGAGCATTGGAATACAGCCTGCTTGAACATGGGGGACACCCATCAGAGTGAAGGTAAGGCTCTTCGCGAACGGTGGTTCCGGGGTCATCTGTAGCCGCAGCCGTATGGTCCCAACCAGTTCCTGGAGTTCAACGAAAATAGGTAAGGGCACGCCGATCAATCCTTTGACGCCAAGGTAGAAGACGAGGTTCATGTGCATGTTTCGTGCTTTGGAAGCTGCGCTAGCTCCGCTAGGTTTGGCATGGTAGGCAAAGGCGACCTCTAGGTTGTAGTAGTCGCCGCCTTCTTCGTCGGCGGCTGCCTCTTGAGGGTCTTTTATCTTCTTGTTCTCCTCATGAATACTCTGTTTTAGGTCCGCCACCCTGGAGTCGGGCAGTGCGCGCAAGCTCAGGATTCGAAGGGGGTTGTTTCCCTGGTCGATTTCTGCGACTCGGACATTGTTGATGACACCGGGAACAGAGGCTTGCATGACATCTTCCAAGGTATCTGCCACTCCAGCAAACATTTCCGGGTCAATGAGCCCCCAGACAACGCCGAGAAAGGTGTTCATCCATTCAACGGACTCGGGTAGGAGGTTCGCGACCGCCTGCAAGCGTCAGCATGGCTCTAACCGGACAACCGCGCGCAAGTACGTACCGTTTCCCCTCTGTGCTGCTCACTGCTCCATTCGACCTCGCGTCCACTTCTCAAGACCTCTTTCATCCAAAGCCAAACGCCCGAAGCCAGACACATTCCCAAAGGGATCAGACCTTTGAGAGACCCTCCGAACATTTTGCCGAGTATGACGACAGAGAGTAAGATGGCAATGCAAAGGCCCCCCGCACGCTTCTCGAGCAGCTCGAACATGGGCTCATAGCTGACGGAAGGTGTCGGGTGGAACAAAATATTGGTCTTTTCACCGTGGATGGGAACATCGGAAGTGCTCCCCTCGGCAATCGGATCCGGAGGTGCTGTTATGTCTTGTTTCTCCTTGTATTCTGGATTACTCTGAGAGGGATCTGTCTTGACAGGTGTGGGTTTGCCTAGATTGGCATTGGGGACAGAAAGCTACCCGATGGTCAACAATCTGTGTTGCGCGTCAAACGCTGCGAGTGTTCTTACCTGAGGGTTGTCCGCCCTCGTCATGTACTCTTTGCCCACATTGGCGATCAAAACCTTGTTGCCGGTGACGGGATCGGTGACGGTTTTCCCAGATGTCTTCTGCTTCTCATTCTTGTGGGGGGTCGCTTCATTGGAGCGAGCTGCTTGTTGGTTTGGACTGGAATCAAGTTCCCTGTCTCTCTGGGCCTTGTCTTTATCGAGAAGAGTGACGAACTCTTTGATGTTAGGGATTTTGTTCGTGCCACTCCAAGGCTTCCCACTCTTCTGCTGCTGGGCCGCCATGGTCGAGATCGAGGTGACACGGAGCTGCGAGGGGGTCAAGGAGGCTTCAATGGGGAATGGGGATGGGGATGGGGTGCATGCTATGATTTAGGATAGAGAGTTCCTTCGGGACAGGCAGAGTGCCGAGGCCAAAGGCACCAAGACAACAACTTGAAGGACTGTAAAACAGAAGATGAGGAGGATGGCTTAAAGAAAACTTGGAATTAGAAAATAAAGGAGAGGTGATGTCTGGCAAGGAACCAGCATCATGCAGGGCATCATGTTGACCTCCCCAAGCCCAGAGCCCTTATGACGTAACTGCGCAACTGCGCGTTCCACTGCTGCCACTGGCTGGCGGCCGCCTTTCATGCAGCTGCCAAACTGCGTCAATCTGGCCTGTAGATCAGCATCTCAACTGACATACGCGTCTCCCTTTCGAGCGAGTCCCCGCCTCCTCATCCTCATCTGCCTGAGCCTGGTTTAGCCGGCAATCGAAGATGATGCACGGCCGGTGATATCAGCGCGCTCATCAGCCAGAAACCATGGAACAGGTTTGCCGCTAACTGCACCAGACGCCGCCCTCAAGCCACAAACTAAATCACACGCCTCCACTACTTTGGCACGCACCAATCGACCGTCCCGATCGTCGCCCGACTCGAGATCAAAGATCGTCCTCATCGGTCTCGCTTGATGTGATGCCGACATGTGAAGAGGAGATCAAATGTCATTATAGTGATATGTAGAGGCTCTCGGCTGGGGCAACATACACCCCGTTAGGGAGCTGATGAACCTGACCAGACCTTGCTTCCGCCCATCCACGTCTCTTGAACATAGCCCTCCTGGTCGAGAATCACAAAATCTGCTCTGCGTCCAGGCTCAAGTGTTCCTCTCTTAGTCTCGCCCATCATATCTGCTATGTTCTCCGTAACACACTGGATGGCTTCGGCCAGATTGCACCCGGTAAATGCGACCGCATTCCGCACGCACTCGTCCAAGGTACAACAGCTGCCTATCAGTGTATCCGTGCCTTCGATGGTTACTTTGTTGCCCTGCTTATACTGCCGCTGGTCAATCTGTCCGTGGCCAGGATGAACCCCATCAGGTAGCCCTGCCAACTCGATGCTGTCCGTGATGAAGACGCATTTCTTGGGGTCTGCACGCATGCTCAGCGTCAGGACTGCCGGGTGTAAGTGGATGCCGTCGGGAATGACCGAGAAGTAGCATTTGCCGGTTGCCATGAGTCCTGCCAGCCCGGGGTTTCGGTGATGCAGAGGGCTTGTCGCATTGAAGACGTGTGTCAACGCCCGCGCACCCAGCTGGAGCGCGACAAGCCCTTCCTCGAAGGTAGCAGCCGAATGGCCTAGTGAGATGACAACGTGAGGGAATTCTTCCTGCAGCTGACCGATCAGTGCGGTTGATCCGGGTAGTTCTGGTGCCAGGGTGACCAGTTTCACCACATCTTTGAGGTTCTCACGACCGTAGAGCTTGACCGGGGATATCTCAGTCGGTGTTTGAAGGTAGTCCGCCTTGTGCGCCCCCTTTTTGGACGGATTGAGAAAAGGCCCCTCGACATGAGCGCCCAGCAGTTCCGCGCCGGATGCGAACGTCCGCGGCTTCAGTGCGGGCACTATCTGAGAGGTAACAACGTCAGCCCATGAACGCAGAGGGCGGGTGGGCTCCTAATTGCTTGAGGCTCGGGAGACCGCTTGTCCCGTAGCACTGTAGCACTCTGTATGGACCACGATGAGGCCGGTCGGGTCTTCTAAACGTCGACCCCAACTGTTTCCTCATGCGAGAGCCGATAGAAGGGGCGGAGGAGAGAAGAGACAAGACGAGACGAAGACTCTTAAGAGAAAGACATCAGCCATCGTGATCCATGTTAACCAACCCACCTTTGTCCATTCGTCGACGGCGACGGTAGGCACAGTCGCCCACCACGCCGTAACGCCATGGCTAAGTTCGACCCTGCTGACCTCGTGCAGCTTCCGCTCGGTTTCTTGAGGACTCTCGGCTCCCGCCTTCGCCAGCCGAGTGAAGTGCACCCCGTGCGTGCCGTTCGTCTGCAGCTCCAGGTATCCTGGCGCGACGATGCGGCCATTCAGATCTATCCTCTCGACGCCTTCACTTCGGTAGTAGTAATTCGGAGTGATCAGGCCGGCGTCCGCGCTGAAGTAGAGATCTTGTGCGACCAATTCGCCCTGGATGCAGAGAAGGCAGTTGGTGAAGCACCGCAATGACCGGTCCATCGGAGATGATTGCAAGGGGTGCTATGGGTACGAATGGTCGAACTAGGTCCGGTGAATGATTAAAACAAGGGGCTTAGGGGCCCGAGGATATGGCTTCGCGCGATTCTAGGGCTGCGAAGGACGAAGGATATAATAGAAACTATGGCTGGGATCAAGTCGCCTCGGAGCCCCACGAAGCGAACACAAAACGAGCAATGATCTTTGTAACTGCCTTAGACAGCCAACACCGGCCACGGCCACGTTATTGCTATTTAATATGGGCTATATGATTTGGCACTGGATAGTATTTCCATACCTGCAGAGCCAGGCTTGCGGCGCTCACACCTGTTCAACGTCTGCTGCGAGCGCCTCCGTACGCTCATCTGGTGGTCTGGGCTGCGAATCTATAAAGGCTTCCACCTTCACACGCTCACCTTCCTGTCGAGCTGGCGTGCCATTCCCACCAAGACCCAACTCTGCACTCAACTCCCATCTCCTCCTCTTCCGCTTTCTTCTTCGAGCGCACTTGCTCCTCGGCCTCTCTTCTCTGCCGCGCCTCCAGTCTCCAGTAACGGCGTCAGAAGACGTTGTAGACTTCCTCTTCCTCCCCCCGCATGTAGAATATTCATCCACGTGAACTACCCGTTCTTCCAACCCCTTCCCATCATCTCCGGTAGAGGCAATGCTCTCTTCTTCGACCTCGGAGAGACAAGTGTCATCTTCGGAGGTGCTGAGATCTACATGGCATCTCACGTAGTCTGTCGTAACGATCTCCTCTTCCAAGATCACCCGGAACGTCACCTTCTTTGGCGGCGGGAAAAAGATTCGCCGCCCGGGCACCCAACTGGTTGGACTGGCAGAGCAGCATGATGGACGACGAAGATCCTTGGGCAAAGGACTATTTTTTAAGATTGGACGCAGCCCGTACGGCAAGTCGACACTATATGGTTGACCAGGGGAGGTCGTCGTAGGGGACGGCGGATGACCGGTCGCTATTTGCTGGACCTGTGTCGCGGGGGACGGGATTGTGGAAACTGGTGAGGGGCGGTGCGCAAGATCGAATGTATTGACATAAGTGTTCATAGTAGTTGGCGTGGTGATCGCATCTGTGCTGGCGGCATTCCGACTAGCCATGGATACGTTGTAACTGGGCGTGAGACCTGAAGTCTTGAGAGACAACTTGGGCTTTCTGCTCGTAGTCATGACATCCAAGGGCTGGAGCGTTTCTCGGCAAGAGATTGATAGCGGGCTGTCCATGATGGGCCGAGACAAAAGGTGAGGTGCCGAGGGGACCATAGATATGGAGAGCATGATAGTCGTGGTGGTGGTTGTTGTTGTTGTGGTTGTTGAACGCGATTCTGACGCTCCCGAACATTCATTCATTCAGCAAAGAGACTTGAACCCTTTCACTCCATGGCTCTTCTGAAGTTGCTTCTCTGACAAGCCCAGACACGATAGTGAGGCAAGTTGATGGCAGGAAGCATTCGACAATTCAAGATCAGCCAAGAGGGGCGTAAACACCCGAGGGGGTGGACCCAAGTTCAAATAGACAGAGGCTTTCCGCGTTTAAATCCGCTGTGCCATTTCAACATAGGCCAAAGCACGCTACGAAGTCATCAAGTCGCCATAGACCTCATCTAGACTTGATTAGAATGGGGGAACATGGAGACGATGAAAGACAGGGAGCGTTGTGAAAAGACCAAAGGTAGAGCACGGTTGATAGTGCCAGTAGGACCAACCGCACCATCCGGGCAAGCGTCATGAGAACGCATCCTTTGCCGCCCCTTCATCTAAAACGGGCAGATTTTGAATATAATCACTTCTTACTTTAGGAACCAGCGGAGTCTCCCTTGCGAAACGCTGGCCTGTTGTGGCCTGGCTCCAGAGAGGAGGGAGAACGGCGCGCCTGGGATGGAGACATTCAGACCGAAAGAGCTGGGGTAGCGGAAAAGGCACTATTAGCGGAGGGCGGCTGTTTTTGGCGAACAATAATAAGATCCAGGCACGATCCTAGGATCAAGCTAGAGGAGGTGAGGCCATGTGTGAGAGCTGGATCGCAGGCCGTAGGCGCCGAGGGGTTCTATTTTCAGCATTGGATTGTCCGGCTGGAGGCAGAGGATCGCCATGTGGCGGAGGATGGCCGGGATTTACAGGAAGACGCCAGGCAAAGGCCAGATGATTGGGGCAAAAAGTGATGGATCATGGATTGGATGGATTCGCGGAAATAGACGAAGGACGAAGGGGCAGATGAGATGAAAATAGATGTTCTTTGATTTGCCAAGTCGCAACCGTTGCAGTTGGAGTGGAAAAACATAGCACCGATGCCGAGGCACAAGGTCGCTGCTGGATTGATTCTATTGGGTGTACGGAGTACTGTGTACGGTGTAGGAATATGGCCCGAGCGGGTTTGGAGGGGCGCTCTCCGGGGTCGCCGAGCTTGCGGGCTTCTATTGCACAATAATGCTGCCCAAGGAGCCTTAGGCCCTCCTCCAAAGGGCACAAGCGCCTGGGCAAAAGCTGTAGATAGCTCTCAGCTACCTCCCAGCTCATGATATCTCCGATGCGCAGCCAATGCAAATGCCGGAATGCTGCTGTGACAACATTCACACCGTTCGGCCTGTTGGCTCTCGCTGCAATCGGAGTCCCAACCATCCGTGGCAGCAAAGTCCATATTGGCTCCCTTCACCTCGACGTTCGGCGTCTGCCCATCTGGTGCCTCCATCCACGGCGACGGCAGCTCTTCACGCGAATCTGGTTCCACCTTGACCCTGAAATCTTTGAGCACCTCGTCCTGTCGTCGAAACATCTTCCCAATGTCTCTTCCTTCGCTGTCCTTTCTCTCGGCGGCCGCTTCGGCCATATTAGTAGCCGCAACATTGATTAAGCTGAGGCTCCACCCAGCCTTCTCATGATGAAGCTTGCGGAACATCGGCACCAAAGCTTCGTCTACCAAGCGGTCAGCAAGAATGGAGGGATCTTCGACCAGGCTGAAGACCAGATTGGGCATGGGCGCGGACCGGGAGATGCGATGAGACATCCTCTGTCGAGTACCATCTAGCGTGAGTGCTGGACGAGGTCTCGTTGACAAGCGTAGAGTCCGGGGATGTGCTATCCATCGACGCCGCGGGACGGATCGCTCGGGGTCAGACTCTTCTTCCTCGTCCTCCAGAAGGTCCATATGCATCCGACGAATGAGTCTTTCACCGAGAATGTGCAGTTGCTTCTTGACCTCGTCAAAGCTATGCAAGTGTTTCATGTACGAGTCCTCCTGGCTGATCTGCGACGGAACGCGCCTCACCTTACCCACTTCACTGTCGTCGATTCCGTGGATCAGCTCCCAGACCTTTCCGCCGATACCTCTGGATGATCCTGGGCCTCCAAGGACTTCTTCAAGCAGTTCGGGGCCCATCATATGATGAGTACGGACATCCAGAACGGTCACCGACTCTTTCGTTCCTCCATAGAGAAGATCCTCAGAGACATCTGGCTCGCGGCCCAACACGCGCGTTCTGATCTTTTGGGCCAGTTTGGACCCAACTCCAGGGATTTTTCCAATCTCATGCTCGTCGAGGAAGCGGGTCACGGTCGCGTCCACGTGTCCGACAGGTTGATAGGGGGGCAAGATCGTTGTCTGATTTTTTGGCTTGTTCACGTTGCCAACCAGCTTGGACAACAATTTATTCGTGGCTATTCCGACAGTAGAAGTGTAACCTTTCTGATGTTCTAGCCCATGCCGAATATGCCTAGCCAGATGGGAGCCAAGGACTAACCGCAGTCGCAACTGAGCCTCCTCCTCGGTGCATGATGTAGAATCGTGTGAGTGCGTGGGATACGTGGGCCCGAAGACAGTCGAAGCATCGTACTCAAAGCCAACCGTAGGGTCCTCTTGACTCAGGCAAAAAAAGGAGTGGGTGAGGTCGTTTGGATTGAGCAGACCTACGTTGTAGTCGACCATGTCTGTACAATCAAGCCTGCGAGCTGGTCAGAGAGCAAAGATGACCTGGGAGAACGTCAGACCTACCACACTTCGTCAAACCCTAGGCGCTCTGCTCTGCCGCTCCATACGGACTGTTGAAGAAAGCTGTAGATGTCTTTGGACGCATCACGGAATCGAGTCAAATCCTCACCGAGAACAATCACAGCTTCTGGGCAAATTCTTTTGGCTTCGCTGATGAGCTGCAGTTTTCGAAGACCACGCCGCCGGGCTTCGTAGTTGCATGTAACCACGATTTGCTTCTGCTGAATGGCAAGCGGCACTGACTTGAGGGCTGGATTTTCATTTTCCACGACGGAAGCATAGAAACAGTCCAGGTCAAAATGTAAGACTATGCGGCTGTCATCTCGCTGCAGACTCCAAGCGTTCGGCATAATCGTCGTAAGAACATGTTTGTGTAGGCGAGGGCTCGATGCGTCGACTTGCAGATCATCTATGGAAGACCTTGGGCGAGTGGGCTGGGATCAAATGGACGAGCTCGGCTGACTACCAGATAACGACGCCCAAAGTCGTGGAGGCCAACTAGGTAAGGTCATATGTGTAGCATCACGCATTTGGTCCGCGCCCAAGCGGAGTCTCAATGGGGGACGCGCCCGGCGCGACCACGCACGCGCTTTGGCCGCAACCAAGTAAACATTTTCCCCGTCCGCATTCTTCGCGCTGATAACACCAACATAAATGCATCGGCCAGCTCTAGTGAGCTGACAACGGCGCGTCTGCGCCATTCTCAGGATCATCAATGTCTCAAGCGAACCCTCCGTTCCCTGGCCGAAATGTCTACGCTTCGTCGAGTAAGCTGCCCGATCGCACGGCATTGAAATCTGGAGCGTCTGCTCCTCCGCAAACGTACGCGCAGTCGACCTTCGGCCGGCGGCCAGAACAGCCGTACCAATTCGGACAATCAACGACGACCCAACCGCAGCATGGCACTCTGGGGGGCAGACAAAGCATGGAAAAGGAATCGAACGCGCTGAGTGAACTCAGCGAGGAACAGAGGGACGAGATCAACGAAGCAGTATGCACCGAGCGCCCCTTCTGTATCCTTCCTCCCATGTACTGACCCGTTCTATCCAGTTCTCTTTATTTGATCTCGATAGGGACCGCCATCTGGACTACCACGAGCTTCGAGTCGCCATGCGGTCCCTGGGCTTCACGTTACCGAAAGCCGAAGTGTCGCAGATAATGCAGTCTCATGGTGTACCAAAACCGCAGTTCAAAAGGGGCCCACCAGGCAGGGGACAGCAGTCCTATCACTCTAGTCAACTTCTCTTGCCCCAGAGCGCGTTTCAACGCGTTGCAGCGCAGAAAGTGTTCGAGCGCGATCCAACAGACGAAGTAGAGCGCGCTTTACTGCTATTTGACCCAGACCAAAGGGGCTACATTGAAGTCGACGACATCCGAAGGGTGTCTCGCGAACTTGGAGAGACTGGTCTTGAGGACGAGGAGATACAAGCCATGGTTGAAGAGTTTGATTATGACGGGTCGGGTACCGTCGCGAAAGAGGCGTTCTATGCTATCTGTCTGCAGTGACCCGTGCGGATCGACCCAAACTAATGCTGGTGACAAGCCGACATGCCGTGATGCATTCAACCCAATTGGAGTCGTACTGGACTCCAGGCTCCTGGAGATGTCGAGGTCTCGAAACTTGGTTGTCCCTCAGTCTTGGATTCAATGAGGGCGCAGTACCAAGTCACCATCGAAGTTACCATGGAAGCTGGACAGGCCCTACTTTGGCCGTCTCCTTCCCCATGACCACATCCCAGTTACCAATGTCACGAGTTCCTCTTGGGGCCCAGTACGTGCCCGTCTTGTCCAACGAGAATTCTCCTTCCACCCATTCGCCTAATATCCGGGCAGCTTCCTCGGGTTTGAGCGCACCTCCATCGTCCCAGAATTTGTCAAAGCCGACACCTTTCGTCATCTCGGTCCTCATAAAGCTAAAAGAGTCAGCCAACCCATAGATTTCGAAAGTCAACGTGGTGATGCGAAAGCCTCATACCTGGGGTGCACCGAGACGACAGCGACGCCTTTGTCCTTAAGGTCAAACGACAACTGCTTCGCTACCATGTTCAAAGCAGCTTTGGAACCGTGGTGCCCATAATTGCCGCCACCCTCCTGCTCATGCCTCAGCGTGATCGAACCAGACTCTGACGATATCAACACGACTTTGCTTCCCCGGGTCAAGATGGCGGCCTTGACTAATTCTTGAACCACGAAGACTGGGGCGATTGAAGAGAGCGTGTACATCTTGACTTGCTCATCCCACTTGGCGTCGCCAAAATCCTCGGTCGCAAAGTATCCGGCGGTGATGATACAGGTGTCGACGGTTTTGCCTTTTAGCGCTCTCGCCAGGTCCTCCCCACTGTTGGGTTTGGACAGGTCGATGTTGGTGAGCCAGGAAACATTATCTGCTTCGAGGCTGGGAGGTGCGCTGGATGACCGAGACGTTGCGTACACCGTGTATGAACGCTGCGTGGCATAATATGACACCAGAGCCTTTCCAAGGCCGCGGGTGGCTCCCACAACTAGGGTCGAGGGCATGGTGCAACGAGAAAGCGGACAGTGGAAGACTATGGGTTGGGTTGAAAAGGGAGACACGCAGAAGAAGTGGAACTTGTAGGAAGTGACTGCTTAAGATTTGAGAAGTTGGATAGCAAGAATCACGCAATCTAACAATAATCTGCTGGACCAGGTTATCTGGTCTGGAAGGATATCCTTTCGATGTGCATGTGGTAGCTTTAACAACTCTCAACGGCTGCAATCGCGTCAATGTCTGGCCTGCGTAAAGTGATCAACCAATGACGTCAGACCCTCGGCGCGAATGTGAAGGTCCTCCTCTGAATTGTGTTCGGCGCTACTGGACAGATCACAAACAGAGAATAAGAACTTTCAAGACCAACCATTATTATGACGGTTTCTACTACTTAGATTCAAACTGTTGCCTGCGACCCATCCGCTCTACCTACCCTTCTCCCAAGCTTCCTTACCTTTCACGAAATAAAGGTGCAGACACCACACTGAAACGGGAAATCGACACTTTCCATCTGGCATCTTTCGTCCCCTGTCCTCTCTGCTGCGGTTGTTACGTCAAACACCACCTCTCTCGATTTAGTGATATCCCCAACGTAGCATGGCCGACACAGAAGAAACACCTGCGCAGCGACAGGCGAGGATTCGGCGGCAGAAGCGAGAGGCGAAAATCACAGGCGCGGCCACCGAGAGGCTCGATAAGATCACTAGACTCAGTGGAAGGACTCCAGAGAACTGTGAGCTACCCTTGCTCATGCGCACCGACCAGCGTCTTTGCCAACACCTGTACACTTTGGTCACATAGACGGACCTTGCCCCCGGGGAGGAGGATGAGCATGCAGATATCGGCATCGTGGCAAGCTCTGTTGAATCTCAAACTACATGGTGACTGACTTGCTCGTTCCCACAGTGAGAAATGCGTCTCCCGCATCAACACCGTCCGGCACGTCCACCCCACCACAACTCCCCACTCCGAACGCAGGGCAGGGCACGGCGGCAACTCCAGAGCAGCTGAAAGCACAGGAAGAATACCTGAGAACATTGTTGAGGCAACCCATACCTCAAAATGAGGCACCTCAAGCAGAGCAACAAGAAGATCCGATGCTGAAGATGCTGCAAGCCATGATGGGAGGGATGGCCGGTCCTAGCGACCCGAGCGACCCCAGTGTGCCTGGACGCGTGGGCGCAACTCCCGGGTTTTCTCCGGACGACATATCAAGAGCTACGGGGATCCCTCCCTTTTTAACCAACATGATTATGGGAGGACAGAAGGCACCACCTACAAAGGCGGAGGTAAACGCGACGAGATTGTGGAAGATCCTGCATGTCATTTTCGCCGTGGTGGCAGGGCTGTATCTGGTGTTTAGGATTCACGCGTCTACCAAGCTGTTTGGCGAGAATCCGCCGGCGCCAGCAACCTTCCAGAATCCTTTTCTACTCTTCGCGACTGGCGAGCTGATTATGCAGAGTACCAGGGTTGCAACCAAAGGGCATTCGGGCAAAAGCGGGTTTTCTTTGTGGATACAGATGTTCAGGGAATTTATCGGGGATGGTGCGATTCTGGTATTCATGCTGGGAATAGCGTCCTGGTGGAAAGGAAGTGCACAGTTATAGACAGCGGCAGTCATAGCGAAACGGATCTGCGGCAATGTCCCCAGCTAGTCCACAGCCAAGGAGGTTACAGTAAATGTTTCCGTGACTGTCGATGCCGTCTGTCTTTCCCAGCTTTCTGGTGAGCCTTGTCCGTGTTGAAATGAGCAGAGGAACACGCCGCGCCCATACCACACATGCATCACACCACCGCGGCAGTCAAGTCGCGTGGCGAGTGTCTAGACGGGCCATGAGCCTGTTCATGGGGATATGTCCGGACGCCGGACGGACCACGGGGCATGGAGCTATGCTGCCAACCCTTTCCGGGAAGGCGGAGGAAGGGCATTTTTCGGGAGTGTGGATGCAGTTCGCAGGCTGAAGTACGGAGTACGGAGTACGGAGCACGAAAACCGTTCACTGCCCTCGGCGGGCTTTGGGGAGGATGCCAGGGGCCGGCCTTAGCCCAGACACTGGACAGCGGTGTCCCAGGGGCCCTAAGCCTTCGGGCGGATGACACTTCCTCGGAGGTTTAAAGGAGTTTCGAAGGAGCAAGGTGGGAAGTCAATATCTGACAATCTACGACAGGGTCAGCATAGTTTCGTTTAACATTTGAGGATCGCACAACAGTCCGGGAGAGAGGCACTGGTTCTCTCGAACAGGGACAGGCCAGTGTGCCGCGCGATCCTCGATCACAGCGCGACGAGGGGTGTCTGCCAATGTCCAGGGTCTGGTGACTATTATGCCTACTCCGTACGAGAACAGGTAATGACTAGTAGGGCTTCCCGGGCTCTTGGAGTCTATTACTAGGTACGACTAGCAGGGGATCAACGTGAGGCACGGATAAAAGGATGGGCGATGATGGCGGGGCTTAGGAGGCATTCTTATTGAACGCGCTCCAGCTTTCCCCGCAGCGCCCGCCCGGCCAAATCACTCTTTGAGTTTGCTTGTCTGACGAGAGAATCCCTGCCATTCCTCTGTCACTCGATCAATTGTTGCTCCCACCCACCACCACAACCACAGTGCAGGCTCGATTGATCCTGGTACGAGCGCTGCGTCTGGGCCCCGTTGACTCCCTCCCAATCGTCATCGATCAATTTCTCCTATATTAGACCACTTGAACACCCACCTTGATCCTGGTCCCTTTCCTGCGAAGTCACAGCGTCCTCTTGTGCGCAGCGTGATACATACATACAGTCTCCAACACGTTTGTGTCCGCCGTGTCTCCTTCTCGCCCGTGACTGCTTGCTGTGCTATTTTCTGCAATCATGTCTGAAGGCGACGTCAAGCCCTCCAAGGGTCCCGTCGTGGTAGGTGGACTCCATTGAGCTCGTTCAGAGCTTCGCTGACTACATACAGGCCGAAGCCCACGAAGTCGACACTTACCAGTATGTCGTCGCCCTCCTATCCTCCGCCTAGAGCTCCGTACATGGTACTGACTCACGGACAGTGTCCCCAAGCCGTTCTGGAAAAAGGGGCCCGGCAAGACCCATTTAAAAGACCTCGATGAATATTACTCCCTGTACAAGGAGTCCATTGAACAGCCGGACAAGTTCTGGGGAAGGCTAGCTCGAGAGCTTTTGACCTGGCAGACGGATTTTCAGACAGTGCACAGTGGAAGCCTGGCTAATGGTGACAATGCCTGGTTTCTGGAGGGCCGACTGAACGCCTGCTACAACTGTGTTGACCGCCATGCTATCAAGAACCCGGACAAACCTGCAATTATCTACGAAGCTGACGAGCCAAGCGAGGGCCGAGTGCTCACCTACGGCGAGCTGCTCCGTGAAGTGTCGCGAGTTGCGCACACGCTGAAGCAAATGGGAGTCAAGAAGGGCGACACCGTCGCACTCTACCTGCCCATGATTCCCGAGGCAGTCATCTCTTTCCTCGCAGTCACCCGTGTTGGCGCCATCCATTCGGTTGTGTTTGCGGGTTTCTCCTCCGGGTCGCTTGCTGACCGAATTCTCGACGCCAATTCCAAAGTTGTGATTACCACAGACGAGGGCAAACGTGGTGGCAAGGTCATTGGCACCAAGAAGATCGTCGATGAGGCATTGAAGAAATGCCCCGACGTCACCCGGGTCTTGGTCTACAAGAGGACAGGGGCCGACGTTCCCTGGACCACAGGCCGAGATTTCTGGTGGCACGAGGAAGTAGAGAAATACCCCAACTACTTCCCACCCGAGAGCATGGCATCCGAGGACCCTCTCTTCCTGCTTTATACGTCTGGCTCGACGGGGAAACCCAAAGGCGTGATGCACTCTACAGCAGGATACCTGCTTGGGGCTGCAGCAACCGGTAAATATGTCTTTGACATACATGACGACGACGTATTCTTCTGTGGTGGTGATGTTGGCTGGATTACCGGTCACACTTACGTGGTGTACGCACCTCTTCTCCTTGGTGTCGCAACTGTGGTTTTCGAAGGAACCCCGGCCTACCCCAACTTCTCCCGCTATTGGGATGTCATCGACAAGCACAACGTCACCCAATTCTATGTCGCTCCGACCGCCTTGCGCCTGCTAAAAAGAGCCGGTGACGAACATATCCGCCATAAGTTGAGCAAGTTGCGAGTGCTGGGTTCGGTCGGTGAACCCATTGCAGCAGAAGTCTGGAAATGGTACTTTGAGGTTGTGGGCAAAGAGGAGGCACATATTGTTGACACGTACTGGCAAACGGAGACAGGGTCTCATGTTATCACCCCACTGGCCGGCGTCACCCCCACGAAGCCCGGCAGCGCATCGCTACCTTTCTTTGGCATTGAGCCAGCGATCATCGACCCCGTGTCCGGTGCAGAAATTCAAGGGAACGATGTTGAGGGCGTGTTGGCGTTCAAGCAGGCGTGGCCAAGTATGGCAAGGACTGTTTGGGGCGCACACAAGAGATATATGGACACGTATTTGAACGTATACAAGGGCTACTATGTGAGTACATTCGAGATCTCGAAACCTGGACTACTGACTGACCCCCGGCGATAGTTCACTGGCGACGGTGCTGGTCGTGACCATGAGGGCTATTATTGGATTCGCGGCCGTGTCGATGATGTTGTCAATGTGTCTGGCCATCGTCTGTCGACGGCCGAGATTGAGGCTGCTTTGATCGAACATGACGGAGTAGCCGAGGCGGCTGTCGTCGGTATCAACGACGAACTCACTGGCCAGGCCGTCAACGCTTTTGTGTCACTCAAAGACGGAACCGACACAAGCGATGCGATGCGCAAGGACCTCATCCTGCAAGTTCGAAAGTCCATCGGGCCATTCGCAGCGCCAAAGGCCATTTTCATTGTGGATGATCTTCCCAAGACTCGATCAGGCAAGATCATGAGAAGAATCTTGAGAAAGATTTTGAGCGGCGAGGAGGACAGCCTTGGTGACATATCGACACTCAGCGACCCAAGCGTGGTCACCAAGATCATCGATACCGTAAAGGCATCACAGAAGAAATAAGCAAGAAACGGGGAAAATGGACAGTGTTTCGCAGATCGTATACCCTCAGATTTTGACGATTCGAGCCTTGGATGGAGATGGAAACGGACACGATTTCATACATGTAGCTAACAACATTTTCCAGACGATTGATTACTTGTCCCATGACTAGAAGAGGACCCAACGTTCTGCTGATGCCAGGATGAGCTGAGATTGAGACTGAGACACTGCAACTGCGAGAGAAGACTGTAGACTGTAGACCGTAGACCGGCGATGTTCTGCCTGTTGATCTGGTGGATCGAAGGGATGAATGAATGACTCGTGTTGATTGAGATATGACTCGGGTACCACGTGATGTGTACGTTGGCCGCCATCCGGTTGTACGGAGTACGGGGTACGGAGTACGGAATACGGGATACAGAATACGGAGTACCTAGGTACCTCAGGTATGTACGGAGTACGGAGTACTCTGTACAGGTTTGTCGTACTCAGTGGACTCTAAGGTACGGAGCGCAATGTACATTGTACATACCTATATGCGAATCCGACGACATACTTGGGTATTCAACAAGACGAGACACGATACACATGGATAGTGGCCTCACTTTCGGCATGCCTTTTGCATCCCCGTCCTCGTCCTCATCCCCATCCTCATCCATTCCAACGCCATGCCCCGATCGGTGAATCTCCGAGCAAAACGCTTCCGGTGTACGCATGAAGGATGTGACCGATCCTATACTCGCCGAGATCACCTCTCTCGACATTTCCTGAACCACAAACCCCGAACGATATTTCCATGCGATCAATGTTCAAAGTTGTTTGTTCGCCTGGATCTACTCCAGCGTCACCTGGAAAGGCATCAAAGAGGATTGCAATTCCGTAATCGCGGTGGCTTAGAGGTCTTGAATACCACACGTACGGCGCCCCGTCTCATGTTGCGACTGTACATCGACCCTACGAGCCTCTGGATCATGACTGACTTGGGCGGAGCTCAATAGCGTTGGCGGATCCGTCTTTGCATGATTTAGATCCGAGCACTCAACCTGGTCCTCCTGTACCAGCCCTTGACTGTGGTCGGTCTCCAGAAGTAGGCGCCGGCCAGTCAACCTCTCCCAGGCCGACGGCGGATCAATCTTTGGAATTCTGTCTGGACTGGATTTTGGAGAATGCCCTGGTCTCAGACTTCCAGGAACATCCCAGTTTCGAGCCCAACAGCCTGCCATTCCTTTTCCCCGTTTCCTCCGACACTGGCTCTATTGACGTGCCATATCTGGAGCCTGCATGGCCTGATGCTCGCACAAGGATTATGGAAACGTTGGAAGGCATGGAGCCAACCATCCTGGAGTCTTCTTTCTTCGAGCCAGCCAATCTTGAGAAGTTCGGCAACGACTATTTTGAAAACTATTGGCCTCACTTCCCCATCATTCATCGACCGACGTTCTCTCCCTTCCACAGTCCGCCGTTATTGGTTGCAGCCATAGCCATGTTTGGCTCCAGGTTCGACGGCGATCCTGGGACCTTTCACGTAGCGTCGGCCATTCATGACCACCTGAGCGCATGTATTTTCAACGTCGGTCTTTCTCCCTCTCCCGTCCGTGCTTGTCGCTTACGCCGTCTCAGACAAGGGCCATGCAGCAATCCCTTACCACGGACTATCTGCAGACTCTTCTCCTCGTGTTGGCGCATGGAAAGATGTTCTCTAGTAGAAAACATCACGAAATGGCACACATCTTCCACAGTGCCATGATCAACGTAAGACTGCGCTGAAATTACCCTGGCTAAACAGTCACTGACGACTTGTAGCTCTTCCGCCGAGAAGATGCTTTCTCACCCCAAGTTCTGTCCGCCGAAGCCTCAGGGTCCTCACTGGAACAAAAGTGGCAGAGTTGGATTGAGAGGGAATCAATGACGCGGTTGGCTTTCTTTGCGTTCATGATGGACGCACAACATGCCATGTATTTCATGCACACGCCTGTGCTCAACGTCAACGACATACATCTGCAACTGCCATGCGAAGACGTTCTCTGGAATGCCGCCACGGCTGAGCAGTGGCATAAGAGTGCACAGACTACGTGTGAATCGCCATATTTCCGTCAATGCTTGAGAAGCCTCCTCAGGAAGATACCGGCGCCACATGGACACTCTCCTTACTCCCGATTCATCCTCCTCCATGGTTTGTTCAGTGTGGCCACGTCCTTGCATACGAACGAGTCCATGTATCTCAACATGGGCATGACTGGACCTCTGGACGAATGGCGAGCCATCATCAGCCAGGGGATTGAAACTTGGTCGTCTTCTGAACTATTCATCGAGACATCTCTATCCTCGGCCGCCGCCCGGTTGCTGTCGCGGATGGCGCAGATCACCATGCACTGTCATCTGTACCACGTTCATGTATTCTCGGGGGCCCCTTCGCTTCTTGGAAACACCATCACGGGAACGGACTACACAAAGGCCACAGAATATCTCAAGCTCTGGTTCGCGAGCAAGCACTCTCGCACGGCCCTTTACCACTCTCTGTCTTTAGTCCAAGACCATCTCTTCGCTCGGCAGCAATGCCGGGAATTTGACAAAAACATTGCTGTCCGGCCGTGGTGCCTCTACTCGGCCACGCTTGTCATCTGGGTCTACAGCTCCTTGGAGTATAGTGCAAATGCCAGAGAGGATGCCAGAGAAGACGTCCCTGACAACTTGAGCCTGGAACTGTATATTCCGGCAATGATCCAGCATGTGTGCAAAGAAGGATCGACCATCAGGATGAAGCAGACAAAAGACCTGCTGAACATGGTGCGCGTGCACCTCCAACATTATCAATGGGAACTTCTTCAAGAGGCATGCATCACGTTGGGGCGACTCGCGGGCATGTCCCGCTGATTCTCTGGAGTCATGAGACCGACAAGGATGTGAAACTTGTGTTTTGTCTATAGAGTGGCTGACCCCGGCGGTACTTGGCATGCAACACAACATGGGAACAACATGGTCGGCCACAACTTTGACGACCTCGACCACCGCATCATCATATGAGCGACCAGAGACTGGAATCCAGCCCGGTAAAGATGGTCGAGACCCATGTTGGCACATTGGGGTGGCTGCCAGGAACCCTCAGTTCCCACCTGCACGAAGCTCTGTGACCATTCCTCGAATTCCGGCAATTTCTTCTGGTTGTAATCGGATGTCAAACCATTCGGCCATACCGCGTATTCTACTCTCTTCGCTGTGATAGACGTCGACAATTTCCTTCCTACCAAGGCTACGTCTTCGGAGCTCGTTGCCGTCTAGAATGAGATAGCCAACAGGAGCGTCGTCGTTGTTGCTGTTGTCGTCGTCGTCGTCGTCATCACTCAGCACTAATTTCAAAAGCATCAATCGATAGGTGAAGTGACTGATGCGACTGGTGCTGGTGTAATAGTTCATGACCTGGAAATCTTGGGGGAGGAACTCGACCTCTGTGAGACAATAGGCGGATTTCCAAGCGTGGTCAGGGCTGTCTCTGATCTGAAGCACCCAGACTTTTTGGCTCGGATCGGAAAAGGACGCGATAGGCCGATATTCCAGAGTGGTTTGCGAGGTCGGGACATTGGTCATGATGTGGCCTGGCTCGAGCGGTGACGGGGAACAGGTCCCCTGGCGGCCGAAACCGACGTCGACCAGATACTTGCGACCGTCGATCGAGACCAGATTGATCATGTGTGTCCTATACTCACTCACTCAACAACTGGTTCCCTGGTTCTAGTTTCCTGGGGAAGGGAATGGGCGGGCGGGCGGATAGGATGAGGGATCAGATTGAGATCAAGATCAAGATCTGCCCATACGCAATACATACCAGCCTCCAAACTCCCCCGGGTCTCCAGCAGCCACGGATATATTCGACACCCTAGCCCCCGTAGGATACAAACGGTAGCCCAGGGATCGGAGGACGACGCCGAAAAACGTGTTGTTCTCCATGCAGTAGCCGCCCAGACGTCGCTCCACCAGCTTGGTGTACAAGGCGTCGGGGTCGAGGGTCAGGCCGAGGCCAGCACCAGTGTCAATGCCAGGCAGTTGGATTGGAGTTTGGGTTGGGCTTTGGCTTTGACTTGGTCTTGGTCTTGGTCTTGGGCTGTAATGCAAAGCCAGGTTTCCATAAGGAATCTTGGCCATGGTTCTTCGCTGCAGTCTCGTCAAGGTCGCCAGTGCGTCGGCCTGCACTGCGGCTTTGGTGGCGGCGAGATCTCCCATGCGGAGCCATGATAGGTATTGCTCCATCTGCTGGTCGGAATAGATCTGCCTGGGTGGTGAGGGTGAGGGTGGGGCCGATACTGATGTGGAGGCTGATGGTGAAGCTGATGTCGAGGCCGATGCTGATGCTGAAGCTGATGTCGTGGTCGTGGTCGTGGTCGATGTCGATGCCATGCCGACCGTCATCGTGATCGTGATCGTGATCGGGACCGTCACCTTGACAGCCGGGGCGATGGCACAAGACTCTTGAAGAGGCAAGAGTCGAAGGTTGAATCTCACCCGCGGCTTGGAGGTTAGAGGTTGGAAGGTAGAGGTTGGATAGAGGTCACTCACTCACGACACATACGGAGTAGATAGATATACCTATGCACCATACCATATATTTACAAGGTAAGTAAAGTAAGGTGGGTGGGTGACTCATACTCCATCCACTCCACTATTGATAAGGGGCACCTGTTCTTGGTGCTCGTACAGGACTCGGAAAGCACTGACCTATATGGCGCTTATACTTATACTTGCAATATAATAGAGACGACTCATCACCTACAATATACAGGAGAAGACTGTCATAACCATCATCGTGGTAGGCTGGCCCTGGCCGTTACGTAACACTACACTATACTATGCTGGACAACGACGAAGAGGACATAAGAAAGAATATAAGAAAGAGAGAGAAAGGTGTCAAACTTACCTAGTGTAGACACTAACTTGACGTACCTAGGCATTCCCAGCCTTGTCCTTGTCCTTTGACCAGAAGGCTAGCATAGGTATACCTATATATATATATAGTCTGGGCTCCCCCATACCCCTTTGATAGCGAACATGGAGCATTCCAACCTTTGACAAAAAGAACAAGACTACAAGGTTGACAAAAAGAACAAGACTACGATATACTCTTTGAATTTTGGGGGCTTCTCAAGTCTCAAGACTAAGACTGCAATATACCCCTTTTGGGGGCCTCATAAGTCTCAAGACTAGTGGAAGGATGCCTCTGTCAAAGGTTGAAATGTTCCATGCTCGCCATCAACGGGGTATAGGGCACCTAAGCCCAGGCTATATAGTGTGTAGTATGCCTAAACCAGCCTTCTGTAAAGAACGAGGCTGGATATGCGCCTTAGGGCCAAGTTTGACAGCCTCATACGATCGAATCAACCACGCTGTTTGGATCGACCTTGTGAGCCTCGATGACCCGGTCGAGCATGTTTGTCATGTCGACCTTTTCATTTTCCCTTTGCACTCGACCTTGGCTCTTCAAAAGTTGGGCAGCAATGTCGGCCCACGTCCACGTCACCTGCTCCGATCCAGACCTAGACCCAGAGACGAGGCCGGGATCCAGTTCACATGGCAGCAAACGACCGTTTTCCTTGCGAATCTGGCCGTCCACAATGACGGTGTCGACGTCGCGCACCGAGGCGTGCATCACCACGGCTGCCAGTGGGTTGTGTTGAGCGGCACAGATCATGGCAGGGCTGTCGGTGGCGAAGAGCACCAGGTCGGCCAACTTACCCGGAGCGATGGTGCCGATCTTGTCCTCCATGTGAACGGCGCGCGCGCCCTGGATAGTGGCCAAGTTGAAGGCATCTTCGACCAGGGCCTGCAGTCTCCGGGGGAGTTTGCCGTGGTCGAGAAAGGCCTGGTTGGCGCGCGCTCGTGCGTACTGGAGTGCCAGTCTCATCTGGGTCATCATGTCAGAGGAATTGTTGGAATGGCAGTCGACGCCCAGCGCACACTGGGACGCAAACTCTGGTCGAAACGCCAGCGGCTCCCCGAGCGCCATCTGCATCTCTGTTTCCGGCGTGCAGGAGACGAATGCGTTGCGACGCTTGAGCAGGTCGGCGTCTCGCATGTCGGCGGCGTTTGAGTGCGAGAAGATGAGATCCGACGCCAGTAAGCCGTACGACTCGAGGATCTGGATGGGGGAAAAGTCGCCTGTCGGAGAGGACGACGTTAGTTACCTATAGATGGCTGTGGCCGAGGCTGGACCGGTTGAAAGAAGAAAGAAGAAAGAAACGGTCGGCAGGGGAGTCCTACCAGAATACGGCCCCTTGGTGTAATGTGCCGTGATGAGCTTGACCCCCCAGCGTCTGGCTTTCTCAAACAGATCCACCACCGCCTGCTTGGGCATCAAGAACCAATCGAAGGCCAGACCGATGTGGACGCGCCCGTCGCCGAAGGGCGATTGTTTCGCCAGGCTCTCCAGCTGCGTCAGGAGCCAGGGAGGGAGCAGGTCGTCGTCCTTGGTCAACGGGCACCACGACTTCACCCGGCTCGTGGGACAGTAGCAGAAGAAGGCACGGATGCCGGACGACACGGTTGCAGACACAGCGTTGGTTCCTGGACACAGACACAGAGACAGGGTCAGCCTTGATGCTTGTTACTAGGTATTCACCTTGGGCAGGGACTCATAAGTAAGGGTAACGTCCTTAGCTTGGGTAGCGTCCTCATAAGTAAGGGTAACGTCCTCTGCATGGCATCCCAGCCTTTAGTCTAGCTTACCGGTTTCAGGCGAGTAGTTCATGTGCGCATGGTCGACCACGCAGGTGGTGCCGGCGTCGATGGCTTCCAGCGCGCCACCCAGCTGGCCCCAGAAGATGTCGTGGCCGGTGTAGAAATAGCCTTGCATGTTGCCTGTCATGCATGGTCCGTCAGGTCACGTCAGCTGGAGTCCATCTTGTATATTAGGTAGATAGGTAGGTAGGTAGGTAGGTAGGTAGGTAGGTAGGTAGGTAGGTAGGTAGATAGATAGAGTGGCAGGTAGACTGGTAGGTTGATAGGACCTGTTACCTACCCTTCGGCAGGTAATCCAGTAACAGGTCGTTCGCATGCCGCCCCTTCAATTGCGTCTGCCAGAGATGGTTGTGTGTGTCGATGAATCCCGGTGCCACGATCTTGTCCCGACAGTCGATGACCTTGGTGTCTGCGGACGGCGCCGCCAGATTAGTGCCCATCTGGGAGATGATGTTGCCCTCGATCAATATGTCCGTTCGTCGTGGATATGGCACGTCGCCGTCGCCGTGGAGCAATACCGTTCCGTTCTTTAACAAGATGGACGGATTCATTTTGGGTTCGGAATTGGGATTGCTGTTGCTGTTGCTGTTGCTGTTGCTGTGTCGTGATCTCCTGGCCCTTTGGTCTCTGACCCTTGTCTAGACGGAGGAAAGAGTTGGCTCGCTCGAGGGGCAGAAGCCGGGTTTTGATCAGATCAGCCACACGGCCATGGAGCCACATACCTACCTACTTATTACTCACTGCATTACCTACCTACCTACCTACCTACCTACCCACTTCGGCCACACTGGGCAGCGAGCTGTTGCAGACTTTTCACGTGGCGCCATCTATGTGTCAGTAACTGTATCCTTTTTCATGCTTCGTACATGGACAGACTACCTAACGTGGGGGCGGATGGATGGATCGATCTCCGCTGACACTTACACGGGGGAACTGGAACTGGAATTATGGAGTAATATATCTAATATCTACCTGTTTATCTCTTTACATGGGGTTGGGACTAGCCGTATATGGCGGTATGTGGGTTTACGTGGAGGGATCGAGGGATCAGGCCCCTTACGTGGAGGGCTCCAAGGCATGCACGATAAGCGATGGCATGGCCGGCAAAGGGAGCAACCTGGACCCTACAGTTGTCAAGGCCAATGTACACGGTAGTACATGTCCACTATCTCAGGTGGAGGAGGAGAAGTACGACATCCGCTCGTGATAGCCTGACATGACTAACAAGACTCACTGAACACTTTCCTCGCCGGGCCTGCCTCGACTACGACCACGACCGCGTTGTCAATCCTCGTTGATAGTGGTGATAGTGGTGATAGTGATATTGGTGATGCTGGTCTTGGATCGACCTATCAGTCTGATAAGGTCTGGATCGAGTCTTGACAGCCTCTGCCGAAGATGAAACCGCTGGTCCTGCCTATCGTACATAAATGGGGGCGTGCCTCATCACATGGGGTCGATGGGAGTAGGCAGAAAGCGCCCACAGTTGAACAGGATCTTGACCGCACCACACCGCCGGTTGAGTTCGAGAAAGGACGTCTCAACCTCAACGAACCGATCTCCCCTCAAAATGCCCGATATCGATCCACAGCCGTCCTCCGGCGCACGGAGAAGGCTTCAAGGCGCCTGGGCAAGAATTCTCATCCAGCAAGAGAACAGTGGCGAACCAGGGACAGGCACAGGCATAGGCACAGGATCAGAAACTCGACGGAGCCGATACCTCAGCAGCCCCGATCTGGCGCCCGTCCATCCTAGCAGGCGCACTTGGAAGCCGATCAACTTCATCACCTTCTGGGCTTCAGGTTAGACAATACTGCCCTCTCCCCTTCGGAGAGAAATCTTCTTGCTGACACACAGCACTGAACAGCGTCATTCAATGTCAACACCTGGCAGCTTGCAGGGAGTTTCGTGGAGAGCGGGTTGGCATGGTATGTCTGCTGTTGAACCGTCGAACATGCATTGTAGTACCAGCTGAACCCCTTGTCGCGTAGGTGGCACGCCTGGCTTTGTATCTGGATCGCCTATCTCGTCACCGGCCTTCTGATTGCCGCCGGTGGCCACCCGGGAGCCAAGTTCTCTGTGCCCTTTCCCGTGGCGATCCGCTCCGCCTTTGGTGTCTACGGCGCTGTATGGCCAGGTATGTATGGCGACTTGACTTGGCCGCGGGTGACGACAGCTAAAGGCTTGATGTGTTTGCGACTGACGCTAGTTGACAGTCTTCAATCGTATCATCCTCGCCATCATCTGGTATTCGGTTCAGAGCTGGATTGGAGGAGAGTATGTGGCTGACTCCATGTAGGAGAGAACAGGAGAAGGAGACTGGACTGGCTAACCGCGGTTGCTGTTTTGCTTCAGATGCGTCTACCTCATGCTGCGCGCCATTTGGCCATCGATCGCTCATCTCCCGAACCATATCGCGGCCTCGATGCAGACCGACTCGGGCCACATGCTGGCCTTTTTCGTCTTCTGCTTCTTCCAACTGTTCGGTGCGTGTGCCGGCACGGCTCCGGCTCTCCCACCCCTCTGCCCCTGCAAACTCTGACACGTGCAATCAAGCCCTGTGGTTGCCCATCGAGAAGACCAGGCATCTGTACTCGGTCAAAGCCATTGCTGCCATTATTGCAGGCGTGCTCTTTGCCGTGTGGGTTGCTCTTAAAGCTGGACGTGGACCTGGCTTGGTAATGACTGGCAAGTCCTGTGGGTTTCCCCGATGCAAATATCTCCAGCCCTTATGCCGTGTCGGTTGGGAACTCACCTTTCTCAGCCATCCACGGTGCTTCTCTGTTCTGGGCGCTCCTATCGGCCTTCATGTCGTCATTGAATAATTGGAGCACATTCATTCTGAACGGTGAGCATGAGCATCCATCCCCTTTGACAGAATCCCTGCTTGCCATACCCGAGCACGAGTCTGTCGATAGATGCTGAATCTGTCCATTAGACTCGGACTTTTCGCGATTCGCCCGCAAACCGTCGGACGCGATCTGGTCGCAGATGGTGGCGCTCCCACTGTGTTTCAGCCTGACCTCGCTCATCGGATTGGTCGTCTCGAGTTGCAGTGCAAACATTTATGGTGCTCCGCTGTGGAATCCTTTGGATGTCCTGAGTCGTGTAAGTGCATCTTGCTCCTGCCGTCATGACACTCTTAATGACCGCACATCAGTTTCTCGACAGTCAGCCTTCCTCGTCGTCCCGAGCCGGGGTGTTTTTCCTCGGGCTGGTTTTCGCATACGCCCAAGGGTTGACCAATCTAGCCTGTGGGTCCGCCGGACTCTGTTGGACAATTGCTTGCTAATGGGGGACAGGTGCGAACTCGGCAGGAAGTGATCTGACGGCCTTGTTCTCTCGAGTCATCAACATTAGTAAGTGCTTGGCTTGACGACGGGTTGGACTGCAAGTCTGCAACTCACTGACATTGGCCCATTCTAGGACGAGGAGGATATCTCACTGCAGCCTTGTCTCTCTGCTGCATGCCATGGCTACTCTTGTCCAGCAGCAACAACTTCTTGAGCTATGTCAACTCGTATAGCGTTTTCATCTCGGCTTTCGTGGGCCCGTATTTCTGTGATTACTTCATTATCCGCAGAAGTACGTTTTTCATCCATTCTTTCTCTTTATTTCAAGCTTCAGACTAACATTTGCATGCCTTGATGCCAGCCCGACTCGCCATTCCAGAACTCTATTCCGGTGCTCACGACGGCTTGTACTGGGGATGGAAGGGATTCGGAGTCAATGGATGCTTGGCTTACTTGTAAGGAATCAAGACCCGACAATTCCTTACATCCTTACATTCCACATACTGTACCTCGGCTAATCTTTGACCGCGCTTCCTTACAGATCAGGAGTGGCGTTCAACATAGTAGGATTTGTGGGCGCGATCGGAGCCTCCGTCCCCGCCGGCGCTGACTACCTCTGTGGGTATATTTCTTCTTACCTCGAGTGAAAATAGGCTGATTGTGACCCAGTTCGATTCAATTTTATAGGAGGCTTCTTGGTCAGCGCCACCGCGTATTACTGCTTGAGTGTCTTTGGCCCGTTCAGGATCAGCAAGCCTGCGATATCCCCACGCAGCTCGACCTCTGGTTCAGGAGCAATGGAAGTCCCTGATGTTCACGACATCAAGCTCTTTTCACACAGTGCCTCGGTCTAAAGAATCCAAATGGTCTCGTCGACGGCTTCGGAGACTTGTGCGCGGCGATCAAGGATGGCAGCGACGAGTTGGTTATCGAGTGTGCACTGACGAACCGGGGTTGGACGTTCGCCGCCACAGCCACCAGCGTTCACAGGGGATGACCATGTGGTAAACAATACCTAGATAATCAGATCCCCTCGTGACGGCATTAACTTGGCCAGGAATGGACTGTGGTGCTACCTGTAGAAGGAGAGGTGACTGAGACGGCCTGTGACCGAGACGATAGCCCCGTCGCACAGTATCTCTCAAAGGTGCGCATTATGTGGTCTCCGACACGATATTGGTGTATGTGCTCTGTACACCTATAGGTACCAGGCAATATGGCACGAGTCATGGCAGGTGTCCTCAGTTGTCCTCAGGTGTCCTCAATTGTCCTCGATTGTCCTCTCGGAAAACCTGCCCCGTTCATACAAACGAGGACCGAAGCGAGAGGGCGGCGGCACCCGTCGCCGAAACGGGATGCCAGCGTGTCGCTCGCTACTTTAGCACCAGGCTAGTCCTAGAACAGTCGTAGCAGTTTTCCTAGCCTCTAAGCCCTTGGCAGACACTCAGTCCACAGCGCAGCGCAGTCAAGTCCTAGCTGGCAACTCCCTCAGGCTCATCATTAAATCGAGGCGCGTCCACCCTCGACCCAAGCTGGCCTTTATTTCAATCTTGTGGATGAGAGAGCCTTGTGTGCACGTTGGCGTCGAGTGTCCAGGCCTTGATTCACAAAGATCTCCGCAGGGAACTGCTGCCTGCTGCCTGCTGCCAACGCTGCCTGCGGTGCTTGCCCTCATCGACTCCGAGCCTCTCTTTCCAGCGCGTCACGAATTTCCTCCACCACATTTAGCAGAGTTTTGATTCTATCGCTCCTTCTCTTTCCATTCTTTGACACATTCCGGGGTTCGAGATTGCGCAACGACGCTCATCGATACCGGCCAGCATGTCGTTCGGCAGCGGGACCGGCTTTTCCTTTGGGTCCAACACCAACACTCCGAACGCTGGGTTTGGAGGTTTTGGCAACAACACCAACACCACCGCCAACACTGGTAAGTGAAACATGGATTCAGTTGTATTGACCAAGATTCTGATATATCGTCTTGGCTCAGGTTTCGGTTCCACGAGCAATACCGCAGGTGGATTTGGCTCGAGCACTGCTGCCTCCAACCCTTTCGGCGGTAGCACTTTCGGATCCAACACTGGAGGTGCGTGTCAACATTTTGTTTCCCCTCTGCACTGCCTTCGCTGCGCTACCACTTCACTTCCTTACGGACCTTGGTCACTTCCTCGCCCCTTCAACCTAGACCTTGCTCTTGACCATCCCCCTGCGTTCCCTGTCCGCGATGACTTTTGAAGGGGACTCGCGAGTTCGCCGTCGTCGTCTCCCACCACGCTTAGCCACTGCACGTCCTGCCTCGGCGCGCTCGATGTATCTCTCAACTATTCTCGAAACAGACGAACTGACGATGCCATCCGCAGGTTTTGGTAGTACCAACAACACCTCCAGCTCCCTCTTCGGAAACAAGCCCGCCGCGACTCCCTTCGGCGCCAGTTCTACAACTACAGGAGGTGGGCTCTTTGGTAGTTCTGCAAACACAAACACAGGTTTTGGAGCCTCGACAGGCGGTTTCGGCAGCACTAACAATGCGTTTGGAGGAACCAACCCTGGCAGCTCGACTTTCAGCTTCGGAAATGCGAACAAGCCTGCGTTCGGTTCCACTCCCAGCGCAACCCCTCTATTTGGTCAAGGCGGCGCGGGGACGACAGGGACGGCGTTTGGCACATCATCTGCCTTTGGTTCTGCCGGCACAGGCACTGCTCTGAGCAGCCAGCCAGTCCCTCCTCCGGATGGCACGGCGTCCACCCCCTTCGCCCCCACCATGGAGAAAGACGCCAACGGCTCGAGCAGCAGTTATCAGAGCATCAGCTTCATGCCGCCGTATCAGAAATACTCCTTCGAAGAACTGCGCTTGGCGGACTATAATGCTGGTCGCCGTTTCGGGACCTCTACGGGCCAGGCGGGCGGCTTTGGGTCTAACACGTTCGGCGGTTTCGGCTCGAATAACACTCCAGCCTTCGGTAGCAACGCTACCAATCCCGCCCCCAATTCCAATCCCTTTGGTGCTGCAACGACATCGCCGACAGGATTTGGTACACCATCCTCCACCACCACCGCCTTTGGAGGAGGAGGGCTGTTCGGAAATAAGCCGGCTGGAGGCGGCTTGTTCGGCCAGCAGTCTTCGGGCACGTCTTCTGGGGGATTGTTCGGGACGGCAAACAACTCTCCAAGTGCATTTGGAGGCGGCAATACCGGTTTCGGCTCCAACAATACTCTTTTTAACAACAACGCCAACCAGAAGCCAAGCCCGTTCGGCGGTGCCTCCACCACCCCTTCGTTCTCTTTCGGCAACAACAACACCACAAATGCAGGCACCGGCACCGGCACCGGTCTATTCAACAACAATACAAACACGAGTACCAATGCCTTTGGCGGAAACAATCAACAACAGACCGGTGGACTCTTCGGAACCCAGCAAAAATCCCTGTTTGGCAACACCACTGGAGCATTCGGTCAGTCGACGAGTCAAAGTCAACCATCGGGCGGGCTGTTCGGCAACACTAGCAATACAGGGGGTAATGCACCAGGTGGCGGTCTCTTCGGCAACACCAACACCGCCAACAACAATACCAACACTGGTGGAGGACTATTCGGAACAAACAATAACGCGGGAGGTTCTCTTTTTGGCAACAACGCCAACAGTGCTCAAAAGCCTGGTGGACTTTTCGGAGGAAGCACGTTTGGGAATACCAACACGGGAAACACCACCGGCGGTCTGTTTGGCAATACGGGCACAAGCAATCAACAGCAGGGAGGTCTGTTTGGCAACAATACCAACACTGGCAGCGGCTTTTCCTTCGGAAACACGGCCAACAAACCTGCCGGCACGTCCCTCTTCACGAACACAAACGCCAACCAACAGGGAGGTCTCGCGGGCTTGGGCGGTAATTTTGGGAGCAGTTTCGGTACTTCCCAGGCTGCTCAACAAGGCAACCTGCAGCAACCAGAAGTCAAGCACGCTTCTCTGAATGACCCCAATCCCTACGGTCAGACCTCCATCTGGACTGGCCTGCCGGTTCCCACGCCTGACAACTCCAAACCCATCTTCACTCCGCTATCGGCCACTCAGAAGTTGAAGGAGAGCCAGTCTAAACCCCCACCAAGCCTGCGACTCAATCAATCTCGCTACATGACGCCACCGCGACGTTCTGGCTACGGCTTCTCTTACTCTACATATGGCACGCCTAACAGCGCGGCTAGCACGCCGGGTGGAAACGGCTTAACCAGCAGTATGTATGGCAGTCGAAGTTTCAATGGCGGCAGCTTTGGTCGCTCCTTTGGCAAAAGTGCCTCTGCCAGCAATCTAAGATCGCAGTTCAACGGCGACAGCGAGAGCATCCTCAGTCCCAACGCGTTTACCGCCACCAACACGCGGTGGTCGAGTGGCAACATGCGCCGCCTGACCATTGACCGCAGCATCCGAAATGACCTTTTCAGTCGGCCGTCTCTACCGGCTTTGCCGACCAACGCCCCTGACAAGGTCGGCAACGGCGGCACCGAGCTTGCAGCCTCGGATGGGGAGCCGTCAGCCGAACCTATTAACAAGCTCAAGAAGCGTGTGAGCTTTGACAAGGAGGCCACAGGCGGTCAGACCACCTTGAATGGCAATTCTGGAGCTTTGGTGAGAACCGAGACGGACGGCGGAGAAACAGACGCCGGGACTCGTCGCGGGACTACGAATGGAACTGCTACGCCGGAAACGGAGCCTGTTGCCCGAGGCAATGAACTTGCCGTAGTCCCCGAAGATCGTGAATCCGACAATGTCGTCTCCAAGACGCCAGCGACCGTCCAGGCGAAGCCAGATCCGCAGCCGGGAGATTACTGGATGAAGCCATCACGCGCGGAACTGGGCAGGCTGCCACGTGAGAAGTTGCAGCAGTTTGTCGGATTCGAGGTTGGCCGCAAGGGATGTGGCAAAGTGGTCTTCAACGCTCCGGTTGACCTGACGGGTGTTCCTCTGGACGACCTCTTTGAGAAGATTGTCGAGATCCGTCTACGCTCGGTCACCGTGTACCCAGATGCAAGCACCAAACCCCCGGTGGGCAAGGGACTCAATGTTCCCTCCACGATCTCCATCGAGAACTCTTGGCCTCGCTCGCGCGGTCAACCTTCGTCGGCCACCAGCGGGCCCGTCTATGAGAAACATGTGAACCGACTCAAGAAGATGCACGGAACCGAATTCATCAACTATGAACCTTCAACAGGTGTCTGGACCTTCCGAGTGCCCCACTACACTCGCTACGGACTGGATTACGATGATGACGAGACTGAACTTGGCCAGAGCCAGCTTTCCGCCCCGCCCGACTCCCTTGGCGGATCCCGGTCTGGAAGCGCTTCGGTCATGGAGGTCGACAGTGAAGACCAGGATGATTACGAAGATGAAGAGAACGACACGTTTGCCTTCAAACAAAAGGTTGTTCCCGGTGGCTTTGGCCGGCGGTCGGCCATCGATTACGACGACGATGTTCCCTCGGCACAGACTGTTGAGGAAGAGGCCCACGACTCCGAGGTGGCCGGCTCATCCGAAGACGAAGCCTCGGACAACGAAGTCAGTATGGCTGGCTCTTTCCCCCCTCCCGGCGGCGCCCTGGCTCTCGACCTACAGAGCCCCAACAAGCCCATGCTCCGAGCCAGTCGTATGGGTACCCCTGGGAAGGCGCTCATCTCGCTTGAAGGTGATTGGGCCGAGCAACTGCAACGTACGATCAGCCCACGCAAGCAGAACCGCGACGCTCTGCGCGAGGTTCAGAGCAAAGTTCTCCTCGACCGCACTCACGAGCCGATCAAACCTGCGACCATCAACAAGCGGGAGTTTCGCACCAGCATCGACATCATGAACTCGTTGTTCAGCAGACATGAGGAAAGAATGGCGAAGGGAAGAAAGGCGCAGACCGGGCCGGACCTTGAGGTTTGAATTTCCCCTTCCCCTGTTTTGAGCACGAGAAACCTGCGCGACTGTTGGATGGGATCATGAATGTGCGACGGGAACGCCAGAATGTCACGAGTCCCAGGGTTCAGAGACTGGTCGCCATAGTATGCAGGTAGTTACTGAATGAAAGAAAATACTAAAGTTCTCTTTTTCTCTAGTTCCCTTATGCAAAGCGCGCGAAGATGCTCGACAATTACCAGATGTCCCAGGCCGACCAGGTCTGGCACTCGTCTTTCAAGCCTCATTTCACGCAGACCAATGAACTCACCTACATGTTGAAGGCTGGCGACGAATCCGAGCTTGGCCGGACCACGGTTGTACTGCTGGACAATCCGCACGGGAGCGTGACATTGACATCACTGGAAGGGAGAACCGAACCTGTACCTGTACGTCGGATATCTATCGGGGCCGTACAAGCCCACCACTGACTTGGTTCTCAGATTACGGTCGATGTCGAATCACTCCTCGGGAATACCCGGATCAACCTCGTCAACCATGTGCCTCTCGCCACCCACATTGCCGTTCCGTTTTCCCAATCGAAGGATCAGTTGATCCGACAACGTGGCAGCGGCGACGAGATTGATCTCTACGAGCTTGCACATGTCCTGTTCGACGATTACGAGGATGAATTTACCGTGGGACTCGGCCGTCAGCAGAAGCAGGAGTTCTCGGGCCGCATCCGCAAAGATCGCTTGTCGAGGTATCTGGCTTCGCTCATCTGGGCGAGGCACGGAGAGAAGATCAAGTCGGCCGAGAAACAGGGAGCCGCAGCCGCAGCGATACTGCATCTAACTGCCAAAAACGTCAAGGCAGCGTGCGACGCGCTGTCGGCAGAGAAGGACTTCCACCTCACTCTGCTGGTGGCGCAGATCGAGCAAGCTGACGACACCTTTCAGGACGACATTGCCGACCAGCTCGCCGCGTGGCGTCGGCAGGGCATCATTTCCGAAATCAGCGAAGAGATACGCGCTTTGTATGAACTCCTGTCCGGGAACACCTGCATCTCCGAGGGCAAGGCGAACGGTCCAGTGGAGAACCGCACGGCGACATTCGCCATCTCGGAGAAGTTCGGACTCGATTGGGTCCAGGCATTCTCTTTATGTCTGTGGTACGGCCGGCACAAGAACGGGGAGATTCAGGACGTGGTCGCAGACTTTCAAGAGAAGTTTGCGACGAAGCAGGAATCGGCCAGCCCGGTGGGAGAAGACGGCAATGAAGACCCTCTCTGGGTGCTGCTGAAGCTGTTTGCAAGCAAGACTAAGAGGAAGGTGCCCGACAAGGATGACCCCGTCTTCCCTCAGGCGCTGTCTTCGTTGTCGGGCCCGTGGGATAGCCAGAAGACGTTTCGCCTGCACCATGCCATCGCCGCCTCGATCCCGCGCATCACGGTGGACGAGGCCCAAGCAGATGATTTGGCAATGTCATTGGCGTTTGAGCGCGCAGCCCGCGGCGACATCCTCGGAGCCACCTGGGCTCTCTTGCACGTGGCCGACGCGGCGAAGCGCGAGTGGGTGGTCAGAGATTTGCTCACACGGCACGCCAAAGCGTTGCCCGAACCGCCCAGCAGCGACCAGCCAACCCAGACCCCTCTTTGGACGGCCCTGACCTCGTCACTAAGGGTGCCTAGCTCTTGGATCTGCCAGGCCAAGGCGCTCTATGCCCGGTCGTCGAACATGCCTCTCGCGGAGCTCAATCTTCTGATCCTCGCGGACGATTTCCCTGAAGCCCATGAATGTCTTGTGCGTCGCGTCGCTCCTCGCCTTGTTGTCGACGAGGATTGGGACACTCTCGCCACTGTGCTAGCCAAGTTTGGTGACAACCCCGAGGCCAAGGTTGATGCTGGCAGCGGTGGCAGTAGCGGTGGCGGTAGCGTCACAGATGTCGGGACGCAGTGGCAGGCCGGAGGGGGGGTCTATGCCGACTTTGTGTCGTTGATGGCGCTCATGGAGTCTCCTGCGTCTGGTCGAGGTCACTCCAGCAATGCAGAGACGGTTACCCGACGCACGTCACTTCTGGAACGCTTACAGACGACTTTGACAGGATTGAACACCCGACTCACTGGAGCCACTGCAAAGGCCCACGGCGACGGCTCACTGGACCAGGATAGAGAGAAATTGGAGGAGCGGGTGGCACTCTGCGAGATGGCCAGGGCCGTTGCTCGGGCATTGGAGCTGGAGCATGACCGAAGTGTGGGTGAAAAGGTATGTCTGCCACTACGTCCCGAGTTTTGTTCTTTTGGCCCCTGCCCTGCACTATGCCACATGGTCCAGTCACTAATCGGCTTGTGTTTCCGTCTAGAAATCGATCCTGGATCTTCCTCTCACTACGGATGCGAGATTGGCTCATGCTCGAGTCCTGGGAGTCGAATACTACCGCGGGGTCATGGCGATGGCACGTTGAGAAGCCGGGAAGACAGGTCGGGGATGGGGGATGTGACAACTCTACCCCTACTAATGATGATGGATGGTGGGCTGTGAGTGTATTGCATTGGTGTATTGCATTGCATGTATGAATACGGAGTCACCAACTCCCTCGACTACCTGGTCGCTGTGTACAGGTCAGGAGGGAGGCCCGGGGCCACTCGAATGATGAATGGAGAAGTGAATGTATTCCAACTTGTCCCTTGTTCCTTGTTCTTTGTTTCTTGTTTCTTGTTCCCTGTTCCCTGCCTTGCGTGTCCAGCTTGCAGGATTGTAGGCTTGTGAGGCTCGTCCACGAGGTCTCCAGGCAAAGAGGGTCGAGTGGGAGGGCAGTGGTGGCGGGCGAATCGGGGGTCTGTCTACTGTTGACTGTTGACTGTTGACTGTCTACTGTCTCCTGTCTCCTATCAGAATGCTCGCTGCTCGCTATTTATTGCCTGCCAACCTGCCCCGGCGATAGGGACCGCCAATGCCAGGCCATCCCTTCCCTTCCCTTTCAGAACTGATTCCCTCCCACCTTGGGTCGCGTTTTTCTTTGTCTAATTACTACAGTAAATTGGGATACCGCATGTAGTTACAGTATTTTGATTTGAGGATAAGGACTCGGTCCTGCGTATCACCTATCTATCTCTCCATCGATCCATCTCTCCAACTATCCAACTTCTCTCTCCTTGGTTGTCCCAGTCCAACAGCCCGATCGAGCTGGATTCAGTCAGTCAGTAGGAGGTAATCTAATCAGGACTACTGGCAGAATCGTACCACACCAGACCAACCACGTTCAAACTCACAGACTTCCAGGGAACCGAACCCTGTTGAATGTTGAATGGGAAACTGGGGTCCTTGGATCCTGGAAAAACCGGTTCTTTGTCTAGGAGCGTTTGTGTTTGTCATTCGTCGATCCATATCCCTATCCCTATCCCCAACACCAACCTCCAGCCTAAGCCTGAAGCCCCCAACGTCAACATCGGTCTGGTACTATCGCTTACATACATACACACACTTACGTACTCATACATATACTTCCCTGACACTTCCTGGCCCGACTGCTGTCCACCGGTGGGTCAGGTCAGGTCAGGTCAGGTCGGATCCAGATCCACAGTCAAAGTCAAAGTCAAAGTCAGAGTCAGACCTGTAAACGTGGCTTCAAAAATGTACTCTCGTGTAGGTACGGAGTACGGTGTACGGCGTACTCGTCTATGTTACGTGTAATTGGCTTGGTTGGATCTAGATAGATAGATAGATACCTGCTTACCTAGGTAGATACCTCCCTAGATACCTACCTCCCTAGATACCTACCTTCCTAGATACCTACCTCCCTAGATACCTACCTCCCTAGATACCTACCTCCCTAGATACCTACCTCCCTAGATACCTACCTCCCTAGATACCTACCCAGATACCTAACTAGATATAGATACCTAACTAGATACCTGCCTACCTACTTACCTACATATCCCAAGGGGGGTGGCCTGGCCAGCCCGGGCCACGTTGGGTTGGGTTGGGTCCCCTTGCCTCAACATGCTGACTTATAGTGCGGCATCTCATCTGTACAGTTGGGTTTCGTTAGTTCGTTCGTTCGTTCTTTCCTCGAATCACGAGCATCTAGGTACGGCCGGCTTGTCAGGGTCGGTTCGTCTTTTCGCTTGGATTTCCATTTGCCTTTGCAATTGTGCTTGTGATTGTGCTTTTGATTGTGACTGTGCTGGTTCTTGTGAGCGTGCTTGTGGTTGTGCTTTTACTTGAGCTTTTGCTTCCGACTGTGCTTGTGACTGTACTGGTTCTTGACTTTGACTTTGACTTTGCCCGGTTCGGTTGTGGGGTGTGGGCGGACACCGGAGCGTTCAACCACCGCTACCGCTGGTTCTGGCTCTGGCTCTGACCATGAGGGACTTTTGCCTTTTGCCTTTTGGGCGCGTGATATCCAGTCTCCGTGTCTAGTCTCTAGTTTCTAGTCTCCAGTCTCTCGTCTCTCGTCTCCAGTCTCTAGTCTCGTCTCCAGTCTCCAGTTTCCAGGATAGTGGATTCCACTTGTCTGGACAGTGTTTGCGTTAATCTAACAAAGACAACCTTGTTTCCGCCCCCTTAATTAAGTCAGAAGGTTCTAGGTTCTAGGTTCTAGGTTCTTTTGTGTCTCATTGTCTCACCGCCTCACTAATCTCATTACCTCAGGTTCAGGTTCAAGTTCAAGTTCGGTTGCGGGTTTGGACTGGGTCAGGGTCTCGAGATTGGAATGGAATTTGACTTGCGGGACCGAACGAACCGCCGCAGCCATGCATTGTATATACTGACTGGTTCGATTGGTTTGGATTGGGTTGTTTGGATTGGGTTGTTTGGATTGCCTCCCGGGGAACCCTTGAGGACCTTCACCTTCACTTTTATGCAAGCTCGGTTTTCGGTACGTGCGGTGACATGTGGCCCATTCAACCAGCAACCATCAACTACGGGTACGCATACCTATGCCTACTGATGGAATGGCCTCAAGGTATAGGATAAGATAGAATGGAATGGCCCCAAGGTATATGATAGATTGGAATGGCCCTTAAGGTATGGATAGATTCGAATGGCCTCAAGGTATAGGATAGGATAGAGTGGACTGGAATGGGCTGAACTGGAGGACTAGATAACAGAGTTTGACTTTTTTTTCTTTCCCCTTTCCCCTCTTCCTCGGTTTGGACTTGTGGTTGGGCTAAGGTTTATAGGTCAACGTTGTTGGAGTCGAGTTAGTGGTTGGCGGTTGGTGGATAGGATAGTGTTTCCATTCCATTATGGCTACTGGTGCTCACAAGCGAAGCCGGAACATGGCTCGCGTTTTGAAACCTAACATAACCTAACATAATGTATGCAATATGGAACAAAATCAAGTAACAACTGTCTGCTGTCTGCGCCTGATGGCTGATGGCTGATGCTTGATGTCTACTATCTACTAGCCGATACCTGGTGGCTGCTATCTGGTGACTGATGCTTGATGCTTGATGCTTAATACCTAGTTCCTGATGCTTGACACTTAATACCGAATACCTGATGCCTGATGCCTCCTGATAGTGTTAGTGTTAGTGTTATTGTCAGTGATAGTGTTGCCTTTGAACATGTGATATTGGTTGGTGGTCCGCCGAGCAGAATTCAGTTCAGTTCACGTCGAATCCCGCGCGGGCATATTAATGGGAGATATGGTAAGTTAGGGGTAGGACGACGATATAGATAGTATAGACACTGATGGGAGATATGGTAGTGTAGGGGCAGACGACGGTACAGATACAGATACAGATGAGAAGGGGAGAATGAAGTGAATCATTCGATCATGCGCGGCTCGTGTTCTAATTCTGAAAGGGGATATAAAAGCCACTGCACGCAGTAAGTAGTTCTATGGTGGTGCGGCTCGTGTTCAAAAGGGAACCATAAAAGCCACGCAGTATGTAAGTAGTAAGTAGTCTGTGGTGGTGGTGGTGGTAGTGGTGGTGGTAGATGACTCAAGCTTGAGCTCCAACCTCAGCCTTGGACTATCCGTAGACTCAGTCAGCCTTGTCGGTTCAGGGGCTGGGCGGGTCACGTGATCGGCATTGTGGTGGAAAATCACGACAAACTACGGAGTACGGAGTATACTGGCCTGTATGACCTCAATGTTGGATCTGGGTTCTTTGGGCAGAAACCAACGGCGACATTGACAATTGACCCTGGGTTTGGTTTGGTTTGATATTGCTTATTGCCCTGTAAACAAACAATAAGGAGACTCGATCTTGCAATCATCCATGTTTCTCAGATATAGACATGCCAGTCACAGATATGGTTGTAGCAGTAATATTGTGCCAGTGTTGACTCGAACCCTGCTTTCAATGACGCTGTAACGGTATCTGTTGCGGCACTGAATTTTGACATGTCCTCGAGAGTTGGGACCAGTGCTCTCTCTCTCTAACACACACACACACACACACACACACACACACTCTCTCTCTCTCTCTCTCTCTCTCTCTCTCTCTCTCTCTCTCTCTCTTAGTATGTGCCGGTTCCGCATAGCTTCTGAATCTTCACACATCTTCTCGAATGCTCACACGTCGGGGCGGCCACCAGACACCGTTGCTTATATTGTTCTCAGACTCTAGCTTCAAGCTGTCATCTGATCTTCTTTGCGTTGTCTGCATCGTGGTTTGCCACCGAGAGCGAGAACGAGAGCGAGGTTGGGATTCACGCCAGGCATGGAGCGTAGGCTGAGGCTGTAGCACTGGAAATATTAGACCGTTGCCCTCTCATTGCAGTGCTTGCTTACCTGGTTCACTATTCACACAACACAAGCCGTGTCGTTCTTGCTTGTATTTTTGTTCAGACCCTCTTGACTCGATGTATTCTGGAGAATAGAGGACTGTGGTCCGCCTCAGCGATCTCGGTCAAGGCTGTGTATTGTTTCCCAGGAAAATAAAGAATGTGTCTAGTTTTGAAGGCCTCGGCTGAACCATTCTCCTTTCAAACTTGATCTTTGACCCGGGCTCCGGCGTGGACCAAGTCTAGTGGGAAGTGTGCACCACCGTTGATACGTAGGCCTGAGTCCCGATTGTGGTGCCTCTCCTTGCGCGGCGGTTCGGGAATAGGTGCTGCGAAATTTTGGTAGATTCAGTCCGTCGGCTTATATCTGCAAGGGCACCAGTCATGTCGCAGTAGTCGAAAGAGAGATGCAGACCATGTTGCCTGAATAAGAATATAGACTGCATGGAGTGTGTCATCACAGTTTGTTTCAGGCCTCCAAGTATATGTGGAGTTGTATTGTACCCACCACACATGCTTGCCTTCAAGCACTCGATGTGCTGAGCTTGTTTGAAATTTGAACCCGGCGGCACCGACAAGCTGGGAATCCAAGGAAGTCAACGCACGGAATCGGCATCGATCTGGCAAGAAAGAAGGATTGATGTTGACGAGCAACCCCATTGTCGGGAATTTCGACTCTAGGGAGGCCGAGCCAATCCTCCTGACAAGGCTTGGGCGCAGGCAAGATAAAGGTAGGAAGATGTCGCCTCTTCATCCCAGCTCCATATATCTTGTAGCCAGCTTTGTTTCTTGTTCATTTTGTTGTCTGACCCTGGAGCTCAGGTTGAGATGATTTCAATATTGCCAGGGCAGACTATGTAAAGAAAAGTCGAATGCTGTGACCATAAAAGCCCTTCGGTCAATACGTGGCTGGATGCTTCTGTGAAAAAGTGAAACACCAACACAGGCATGCCTATGAGACGAATCACGATCAAGACCAAGCTATGTCGCCATTTGACCCGGCAGTTCGTGCCTTGAGATGTCCTGGATGGAGTCGGCAGTTCAACATGAGACTCACCGCTCTGACTAAAACCCCATCTTCTTGACAAGCTGTAGGGAGATTTCCTGCTGCGACGTGACTCCTTGTCTCCTTTCAGACTTATTCCACAAGGGATATCAGCGCTATCGAATGTCATGGCGGCGTCTAAGTTTCAGTGAATCTCTATCTCCCATGCAGACCTCACCCTTGCAAGGCATGCGTACCATTAAAGTTAACGTCAGACGCCTTAATCGAGACTGTCACTCCGATATAAAGTACGCCCAGACCCAGTTCGCCTTGTGAGAGCGGAGCCCAGCCTTCTCACGGCCGGTTGACCCAAGCATTCCGCCGGGCTAGTCTAAAGGTCCTTCTGGGTCCGGTGGCTCCGACACCCGTGTACGTTTCGAGCAAATTTACAGAGGACGCGAGTTTTCCATTCTTGTGTGATCGAGCTTCTCCTTCACCGGTCTGAATTGCCCGGCGTCAGGTGGCAGCTGTCATGGAGACGGGAGGATACTGTCAGCATATAGTATCCTGGATGGAGAAAGAAACCGAGTTAAATTCACTTCTAGAGCTCGGTGGTTGGGCAGATGATCCTGGATCTTGCTTGAGTGGAAGAGGAAGAGAGGGTGAGAGGGAGAGCGAGAGATGTGCCTTTGCCTTAGGCCTAGTCAAGGCTGGGGGCAGGATGCTTCGATTTGATACTGGATCAGGGACAGGATAGGCAGCTGGAACCCTCGTGAGCTCATGAGGCAAACATAAGGTCTCTTGGTGAGAAAGCTTGGATGTGGATGGCAGGACGTCGAGCATTTCAAATGGTATTTGTTTGGTAGCCCATTGGACGTAGGTGTTTACCATCTTCCCATCTTTGGTCCTTGAGTCAGCTGCGCTATGCGCCGTCTCTGTCGCCAGTCTCACCATCCTGTACCAGACATGGGCCTTGAAGTAGACTTTACGCCGCACGTTCCCTCCAACGTGAGCCGGACGCAGGCAAAGTCTCGCGCGCATGTCACCATCAGGAAGCCCACAGTTGTTGCGACAACCTTCGATCAAGATTTTCCTCCTACCAAAGATGGAGATGGAGCCGTGACTACTAGAATACTGCGCGGTTCTCGCTGCCTGCGCCTGATATGCACCTCCATCCGCCTTATTTAAAGCTGTCTGCTCCCTCGCGCCTGCAGTTTTCTCTTTTCTTTTTCTCGTCTTGTCCTCCCAGGAGCCGTTGACTATCAGGGCTGTCCCGACTCCTGGCTGTAGACACTAGATACGTCGATAGATCCAATCCCAAACTCGTCGTCGGCTACAAGTCGCGGTATTCGAGTTATTCAAATCAATTTTTCGAGTTACAGGCCAATTATTAACAGCTAGTCTAGGAAATTCGTTTTCGTGGCAACGACACCCTTCGTCAGAGCACACAGCAAGCTCTGTGGCATTCACCGCTCTCCTCCCTCCGGCTTTGCTGTTGCAGTTCTCCTCCTCCAGTCTCCTGAATGCTCGCGCGTTGAAAACAAGGAAAGAAATACCATCACAATGAGTTCCCAAAGTCAACGCCTCATTATGTTTTGTTCTGCGCCTCTCATGGTCAAGGCTGAGAGACAACCGATCAAGAGATGAATACGGCCCAAGACAGTACCATCTGCAAGAGACGACAGACACTGAGCACCTGATGTCGGCTACCACAAGCCAATTCTCCCTCCAATACCCGCAGCTTACTTCTCTCGGTCTAGAGGATCAGAAGTCAAGGTTTCCAAGATCACAGCTCTGTTGAACACCCAAGCGGTCACTGCACCCCAGCTCGTGCTATGATTCGGGGTTCTGAGGCGGCGGAGGCAGTCCTGGTGACCACTGGTTTGTTCCATCAGGTCCCATGGGGAAGAGGTCTTGATGGTAGTTTTGCTGTTGTTGGTCTTGGTAACCGATGTTCGTCCACTGGCAACTTGGAAGTATGTTCGAGTTTGATCCCATGGACGAATTTGATCCTCTTGATTCCATCGTCGAGTTTGATCCTCTTGATCTCATGGTCGACTTTGATCCCATGTTCAAGTTTGATCCCATGTTCGAGTTTGATCCCATATTCGAGTTTGATCCCATGGCAGTTGAACCTTGTATCTGGTACTGGGTTTGCGCCATCGTGGTAGCCCAAATCTGGTTCGATGAGACTGACTGATTGCCCGGCATTGGAAGCGTCATGGCGTTAGGGTATGTGAATGCCGTGTTGTCGGATGGCCCAGGTCCATACTCTCTGTTCAGATGCTCTCGGAGCCCCAACGCGCCAGGCCCGTGAAAGGAGAGACGATGAGAAATGTTTTCACCACCATGGACATAGACCGGTGCTTGTTGATGGCTGCGCACTGGGGGAGGCATCACGCCTGCGGATGGCGGAACAAGGTTGGCTGCCCAGAGCATTCTATGATCAGTCGCCCAGTCTGATTGCTGCGTCTTGCGTTTCCTGAGTTATGTTTGGTCAGTATTGGGGCGCGCACGTGGACAAAGAAAACTCACGCAGGTTCTTTGCGGATTCGCAGTTTGACTCCTGCGTCACTCAGAGCCTTGGACAGAACTGTCGACTCGCGAAGAGGAGAGGGGATTTTGGACGATTGAACTGGACTCATGTCAATACACCTCGAGCAACGTCCGCAGAGGCGTTCTTTTATGGCACGGAACATACTTTCAAAGGGTTTGGAATAAGCCGAGTTAAGCCGGGTTGCAACCATGCTTGACGGACTATTGACTTGTCAGGACGGAGATGACATTTGAAGACTGTCTTTTTTTTTAGAAAGACTTACCCTTGACGCATTTCGAAGACGGTGAATTTGAGACGAAAGTATCCGGGATATTTCACGTAGAGGTCGCCGAAAACGAAAACGCCGTGATCTGCGAACGTGAGTACACTTCCACAAAGTGGATAAAATCCCTCGCACCTCTGCTGTCATGCATTTTGACCTTGTGGAGCGATGATGTCAAAGTGCCAGTCAAGGTATCAGATTTTAGTGATTCGTGGTTTAGTGCTTCGATCTCGATGGTACAAAACCAGTAGGGGCTATGAAGGTAGGCCTTGGATGGATCGTTATCGTGGAGTATCAGTTCTACGACGCAAGGAGGGTCGAGCGGCCATTTGACGGCACCCCTGGCTAGATCTCCATCAGTATGGGTGCACAAGCTAAAGCGTGGGAGGTTCCATACCGTTCCGCCTGGGGGAGGAGAGTGCACGGCCATCGCTTGGCTGCTGGGCCACAATCAGGTCATAAGCAGCGCTGTTGTGCACAATTCCTGTCAGTTCGGCGGATCTCAAGGGAAGCAAGTTTTGCATTCTGGGAGCGAGAGTCGCAAGCGACAGACCTCTCAAGAGTGAGCTTTCTTTGGACCACGGCCTGGAGTGCGTCTGCACGCATGGAGACGGATGACCGTAATCAAAGATCGAGGGAACGGTATTGCGTAGTGCGTAGTGCGTAGCTTCTGACGAACGCGTGTTATCTGTAGTCTGTGTGCGAATAGACCAGATCGTGATACAGATGAACAGAGCACTCGGCAGTGAAGGAGCTCAGGCGACGGTATGCAGTGCTGAAGAACCGAACGATGTGAATCTGAAAGATAGACCGGTACAAGATGAAGCTATGGAGAGGTGAAAGAGGAAAAGGGAAATCTCGGGGATGCAGAGGACCTGTGGAAAGGTAGGAGCTACTGCAGTCTGCACGACCGGGCCAAAAAGTGTGCGATGGCCGGCGCTTGAGATTGGATGCCGATGGTCCAGCGAATAATGTGGTTGTTGAGGATGGGGGTGTCGTCTTGTTTCTTTTTCAGACAATCAGAGGCCTTTACCAGAAGCTCACAGGACCGAGGGTGTGGTTCGTGATGGGGCGCAGCCATACAGTGAAGAAGAACCCCTCGAAAAGGACAGAGTACCTCAGACTGCGACGGCTGGTGTGTGAACCGCGCTCGCTCCTCGTCCTGATAGGTCTACTGAAAGGGAGGCAGATGCTGGACGGTGACTGTTCACGGCCAGCAGCTCATCTCTTTTGATATCGGCTCGGTCGGGGCCTGGTCAAATACTCAGAAAGTCTATGTGGACCGTGAACACTGACACTGCTGCAGGCGGCACACTAGCATGGCGCTGCAAGCAACATTCGAGGCTGAGAGGGTGCGGTGGGCGGTGGGCGGCAGCTCGGAAAGTCGGGCCAAAGAAGCGATCAGAGTGATCTAATGGGCAGAGGGTAATCCTGCAACCTCAAAAGGGTCAAGTCCTTCGTCGAGACTCGCGAGGCTGTGTCGGGGATGTTGTGGATTGATTTCATCCCAGAGCCGGGATCATGGGAGAAGAAGACAGCCAATTCGAATTTGACAGTGCCTGAACAGGCTGGTTGGACAATGCCGGTCGATATAGGTGGAATTCTGGTCGGAGAGGGAATTGAGACCCGACAGATACACCACGCTCGCGGGCTGCTTTCGTTGGCACACTGGAGGTGAACACGAGGCCGAGAGAACGCTCTTGGAGGCGAGGCAACGGCGATGACAGGGCCCGGTGAGGTCGAGAGATGGGTGCGTCGCAGGCCGATGTGAGCGTGAGCGTGAGCATAAGTCTTTGGCGTGTCGTCGTGTGTCGTGTGTCCGTCGGTCGCTCACTTGGTCACCTGGGGTTGAGTTGCATTCGCAACACGCAGCTAGTAGTTTACGGATTCGCGACCCTTCGCTCATCCACCTTCCTGCTCGATCTGCTCCCTTCGAATCCTCTATCGTGATGTGGTTGCCACGGTCGCTGCAACTGTTCCGAGTATCCTCCAGTCCTCACGTCCCGGGAGAGCGAACACCTCGTCGCAAGTTACACCCTTGTCCTCTCACGCAAGAGCGAGCACTCTCACTGCACAACCTACGCAGCCGGGTCGGTCAGCCTCGATAAGACGAACACGAGGGCAGCTGGATTGAAGGGTTCGACGAGAAGATTCTGCCCGTGAGCACACTGCACCGAAATATCGTCTGCAGGTTTGGAGGGCAGCCAGATTATAGAGCTTCATTATAGAGACTGCCGCAGGAGGGAAACACGAGCCACGAGTGTGATAGGGAGGGATGACAGGAAAGACTGAATCTGACTTACAGATGACAGCGACTAATAACCAGACTTTTTGGTCGTCTTAATGCGGTCTGCAATCACGCCCATACATGCACCATGCCAAACGTTGATTGACATCTCCAAGAACCTGGCATGACGCTCAACTAGCGGCATGCAATTCGGAGCCGGACGATCGAGCGTCAGCCTCAACCTCGTGTTGCCGACCTTTGTGCGCAGTTTCCTTCCAATTGCAACCGGTGGCACAGTCAATGCCCTAACCTGGCGTGCGCTCGTGTGTAGGGACCGATCGAACGAGACATCTTCCGAATCCATCAACCCAGCTAGGAAACCCTACAGGGGTCTTCACGCTAATGGAGAGCGTGCGGCATCGAAAGAGGCTAGCTGAAGGTGCGAGGCTGCAGGACAGTCCATAGGCTCGGGCCCCTACGAGACGGGGGAGGAACGAGATACCCCTGGGGTCTGGACCCTGGGTTTACGAGGCCCTGGCCTCACCCGTCGGATAGTATGTTGTCGCAGGCCGTCGTGCTACCGTGCTTATAGGATCGAGTCTAGCGACAGGAGCCTCGTGTTGCATAGGCTGTTAGTACCCAGGGTGCTGGAAGGACGAAAGATTGGCGGTCAACACAGCTAGGGGCCAAAGACCAATCTATGCGGCAGGCAAAAAGCGGAGCCATGTCGACATACATCGGGGAATCCACCGGTTCACTCTACGGAGTACCATGATCAGACCACTCCATGCGAGTGTGTCGAGTGCCAGCCAGGTGTCTTCAGGTTTGGAGTGGTGACAGCGCTCGGCCTGCGACCACGCTGATTGGATGCCCCCAAGCCGGGATGATGTTCCAGTCACCAAAAGTGCAAGGGAAGAGTGGCTTGTGGAAAGCTCCTTAGCACAGCGCTTGTTTGCTTTGACTGGTCATATTGACATTTTCCGCCTTCAGATCTGCCAGTCAAACCCCAATACTGCAAATCCTGAGTTTGAAAGTCAATCGCCAGTGCCAGCCGCTTCACCACCTCCAGGGGGATTACCGCTGGCGCAGACGCAAAACGGCTGCAATATCAGCACACCCTGCCCAAATTGCCCGTTCCTAGGGGTTAGGTGCGGCATGGTCAAGACTCCAAATTGCTCCGACGTCCAGCCATGCAGATTAGGATCAGAACAAGCCCCCGAGTGAATCAATTCCCCAGGACAACCACCTCACGACGAGAGCAGGTTCAACAACAATCATGGCGACAATGAATGGCATTTGGAACCTACATGTTTTTGGTACACCTAGTGTCCGCACGCGACGCCAACAAGCCCGGGCGTGGATGCCATGTTGATACCTGTCCCGTGTCTCTCCTTTAACAAACCGCAAAGACCCCAAATCGAAAGTGGAGTGGACCATTTCTGTCTCAGCCGCTGCCACGAGAAGCCAGGGCTCTGACCCCTGTCACCGGCACTCGGCAGTACGGAGTATCAATTGGCCTCCGACCCCAAACAACGAGATCTTCCCCACCAGCAAACCTCGATCGGTCAGGCGTGAACGAGCACTCGGGTGCAGTTCGTCAGAAGAGGTACTACTTGTGCTACATGTATCCTCCGGGTTTGGTCTTCCAACAGACATCAGCCAGGGCGGGGCGTTTCCCCTTTTGTCTGCCTCGTGGCTCTCAATCGAGACCGGCGTGAAACGACGTTGCCAGTGAGACCTCGGCTTCACCTACCTATGTGGTACTGGCACACTTTCCTGCCGCGTGCAAATTTCTTGGCTTTGGGCTAATAATGACTTAGTTAACCATGTTACGAGAAGGTATAGGGTCATTCATTCACGTCCGCCGACCCTGAGACCTGTCGGGGCCGCGCGGCAGGGCTGGTACTCTTGTTGAAATGTCCCTACAATGCTATATGTAGGCGCAGAATACAACCTGCTCGGGAAGTACACTATAGGCCCGCCCAAGCGCGTCATTGCCATATTCAGTTACGACCAAAGACAGGGCGTTGCTAGTGCTCAAGTGCACATTGCAACTCGTCGTCGATTCCTGTGTCTAATAGACGTCGACGAGAGTGGTTGCGACAGCAAGCCCTACCCAGTTGTGGCTAATGACCTTTGTCTGTACCCGGAGTCTGGACCAACTACGGAGGTGCCGCCATCGCCCGTTGCAGACCTCGACGTGCTCAACACCATCTCGGCCTCAAAGCATCGCTCTGTACGGAGTACACTTGCACAAACAAATCTTAACTAGGAAGGTTTATGCTTTGCAGCGGGTTATTGTGCCAGCCAGCTGGGTCGTCACCATATGCAGCCTGGCCCCACGGTCATCCTTGCGCCATCTCGATTTGGCGTCAAAATGCTCCCGAGATCGGGAGGCCCGTCTTTCCCAAATAGTGCATTGGATTGAGATTGAGAGCCCCAGCCTCATAATGGGGGAGTAGCAGGGGCAAGCATGCGTCAGTCTCAAGTCTCTGGTCTCTCCACACAGAGACAGCACGTGGCTACAAGGATCACTCCAGGTGGGACATGTCCCTAGTATGTGTACTCCGTACGGCTCGTCGGATCTAGCCTGACATGTTTGTCTGTATGTAGTGATGCCGTGCTTATGCTTGTTTGCTGACAAGGGCATAGGCCACGATGTGGGCGCCGAGGACTTGCAGAGCATCCTGACTCTTCTTTCGGTGTCCATCCCACTTTCAGGCCTGTGTGACTGGTTGGAATTGTCCTCATCATCTCGACACGCCCCCCGGCGTGGGCATGAACAAAAATTATGGTACGTCTGCGCAGCAGATACGTACAACGCAGCCTCAGACCTGACCGAGGCAGGAGTGTCCCCCTGGAGAAGAGAGTGTTATACAAACAAATGTCTGTTCCTCCCCTCGTCAACCGACCTCGCATAGTAATATACTCCGCCTGTTGATCCCTATCTTTCTCCTGGTGTGGGTTTGTATCAACTGAGTCAGACGACACCGACACCGGGCCACTTTAGTTTTTGAAGCAACACTGCCCTACCTTCCCTCCGCCGGCGCTACGAGGCTGAACTACCGTCAGAAAGGGTAGGCTTGGGCCTTAGGCCTATCTCCTCGCTGGCAATATATAGTGTTCTGGACAGAGGACAGAACTAAACAACCCATATTGCCTTCAGTGGACTTGTCAAGATTGCCAGGGCCGGGATGACGGAATCTCGCTGACGGCTCACGACCTAGTGTTATTTTCACTCTAAATCAGGCTTTTGCATTGCACCAATCCTTTCATTGCTGCACTCTGTCGAATCTGATTCCTGCTTGACGCAACCTAGTTCGTCCTTGTAATGGGGAGAAAGACTGTAAACTCGAGACTTGACGCTGTTGACGTGTATCGTGTATCCAACCCCTGCACCAGATCCCTATTTCCTTTTTCCCCGATCGATTTTTTTCTTTTCCTTCAATCGAATTGTTGGTATATATACTCCGTACACACAGTTGTTCAGTCTGCAGGACCGGACAGAGCAAGAGACCCTGCCTGGTCCCCACACAGTACATGTACACAGGACCTTACTTACTAGGAAGGTACTTGAGTAATTACATGCTTAGTATTACCACAAGTACCTAAAGTACATACATGTACATCTAACGTGCAGCGCCAGTGCCGGTGCCAGTGCCGGTGCCGGTGCTGCTGGTGCCGTGCCAAGTCTCCCTGTTGATTTCGGCGAGGCCGAAGCAAGGGCGGGGGTGGGGTGTGGAAACTCGCGGTTCCGTCCCAGTTGCGTTCCTATGTACGTATGTACTACGTATTAGGTACCTAGCTAAGGTAAGTAAGAGATTTCGAATGAAAGCTGGGTCGGACGTGACGGACCATCAGTCAATCTACTCAATCTACTCAATCTACTCAACTCAGCCCCACTTCCGAGAGGGAGCGGGACCGGAGAAGACCAAAAATACTGTACATGTACGTACTGTACATACATACCTAGGTAGGTAGTAGACCGGGCCTAAGGCGGGCGGGCCGACGACAGACAGAATTGCAGGAAGAGAAGATTGAAGGGGAAAAAAAAAAAGAAACTAGAGGCAAAGGCAAAGGAGAAGGCAAAGGAGAAGGTGAAGGAGAAGGCGAAGGAGAGATGTGCAGTCGGCGACCAATGTCTTAAACTTAGGTACCTGATTATGTGGCGTCCTACCCGACATCAATGTCTCTGTACTGTGTCTCTGCGTCTCTGCTCTGAACCGCCCTCTCCTGGAGCCTGAGCCTAGGGCCTCAGGCTAGGAGGTGTCTTGCAGGGAGCCTGAGGCCACTGACATCTTTTGGAATGTGGGAAATCTAGGTAGGGTAGGTAGGTAGGTAGCTAAAGCTACCGAGATAGTGGTTGTAGTAGTCTACTGCGGAAACGAAGCTGCCGGGAGAGAAACTCATGGTGCCTGAAGAGCACTTTCATCAACTACCTGGTGCTTCTACCCAAACCAGCCTTCCCAGGGTCTACAAACAGTTGGGAGTGGCTTGTGGTCCCTGAGGGAATATATCGATCCAAGAAAATATCAAGCCCACCTTCATCTTTTCTCCCAAATCGCGAACACCAACTATCATCCGCTGATGGCCATCCTTCTCAGATCGACACATGCTACCCCGTGATATCGAGCAGTATGAAAGGAACGCCGTGATAGGAAACGCTTTACCCTTTCCCTTCTCGATAGTTGGATAGGCCCTGGCATGGACAGGACAACCTCTGAATGAGCTGTAATCTTCACCGGTAGCGTCTTGGTGGCCACCCCCTTAAGGTTGTCACACTAGCGGTGCTTTTAAAGAGCCCCTGGCGGATTTGCTCCTCAAATTGCTCCTTATCTTGGGCACGGGCTAGCTCCAGCCTCCCATCCGTGTTGCTCAACCCCCCAAGGACCTGCTGCAAAAGCGCCATCAACTGATCCAAGCCAGATTGCTCAGACAGTTGGTAGGCCATGTTGAGGGTGTTCTTGGCATTCTTGACATCTGCCCTATGGCGTAGCAGTCGACTTCTGGATTCATGAAGCTTCGCAAGTATTTGGTCCGTGGGAAGCTGTACAATGTCGGACAACAGCCCCTTCGTGCGGGTGAGCGTTGGATTAGGTCTGCCAAACCGCCCTTGTTTCTTTCGGATCTCTTGGTCGATGGAGGTTTGAGATTTGTGAGCAAGATCTCTGATTCGATGTCCGTGATCCGAGGTTTCTTGCAGGACAACTCGACACTTGTCGATCTCGGTAATCAAGAGAACAAGTTTGTCATCCAACAGCAGCAGTAGGACCGTAAGTATATCATCGATACGGCGGAGCTTCTTCGCCGGCGAAGTCCACCATCCAAATTCCGTCTCCATGACGTCGCGCAACCTGCGGTGTACTCCTTGGAAGTTGATGATCATAATTTTGAGTATACCATCGGTAGTGAGCGTGATGTCGAACATGCAGTCAGCACTATCTTCAAGACCCCGATCATATCCATGAATGTGTATGAGGAGCCGATTCTTTTCATCAAAAGGGACTCGATCAAACTCAATAAACTTTCCGTTCTGACTAAGCGGGATCGTGGCTAGCTGGAAGGAGTGGATATGTGGCATGAGAACCTCCGCTACAGCGGCCCAGTGTCCCATTTCGTCGGAGGTCCGGTTCAGCGCATCGAGTATCTCTGTGCCATTTGAGGCGAATGCCGGTGGACAGAAGAGCCGCAGCGACGATGGGAGCCACATACCGAAAATGCTTGTACAGAGGAAAGAGCCACTCAGTGTCGAGGTTGTCGTGTTGTAGCTGGGCATCCAGTGGGCAGCGTATTGAACAATCGACCCCTTGGCTCCATCGGCTCTTTGGTACAGCGCCCCAGTAAACTTGGCAGTAGTCTCGAAGCTCCAATGGATGGCTCCTACCAAGCATATCAAGGAGTCCCTCGTAGCGTTGGAGATTGATGTGCAGTAGTACTCGAAGCGCCATAGGATGAGCACCACGGTAATCAACATCAACATCAACATCGCAAACGGTGGGAAATATGGACTGAGGACGATCTTTTCCGCAGCAGTGATGGGGATGTTGACTAGTCGACCTACCACCGCTTGCTGTCTATTCTTCGGGAGCCGAGGTTCAGTGTCGTGATCTTCGACATATCTAGTGTTTTGGAAGCGCGACGATTTCGGTTTGGCGGAGGTGTCGGCATTGGGGCTGGTTGTGTTCGATGGGCTTGGGATCAGGAAATCAGAGTCGTCACTCTCTACCTACGGTATTAGTTGGATGTACCACTTGGGCACGTGTAGAGTGCTCGTACCTTGGTCGCTGCGGCTGCTTGTGACGACGGCAGGCCGAGCACGCTGCGTCAAGAAACGCCGAATCGAGCTGAGAGGAGCATCACTTGTGTCGTAGAGGATTAGATCGCGTGACTGCTCTACTGTTGCCGGCTCTGGACGGCCCACAGATTGATCTGGCTGGACACTCTTTGGACCGGTAGGTTCCACTGAGTGCGCTCGATTTAGGGCGACGATTGCAGCAGTGGACTCAATGATTTCGTCGTCAATCTTCTCAACGTCAAGAGTATTCTCGTCAACAGAATTCTCGTCAACGGTATTCTCGTCATCGGTACTCTCGTCAACAGTACTCTCGTCAACAGTACTCTCAACAACAGTACTCTCGTCGTCGGTGATCTCGTCAACAGTATTCTCGCCGACAATGTTCTCGTCCAGGCCTGGCGGTATGAGGGGCGAGGGCTGCTGTGGATTGATTTGGTAGGAGGTGGGAGAGTTGGTTGCGGTGACGTGGGGTTGAAGGGGCCCGCAATCTTTGGGCTCTCTGCGTGTCTTCAGTCTCTTTAGTTCCGGAGCAGGCTTAGCCATGGTGGCAGACGGTTGATGATATCTTCCTGTCTCCTAAGCTTAGGGTAAGAGCAACGATGGACATGAAGAGAGGAAGAGGACACCTAGACATCGTCTCCGTTAAATATCGACAACATTCCATCTCTCAGAGCGGGGATCAAACAAAGAAAATTGGTAGTCTGAACCCGGAATTCACAAACCAACCGACCCCTATCTGAAATTGGTCATCTCTACACAGCAGGACCGATGCGTGTTATCATGCTCGTCGAGCGTTGCGGAATCAACTGGGTCTTTCCTGCTCAAGGCCATAAGCAAGATCGCCGATGGCTTAGTCTGTTGTGCTCGTGGAGATTCAAGATGAGAGGCTTCCCACGTGCTGGTGTAGAGGGCGGCCGGGGCCATTGGCGAGTTCAAGGCCTCTTTCTGATATTTGGATCTTCACCCCATACTGTAGGATTTCAATAAACATACTAGGTACTATATGTCGCAGGGACAAGTTCAGAAACGACGTACGGATACTGTTTTGCATTCCAAATGCAGTGGCTTGACCCAGCGCCAAGCCTTAGCATCAAGGGGGCGACTAGCACCAGCACTAGTGATGCTAATGCTACTAGATACCAGCTAACTACATGTAGTTCAACACTAGTGGAACTAATGGTACTAAAACCGTCAGGGCCAAGCATGGCCTTGGACCTTCTGAACAACTTCATTGAACTGACCCCAACAACACTACAACGCTCTCCGGACCAGAAAACATTTGCAACTCAGCGACAACATCGTCCTCTGTACTGAGCGCGCTTGCTGCATGCTACCACAGCTCCCTTGTGCTGTCGGGGCCTTCTAGGATGGCATCAGTCTTGTCTTCGAGGATAGTCCATAACCACCCACTCATTGGACTCTTTGTGATATTCCTCGCTTGGAAACTATGCATTCTTCTGATCACATTGGCCAGCCCTGGTCCGGGATATGACACGTCTACAAGCCTCCTTTTCGGCCATCAAGACTCTCGACACGCTACCTCTGGAACTCCTAGCTTTATGGCGAATCGGTGGTTCAATTTCGTCAGATGGGACGCTATCTACTTTACCCACATGTCGGAGCAAGGACATGTGTATGAGCAGGAATGGGCCTTCGGGATGGGCATCTCCACAACAATATCATGGGTCGCCGCACGTAGGATGACCCTCACCCCTTCTGGAATAGTGACTGAGAAGACCAGTTTTTTCGAACATGTTCAGCTTTGTTAGTGAGCCATCCTCAACCCTCGCAGCCGGTCTCGCTTTGTCACACTTGGCCCATTGGCTATCCGTTCGTCAACTCTTTGCGCTTGCCACGAGTCTCCATGGCGGAGAGGAGCTTTCACCGTCGCTGGGCCCGTTCTATGCTGCAGCACTTCACATATTTTCTCCCGCCGGAGTGTTTCTCTCCGCTCCGTACACCGAAAGTTTGTTTGCATTTCTTTCCATATCTGGCTTTCTGGGATATGTCCGAGCTGCAAGCCATTTTACACGTGACGGCCTGGTTCCTGGCTGCATTAACATGACGGGTGCAGCGATAGCTTTTGGCATGGCAACCTTTGTCAGGAGCAACGGCATACTTGCGGGAATACCATTCCTTCTCGAAGCGAGTGCAACTGCACACGCAATTCTCCGCCAAGGTGTATCGTTGCCTCGAGTCAGCTGGCTTGCCTCAGCCGGCTTGGGGGGTCTACTGGTGGCAGCCGGGATGGCGATACCACAAATCATCGCATACTACGAGTACTGTGATGGGCGAGAGCCTGGAGCCAGGAGGCCATGGTGTGAATCTATATTCCCGTCGATCTTCACATGGGTCCAGTCTCACTATTGGTACGTCTTGCGGGTGTATGCCGGCGCGAAAATGCTGATAGCAAATGCAGGAACGTTGGTCCATTCCGGTATTGGACGCTTTCGAATCTTCCCCTGTTCTTGCTTGCGGCACCCGCGCTCTGGCTCCTCTTCTACTCTGCAATAGATGTTCTCCACGATCCGGCATCCCTTGTGGCAACTTCCTCAAAAATCCCGTCTCGGATCGTAACAACGCAGCAAAAGAGAACTATCATAAGCCTGGCAGTACCGCAACTGGCGCTCGCAGTCCTTGCATTGACGAGTTATCATGTGCAGATCATCACGAGGATATCATCGGGATATCCGCTGTGGTATTTGTGGCTGGCGGCTAAAATCCAGGGAAACCCAAAGCGTACGGTGCCCATCATCCGCTGGATGGTGGTTTATGCATTGATCCAGGCTGGCTTATACGCATCATTCTTACCACCGGCCTGAAGACTAGCTTTTTCTATCATCCCTCAAATAGGCAGGCGCTCGATACCATGCCATCGCCCAATCTGAATGCGAGTCCGTCGTGTTTTAAAGTCAACATCACCCTACATCTCTGGTCACACCTCGAGTAGAGTTTCATAACCCTAACCCTTACATCTGTGAGATCTGGTAAGGTTCTACTAATTATATGGAATATTTGCCTTTCGGAGACAGCATTAAGGTTCATTATATCCGAAGCCTTCGCGACTCAAGCAATGGTAAATCTGCTCGGCGCTCCCGGCGCGCTCACCTCGTACACAAATTGTCCCAACAAGTTCAAAAAAAAAAGACACAGACACATCGATTGTTCTGCGGTGTGCATCATGATGGGTGTAAGACTGCTCGGGCGCTATACAGTTGTCCCTCGGGACCTGTTTCGGATCAGCGCTGGATCATTGACCAGACTGCGTGACAGATCGTTGCGGCCTGGCGCTCCTTCTTGGGATGTTATGACCATCGATGGAAAGGTTCAACCACTGGGAATGACCAGTGACTGGTATCAAAGTAGGATTCCGCATCCATTTCAGATGGTTTAACATACTTACAGGGTGACCAGGGCCCAATGGTGCATCTTTGCGACCGAATACGAAAACTCGGCAATCCCTGGTACGCAGCTTTCGGGCTCCTGTGGTATTGATATACCATATTCTTCAAGGTCATTTACCACCGGACGTTACTTTTGCACAAGTACTAACAAACTATAGGCACAACTCTCCCTGAGGATCTCATTCTCATACATGAGCGAGGCGAACATTATTCTTTACAAGCCAGTCGTGAATGACCTTGGACGGTAAGAACCTTCAGAACTGCGTGCATCGCAAAATCTCACCCTTGGTAGAACTAAATTCCGGAGTTACTTCCTTTTTGAATGACGAGGCCATCCGCATGACTAAAAAAGAATGGCATGCCAAATTTCCTACCAGGACGGACTAGTAAGAGGAGAGAGACGACATGGTAGCGGAAGTATGCATCTTTCAGTACGGATACTAGAGCTCAGTCCAAATATGGGGCTCTTCATCAGGAGTGGCATCGGCGAAAGCATTCTTCTGATACCAGTCCCCAGCATCAATAATTGTTGCATAGGCACTGTAGAATTCATCAAGGTATTCGTTCAGCTCTGGACTGGCTTGTCAGCGCCCAAATGCATCGTAATTGCGAAAGGATATGGGGAAGAGTCTGACCGGCCAATCTCCGAGGAGGGATGGGCTCTAACGCGAATTGCGAGTCTTGTTGAAGGAGTCGAAGTGACTGTGGAACCATGGTACCTAAGTGTTGTGAGCGCTCCAAACCCGTATCTTGCTGAGTTTACTCTTCTTGCTTTACCTTTAGCCAATCGAACAAGAATGGGCTTGCACGATTCGTCTTGTTCAAAATAAGCATCAAAAGCATCTCTGGTCAATTCCTGCATAAGATGAGTGTTGGGCATAAAGATCGCTCCATTGAACACTGCAATTCGCAACGGGGTCAGTGGGTTGGATAGGCCCCTCGTATCGAGTCTAGAGATACCAACAAGGTTCTTTCAGAGACAATCCAGTCTTGACAAGTCCATCCCGGTCTAACTGAGCTTCGTCGATCGGTATACCCACGCCTTCTGGATGAGGAGCAACAAGATTTGAGCGTGGTCCTTGCTGAAGACGATATATAGTTGCAGGAACCCGTGTCAGAATCGATATGCTGGCGAAGTTGCGTTTTAGATTCCTTGGGTGCCCGCGCCGAGGTCTGAAGCTTAGCAATCTTGTGATGAACATCTTTGGAGATTCTCTTTGCTCTTTGCAGAAGAAAAGAAAGGCAGCAGGCGTCTTCAAGCCTTTAGAGAATGAGTATCCGTATGGCGATACGACTGAGACACAGCTTGCCATGAAAGCTCGTCTCGGCGAACTTGCCTGACACGGCTACAAACTTACTAGGCACCTAGAGGATCTGAGTGATCGCTCACCCGGCCTGCGCGAGCCGGGTGAGCATAGGGAGGCCGCCTTAGCCCTTAGGCATCACCCTCCCCTATCCGGGGTGAGCTGCGAGCAGATTTACTAGAGTTGTTCTACACACAGAAGACAAGGCGGATTCGTGGATGTCGCAGACGAGTGTAGAGTCTCACACCCTACATCTGTGAGATCTGGTAAGATTCTGCTAATTATATGGAATATTTGCCCTTTCGGAGACAGCATTCATTATAGCCGAAGCCTTCGCCAAGCTTCCTATGCGGCCTGGGAGACTCACTCAATACAATGTCGCGTGTAGGAGTGTAGGAGTGAAGCAAACAGAATTCCAGTTGCCGTGAACACTCTATCTGCCTCAAATATCATCGTCGCAGTCCCTGGAAGACTCGACAGTATTGCTTCGGTCCATCCATCTCGTTGTGTCCCTCCCAAAGTCCCCCCGACCGGTCCTCCGCAGGCATAAACGTGACGTAGCAAGGCTGCACCGCAGCTTGCTAAGCGCCTCCTGTCGAATACGACTACGTTGACTGCCTGATTCCGTGCGGCTATTATCACGACCCGAAAGGCTCTCAGAGTCCTGGCCTCGCTTTCAACCGCTCGGACGGCATGAGATCGTCGAAATAGCCCAACTTTACTTTCTCCCCGAACCCCAATGAGTCCACGAGTGTTACAGCCGAACAATGGAAAATCATAGACAGCATCTGGGGGAGCTGCTAGATGGCATTCATAGCAAACATGGTTTGGAAACCTCAAGAGCCACATCTCCCGCGGGCACGGTCGTGATGGATCAGTCACAAATGACGGACGTTGACCACCGAGTCAAGCGCAACAGGCCACGAACGTTTCCATATTTCAGCACTCTGCCTTATCCCGTGGAAGATGAAGACCAGAGACAAAAGAACCTGTCCGAGATACTCAAACATCTCTACATTGCTATCCAGGCCAGTGATTTCACCCCGGGGGCGGTGCACTGGACCAGGGAACTCCGCAGTTGGATGGCTCTCAAGTTTGATCCGACCAAAGAACAACGCGTGAAGCTCGTCCAGCTGTACTATGAATTGGCTCTGGCTCCTGGCATTGACTCGGCTGTGGCCGAGCGCTTTGCCAGCATGTTCATGCTCCTCACCAAGTACGTGGTTTACTGGCACAACTGACGCCGCAGTCCACCTTGCTGACGCACTTGCAGGCGAAAGCATTACTTGCGACCTCTCAAAGATCTGACCCTAGACTGGCGGCCCCTCTACAGAGAACTGAAAGTATTTGTGCTGCCAAGCGAGTCTGGGCTCATGCAGACAACCAGTTTGAAAAGAAATATCAAGACACTCACCAAGATCGCCTCGTTCGCGCAGCTGTACTTTGACCCCGAAGATATTCCTGCCATGCTGGAAGAGTTTCTCCCCCATTTCACCATGTCCTCTGCCGAGGGAGCTTTCGTGGTGATAGGATTGCTCAACATACTACTGCCAACCAGTCCACCACCACCAAACCGCTCCGACCTGACCCCCCAACAATTCCTTCCCACACTCTTCCATTTGTGGTCGTTACTCAATCGATCTCGGACTTTGGATGTGGCATGTCTCGACCTCTTCTCTCGCCTCGCTCGAGACGCGTTGCCCAGTTCAAGCGTGGAATTTTCTGCGTGTGGTATCTTCACGCCAGAACAAACAACTCTGATCTCAACTGCAATTCTGCGACTGCTTGAGATCCCTGTCGGCCAGTCGACCTCACCATATAGTACCCTGGTCGATCTGTCGGCTGGCATGGGCATCCTACTCGAGCGAGACTCGCGGAAACATCCGGTGTCCCATCACATTGCTCGCTGGTTCGTCATGTCGCTTTCGCCAGCTTGTCTGACGGAGCAGACCTCGGTCCTGTCGCTCCTCGAGACATTGATTCAGGCTGTCGAGACCTTCTTCCACCCTTCCAATTCGGGCTCTTGGACACGGACTTTGGCGCAGCTGGTCTTCTATCTGGCGGATTTCTTTGTCATGCGCTGGAACCGAGAACGAAACGGGGAGATGGAAGTGCCCGAAGAGCGCAGACTCAACGAGCCTCTCCGAAAGCGGTTCGTCTTGTGTCTGCGAGAAGTGATCTTCATGGGCATCTACGCCAAGAGTGGAACTGCCATGAGTTACTCCTTGTCCACGCTCCAAGCGCTCGCGTTCCTAGAGCCAGATCTGATTCTGCCCGGTGCGCTCCAGCGTATTTACCCGTCCATGCAGGGGCTGGTGGAAGTGCATCGGACGATCTCGTCTTTGCGGTCTCTGCAGATTCTCGCAAGAACAATGATCAGGACCAAAGGCTACCGTTGTCACATCACAGCTTTGCTCGGCCTAGCACTTCCGGGCATCGACGCCAATGATTTGGAGAAGACGTTGTATACCCTCTCATTCTTCGCCAATGTCTGTTACAATATCCCTTTTGAAGACCTTTCCGAGGGTCGTGATGATATCCAGGGCAATATGTTGGCTATGGAATGGATCACAGGTGAAATGGAGCGCATGGAGCAAGAAGGTGGCAGTGTGGAGCTCAGCTACGCCACATTGAATGAAAAAGATGAGGAAATGATCCTCGCATCATCCACCGCGGGCTTCAGCGAGTTCGTCAGCTCGTTCTTGGGCAGGGTCTTTACTCTCCTCGAGAATTTGCCGGACGCAGCCAGGGTCCGGAGCGGTTCTCCTGAAGAGAACATCGTCAACACCTTGCCAGCGGCTTTCATGCCGTTGCTGGCTTCCCTCTCACCTGATTTGTACGACTTGGCTTTGAACAAAATCGTTGACTTTGTCGCAAACCATGTAATACACCAATCGCGTGATGCTATGGCGTTCATCTGCAACTGCCTATGTAAAGTCAATCCGGAGAAGGCATTGGCCAAGTTCGTCCCCGTTTTGATCGGCTCCATCCGCGCAGAAATCGATGAGAATGGTGCTGGCTCAACCAGAAACGCGGCATCCGACGTTCTTCCCCGAGATAGGGGCTTGGTCTGGAGCATCAGCATGCTGAGCATGTGCGTGGTCCATGTTGGTTCGGCTGTTCTGAAGTACAAGCAAGAACTGTTCGATATTGCCGTTTATATGCAGCAAAAATGCAAAGGCATGCCGACCGTGCACGTCTCGAACTATGTGCATCATCTGCTTCTCAATCTCACGGTCACATACACTGCTGACTACGCACTCTATGAACCGGAGAGGACTGCCAACGGCATTTCTGCAGATCTTTGGGGGTTGGCGGAATCACCATCAGCCGTCAAGCCGAAGTGGCATGTGCCCGACAAGGAGGAGATCGACTTCGCCGTGGAGCTTTTCCAGAATCAAGCCGAGAGTGCTCTCAAACATCTCACAGGTCTCATTAGAGGCACGTCAAGCATCAAGCGCGATGGGAGTGGCAAAGAATGGTCGGATGAAGTCTCAAGAAACCTCGTCTTGCTCCGCCTCCTGCTCGCCGGAGTATCTGTCCTTTTTGATTCCAAGGGCGTGAATGAAGGACTCACGACGACTGCAGCAGGCGTCGATGCCGACACTGCAATGTCACAAGCGAATGGTCATGCACCCGAAGAAGCCGATGACTCCACAGAGGCGGACGCATCTCTCGACGGTACTGATGAGACGTCCATCAAACCGTCTTTTCAGTATCCGGCCGGCCAGCTCCTCAAACCAGAGGATGAGAATTACAAGTTGATCCACCGGCTTCGACAAGATATCGGTCGTGTGCTGCACGAGGTGCATGAGTTCTTGACACGAGAAGGCGAAGATGATGTGTCCTCCTTTGCCCCGCTGTATACGGCATATCGGTCATGGTTTGTCGATGTGGGAATTGAGAGATCGGCACATGTTCTTGACAGAATTACCCGCCTTTTACATGCGGACGAGCAGCCGTACAAAGTTAGTGGCGTGCGCAAAGATTACCCCCGTTCCATCCTTGTGCGTCGGGCCAATGTCTACCACACCCAGAGACTGCGACACAACGCGGCACCCCGACCTCGGTCTGAACTAGACGAACAGCTCTTGATGGACCTGGCAGGGTCAGCTGTGTCATTGTACACCGAGGTCCGTCGAAATGCGCAGAGTGCCGGAGAGTCGGCTCTCAAGGTGGTCTTTGGGGCTCGTCTCTTCATCATCCCGCCTCTCCTGACTTCTTTCCAGAAGGCTGTGGAGAAGCACGACTTTCCTCGGATCAAAGGGAGCCTGTTTGCGCTCTTGTTTGGAAGTCTAGCGAAGACAGTGGGCAGGCACTGGAAGTATACTCCGGTGGTGATTAGAACCTTTATCGAGGCAAGTACGGCGGATAAGCCTTCCATACAGAGGCTGTGCAGCGGGGGTATATTCCAGATCATGGATTATGGACGTCCCGGCGACCGCATGGCTATCATCGACCGAACTGTTGTTGATTCTTTCACTCCCGACGAAGACGTGGATGGCACAATCTCAAAGAAGAAGGCATTTATTTTGAGTAAACGCGCCAACATCGAACGAAAGAAGACAGAGTTGGCCGAAGAGCTCATCGAAATGGCCCGCGTCTCACACTGGAAGAAAGCGACCCGCGTTGCCACCCTCGTCATGTCGTTGGGTATGCGGTTCGACCACATATGTTCTGACAATATGATCGACCTGATCACTCGTGGAACGGTGGATCCTCATCCTGGACTGCGTGGACTGTACTCCCAAGGCCTGGTGGCTCTATTCACCATGACCGATGTACGAGCAGTTTGCAATCATGACTATGCGAACTATATCCAAGCTCTGCAAGAATTCCCTGCAAAGGTCAAAGTGCCAGTCCATGTGGAGGAAGACGGGTGGACGGACAATTTTTTGAAAGCCTTCTCTCAGCCCGAGACTGACGTGTACATTGACCACGATTATCCTGGCTGGCTCGTTTGGTCAAAGTTCATGCCTGGCTATAAGTCCAACGTACAGAAGGACATCTTGTACGATGAACTCGAATGGAAGAAACGGACGGTAATCGGCAAGCTTCTGGATCGGGATTGGTTTGTGAAATTCTTCAAATACCTGAAACAAGAGCCCCGAGACCAGTCTGCCGACAAGTTCCGCATGGCTAGTGCGGCTATGCTGACCTATGCGTTTGAACTCATCATCAGGGACGGTCTCGCGGTCGCCACGTTCGATGAGATCAAGGAAGAGACCCTTGCCGTGTTTGAGGATGGTACTGATAAACATCAACACCGGGCAACCGCCGAAATCCTGGCCGGGTTGGTCACCTCTGTTATGGACAACTCAATTGACCGGCGGACCATGGTCTGGGAGTTTGCATTCCCCATCATTCAGCGGGTCTTTTCAGATGGACTGACGCCGGAAAACTCGGGGTATTGGACGACGTTCCTCCATATGATCCTCCAAGCCAGGGACCCGCGTCGAGCTTGGCCACTGGTGGAATGGCTCGCGAATTTCCGGCTGGACATGGGCTCTAATGCTGCATTCAAGGAAAGCTCAAAGATACACCTTCTACATCAAGTCATCATGGATGCTGGATGGCATTTCCAACTGGAAAAGCCGATTATGGAGGACTTTTTGCGTCATATCGATCATCCGTATAAAGGAGTCCGCGAAGCCATGGCTCATACACTTGCCACCATCAGTCGCACCAGATACCATGAGTCATTCCGGGACGTCAAAGAACTCATCGCGACGCAAAAGGCAGCGGGCCCCATTGGCGGGCAACCTTATCTACCTAGTAGAGAGTTTGATGAGACGATGCACGAGATTTTCGAGCGACTGGAAAAATGGCGACACGAACGTACACCGGGCCAACAAACCCCGTCGGCATACACCTCGGGAAGCAAGACAGTGTTACTGTGGCTCGACTCAATGCTCTCGTCGTCTGAATGCACGCAGCTTCTCGAGTACTTCCCCGATCTTTTCACCGAACAGTTCTTGCACATGATGGACGTCAAGGAGGACCCAGAGTTGCAGTCTTTGGCATATCATGTGTTCCGGCACTTGCCAAATATTCCTCACCGCATCGGAGAGGACAAGAGACTGATCCAGTCTTTGATTCGCATAGGGAAGACGTCTCCATCGTGGCATCAACGCCTTAGGGTTATGATAAATATGCAGATCGTCTTCTTTAGACACCTGTTCATGCTGTCCGAAGAGAGTAAACAGTTGCTGTTCGACTGTGTCGCCGACATGTTGGAAGATACACAGCACGAGGTTCGTGCGGGTGCGGCTACCACGTTATCCGGGATGATTCGTTGCTCGCCCCTTGACTTACGACTGAGGATGGTCGTCAAATTACGAGATCGTTTCACGCAGACTCTCATCGACAATCCCCTACCAAAGAAGCCCAAACGTCACTTGGGTGGTGTCGCGGCCGGCTTGTCATCGACGCGAACGTCAGGAGCCAACACCCCAACCCCGGAGGCCCAGCGTTTGGTCATAGTCCGCCATGCCGCTGTGCTCGGCCTGGGTGCTCTGATTCAAGCGTTTCCCTATTCCAGTCCACCTCCGCCTTGGATGCCCGATGTCCTTGTGACCTTGAGCAGCAAAGCAGCGAACGACCCAGCAACTGTAGGCAATAGTGTGAAGAGTATCATCAGCGACTTCAAGAAGACGAGACAGGATACTTGGCACATTGATGTGAAGGTATGGTTTACGATCATACAGCTTGATTTATTGGGGGTGAACGTGCTAACTTTTGCCAGGCATTCAAACCGGAACAAATCGAGGATCTCTCTGGGGTATTGTGGAAAAGCTATTTCGCCTAGCGAATGCCACTCCCACGGAGAAGAGTCAACACTAGAAACGTCGACCACTTTGAAGGTCTTGGACATAGCGCGGGCGTTCCGTTCATGGGATTCCTGTGTCGTTTAGACACATCTTCGGCGCTTGCCCGCCTTGAAATCAAATAGCAGACTTCATCTGTGTGTGTGTGTGTGTGTTATCAGGCAGGATACCCTATTGGGGATATGAGGAAAGACTTGTCGTCTGGACAGGGGCCCCTCGGGCATTGCAATCGCTTGGAAACGGTTAGAAGATGTGTCGGGCAGGTATCGAGGCTTCTCTGGTGCCTGGGGCCGTGTGAAAGAAACTGAACCTGAATCCGGGAATTCAAGTTTCGTCTACAGGCCTACGAGCGTCGGCACCTAGGTCAGTATGAAACTGCCGAAGCTGCTCTTCCAGTCCGCCGTAGGTCATGAGTGCGCGTAGGGAGTGAGTGCCTCGCCGCAGATGTGCGTCGTGCTTTAACCGGCTTAGCGTGCCCAGCTCGATGATACATGTACTCGTAGCTGTCCCAGTCAATCATCGAGGGCTCCTCCTTCAGGTGCGGTGGTAGAGCAGCAGGCCTCCATCTTTAGCAGAATCCATCACTTCAACGTGCAGAGAGGCATCAGAGCTTCCTGCTCCCTCCTATACATCCATCTTACCCCCGGCCTGGGCGGCCTACTCACTTCTCAATCACTCGCCCATCATGGCCCATAAGGACACCCTCTTCCGCTCCGCGGGCATGTCCCTGACCCAGCTCTACATCTCCAACGAGATCGGCCGCGAGGTTGTCTCCGCCCTAGGAGAACTGGGTGTCGTGCAGTTCCGAGACCTCAATGCAAATACCAACGCGTTCCAACGTACATTCACCAAGGAAATTCGTCGGTTGGACAACGTCGAACGACAACTGCGCTACTTCAAATCCCAGATGGAGAAGTCGAACATCGGAATGCGAAGTCACTGGGACTTTGATCAAGACATGCTAGCCGCGCCACAGGCCAGTGAAATTGACGAGCTCGCCGAACGAGCGGAGAATCTCGAACACCGGGTCAGCAGCTTGAACGAGAGTTATGAAACATTAAAGAAGAGAGAGGTCGAGTTAACAGAGTGGCGATGGGTCCTCAAGGAGGCCGGGGGATTTTTTGACCGTGCCCACGGCCAAACGGATGATATTCGAGCGAGCGTCGACGAAGACGACGCTCCTCTCCTCCGCAACGCAGAGGCCGAGGAAGGCAGAGTCAACGGCGACGCCGGCCATCAGCAGAGCTTTGCTGTGATGAACATCGGGTTCGTGGCGGGCGTAATCCCGCGTGAGCGTCTGGCAGCCTTTGAAAGAATCCTTTGGAGGACACTCCGTGGCAATCTGTACATGAATCAGTCCGAGATTCCTGAACCGATCATCAATCCTGAGACGAACGAGGAGATCAGGAAGAATGTATTCGTCATCTTCGCACACGGCAAAGAAATCATTGCGAAAATCCGAAAGATTTCAGAATCACTCGGGGCAGATCTCTACAACGTGGACGAGAACGGCGACGTGCGGCGGGACCAGATCCACGAAGTCAACACCCGGCTGAGTGACCTCGCCAGTGTTCTTCGCAATACCAAGACTACTTTGGACGCCGAATTGAACGCCATTGCTCGCTCGTTGGCTGCATGGCTGATTGTGATTAAAAAGGAGAAGGCGGTTTACAATGCATTGAACATGTGCTCCTACGATCAAGCGCGAAAGACTTTGATTGCCGAAGCTTGGTGCCCTACCAATTCCTTGCCCCAGATTCGAGCTACACTCCAAGATGTCAATGATCGTGCTGGACTATCTGTACCCACCATCGTCAATCAGATCAAGACCAACAAGACCCCACCGACCTATAACAAGACGAACAAATTCACGGAAGGGTTTCAGACCATCATCGACGCCTACGGCACTGCCAAGTATCAGGAGGTCAATCCAGGCCTCTATACCATCGTGACATTCCCGTTCCTGTTCGCCGTCATGTTTGGCGATTTTGGACACGGATGCTTGATGGCCTTAGCTGCCGCTGCAATGATCTACTGGGAGAAGCCTTTGCAAAGATCCAAGCAGGACGAACTCTTCGCAATGGCCTTCTACGGCCGCTATATCATGTTGATGATGGGTATCTTCTCCATGTACACCGGATTGATCTACAACGATGTCTTCTCCAAGGGGTTCACCCCTTTCCCGTCTGCTTGGGAGTTTCCAGAGGAAGGACGCCCGGAAGTTACTGGTCACCTAAAGGGAAGCTATCGATATCCATTCGGCCTGGATTGGGCTTGGCATGGGACGGAGAATGAATTGCTGTTTAGCAACAGTCTGAAGATGAAGTTGTCCATTCTCATGGGGTGGGCACATATGACGTATGCCTTGTGCTTCTCCTACATCAACGCCAGGCACTTCAAGTCTCCCGTCGACATCTGGGGTAACTTTGTACCGGGCATGATCTTCTTCCAGAGCATCTTTGGATATCTCAGTTTCTGCATCGTCTACAAATGGTCCATCGACTGGCCCAGCCAAGGCCGAAATCCACCTTCTTTGCTGAACATGTTGATCCAGATGTTCCTGTCACCTGGCAACGTGGAGGAAGGCGAACAGCTCTACAGCGGGCAAGCTGGTGTTCAGGTTTTTCTGGTTCTGATTGCTGTTCTCAACGTGCCAATTCTCCTTTTGTTAAAACCTCTGTATCTGCGTTGGCAGCACCAGAAGACCGCCGCCCAGGGGTATCGTGGAATTGGCGACACTAGCCTGGTCACTCATGCCACGGATCTATCTGATGATGAGAACGTTGAGGGGCGACGAATGAATGGCCGGCCTAGTCAAGAGGATGACGACGAGGGCGCCATGATCACCGAGAACATCGGCGACGACGAGGAGCATGAAGAATTTGAATTCTCAGAGGTCATGATCCATCAAACGATTCGTAAGTCACCTCTCTCGTCCTATGCACTCCTTGTGCCTGGCGCCTCTAACACCTTTGTCTAGATACGATCGAGTTCTGCCTCAACTGCGTCTCCCATACCGCGTCCTATCTCCGTCTGTGGGCGCTTTCTCTCGCTCATCAGCAACTTTCAGTCGTATTATGGAGCATGACGCTTGGCAACGCCTTTGGCATGACCGGTGGGTTGCAGGTGGTCATGATCGTCGTCACCTTCTACTTCTGGTTCGTCCTTACCATTGCCGTGTTGTGCGTCATGGAGGGCACATCCGCCATGTTGCACAGTCTACGTCTGCATTGGGTCGAGGCCATGAGTAAGCATTTTGTCGGCGAGGGTGTTCCGTTTGTGCCCTTTAGCTTCAAATTGCTGCTTGAGGAGGAGCCTGTAGACTGAACAAGGAAGCCTCTGTCCGAGCGAGGATAGATAGCAAATACATAGTGCTAATCTACTAGAGTATTATTATAAAAGTATTCTGCCAGTGTTATGTTTCGTCTTCTGGTCTGATTCATGGACGCCGGATATTGTGCGTCGCACGCTGCCGTCCGTGTCCGTGTCCGTGTCCGCACACATTGTAGAAGCCCAGCCAGCAAGTTCGAGGTTCGGACGTGACACGGAGTAAGTCTTTTTTAAAGCAGCGATTATCTGTCACCTATCTGTGCCAACTCCGTAGTGGTGGATCTCGCATAACTTGCCTTCCAAGTTTGCGATGGCTGACTCTCACGTGATAGGAACTCTTGGCTCCGCGGTCCGCACACTGCAACTTCGCAAAACTCATCTCGCCCCTCTGCCACCGAACCTCGTCATCGAACACCACGAAGTATCCCCAGTGACCAGAAGATCTTGTCAAGAGTAAGTCCTCGAAGCTGTTCCGATGCTCGCGTTCACACTGCTAACTCTGTCACAGTGCAGATGTAAGTTCACCTCTCCACCCGACACGAATTCGAATCCGAATCCGAACACAAGCATTGAGCTCTTCACTCCTGTGGCGAACCTCGAATTTGGTTCCGTTTCCTCAGCCACCTCCGTCCCGTCTTCTCCTAGGATTCTGTCTTGGGAAGAAGAAAAAGAAAAAGAAATGCCATGAACCGCGAGATACGAACGGATCTGGATCGCTGACGAGATATGGACCAACAGCTTCGTCAAGACCCTCACGGGCAAGACCATCACCCTTGAGGTCGAGTCGTCGGATACCATCGACAACGTCAAGTCCAAGATCCAAGACAAGGAAGGCATCCCTCCCGACCAGCAGCGCCTGATCTTCGCCGGCAAGCAGCTCGAGGATGGCCGCACTTTGAGCGACTACAACATCCAAAAGGTACATATCTCCATACACCCCATCCATAGACACCCTGGTTCTGCCACGCAATCGCGGGCTTAAAGTCCGGTGCTACGCGGTGGATTAGATTTGGTTTTTGAATTTTTGGTTTTTGGTTGTTTTTGGTTTTTTGGGGTTTGTGAATCTGTGTCTGACTGACGTTGGTGCAATGCAGGAATCCACCCTCCACTTGGTCCTCCGTCTGCGAGGCGGGATCATCGAACCCTCGCTCAAGGCCCTCGCCTCCAAATACAACTGCGAGAAGATGATCTGCCGGAAGTGCTACGCCCGTCTGCCGCCGCGAGCCACCAACTGCCGCAAGAAGAAGTGCGGTCACACCAACCAGCTCCGCCCCAAGAAGAAGCTGAAGTAAAGGTTGGGCGCGCGCGCGAGTGGCCTTTTTTTCTGGGGTGCCGACTGTCGCGAGGCGAGGCGTGGCGCGAGGCAGGCGTGGGAGATGGGAGAGCGAAGACGAATGTGGCAAGTTCCGGAGTCTGCATGCTCTGCCCTCTGCCCGCACTCGAACACACAGACAGTGAAGGTGTGAGGTTGACAAAGGCAATACGGCGAGAATGGGTTCCTGGAGCTTTAAAGAAAGACAATTAGCTGCTTAGGCTAGATCAAGTCTGTTGTTTTCATGGCATTCCGAATCGCTTCTGCTCCTGCTCCTGCTCCTCCTCTTCGATGGCCTCTGCCCCGGGCATCCTCGACATGTCGTTTTCCTGCTTGATCTATCTATCCGTCCATCCATCCATTTTCGACCTGCCGAAGCAACCACGGTGTAGAGGAGAACTTGGAAAATTTAAGCGAACACGACTGCAGTAATGCTTATGCTTATGTGTGAAGTTGATACCAGGGACACAGTTTTCGTGACTGTCTCGCCCTCAATAGACCCAACCGTGAGCCCTGTTGATAATATTGATACATGAATTCATTGACCTGGTCGGTGTCGACGCCACCGGTGCCGCCCCGCCGTTGTTATCAGCATTCCAAGCCAGTCCTTAGAACATCATCATCTTCTTGTCCCTAGTCGTCCTTGGCCGGACTGCCGTGACTGAAGAACAAGATCTTGATCGCAATGGCCAGGCCGGCCTGCAACAGCACCACGGCAAGCAAGAGCACCTGGCTGGCCTTCTTCTCGGTGGCGGTGATGACAGGGTACAGGTTCTTGACCAGAAAAAACACACTGACCGCGTATCCCAGGCCGACCAGGGCATAGTTGAGACCGCTCAGAGGCGACCAGGAAACCAGAGCGACGGCGATCCAGAATAGATTGCTATAACCGTAGAGGGCCCAGCACTCGACCAGCTCCAGCGATTGTGCGCCAAACCACCGCAACGCCGCCCACAGCCCGAGCGGCACGAACAAGGTGTAGCCATAAATCAAGCCGGCAGCGCCGCTCAACAGTCTGAAGTCATACTCGAAATGTTTCTTGCCCTCGCTCGCGAGCTTGTGGCTGATGGTGCCGGTGAGAAACAAGATCACGACCACGGTGGTCGCAATCCAGAAGGGCCCGTACAGGTCCGGGTTGCCGTCCATGGTGTCGAGGAAGGGCGGCGTGTTGGGCAGAAAGGGCAGGATCGCCGTGCGGCATCGGTGTAGCACCGTCGACGTATCCACATCGAAGAACTGCGCGTAGAACCCCAGCGACCAGAGCATGTGTTTCGGCGGCACTGCAGAGGGGTCGTTCGGCAGCGTCGCCGGGTTCGTGGCGCTGTTGGAGAGGAACGCGGTCGACGAGGAGTCGGGCTGGATCTTGCGGCTCGAATTGGTGTCGAAGTCTGGTGCGTGTATCGGGCCATGTTAGTATTGGGGGCTTGGTAGTCTCAACTGGGACGGAGACCTGAGGGATGCTGCGAGAGCTTACTGGATGAGTGGAATTCGAGGTCGTCGTCTTGGAGGTCAGTATGGCCGAGGTCGCCCTGAGTCACAGACGTGGTTGTCAGTTCACCATCGGGTAGACAGAATGTGTGTTTTTCTGAGACGGAGCGAGGGCACGCACTTCGGTGTCCACGTCCACGACGACGTCGTATCCTCTGTTCGCCATCTTGCGGGAGACTCAGGTGGCTCGGGTTGGGGTGGCAGGGCTGTGTCGGTGTCGGTGTCGTTTTGGTGCAGAAGGAGGAGGGAAACTCGACCAGAGGTGCGCATTGGAAACACGTTGCCTGTCGGTGCATTTGACGTGCCCAGGAAGCTGTGAAGCGCGGCGAAAATCATTTGTAATTACAGCATAGATTCTGCACTGAATGGCTGCGCAATTTCTAATGACAGGCTTGATGATCTTTGTCCTGTATTTGAGGTACATGCATGCTGGTACCCTTTGTGCCTGTGGTATCATGGAAAAGACAAGAACTGTCTTTACACCAGCCAAGGCCTACAGTTCTAGAAGAGACAACAGATGATGCTAGTTTTGTGCGATTCACCATATTCTATCTTCGATTGTCGAGTCCAGCTCGACCTAACTTATCGGTCACATTTGGTACAGCTGTACTCCTCAGGGGTGCTGTAGTTTCCACCTTTCTCTTCTTCATGATGATTCAACAGCTGATCTTGGACACTAAGCTTGAGGATCATCATCCACAATGCGGCACCATAGTCAGCTCTACCAGACGGCCGGGGGTCCATCTAAGCGAGGCCTCAACAACTGGGCCCCTCGATGTTGAGAGAAGAAAACAGAATTCCAAATTGAGGACTGTTCACCCGAGATAGGCAGGCCGACCACACTGAGCGGATTCCAATCCCAGATATGTGTTATCGTAACAGTGCTGTCGGTTAAGTACTGACTCTGCAAAGAGTCACCCTATTTGGTAACCTAGTCAACACGGTTTAACATCGCGCCCGACCTCCTGTGCTGCTCATACCGACAAGTCATACATACTGTGGCCTGGAGGCCGAATTGATTCTCCCAGAATCCCACGACTTACGTCGGGAGACTGTCATCGTATGCTGGCTCGGCGCAGTCAAACCGGAAGAGGATGTGCGACCCTTGTTGGGTCGTCCTGAGAGGCTGCTCAGGGACGATGACCTCGCTGTCATGCGCAGGATCATCACACAGGGCCAAGGTTTGTCCCACGGTGGCTTCTCTGCTGTCTTTGACGTAAAACTGGCATATGTCGTGGTCCCTGTGGACGCTCATCGACCGCTGATATCGGGCAAGGATGTTTTGACCAAGCTGTCGGGTCCTAGCTACTGTCCTACCGCGTTCTCGAAAAGAGCTGGGAGGCGGACGAAAACAAGGTCCAGAAGAATTTATCCTGCCCACTCTTTCTGGACCAGACTGACATGGCGGCCACCAACAATGCGACAGTTAACGACAAGATCGGTCGTTGGTGCCGCAAGAGCAGTCTTGCAGTCTTCTTCATGGATTCATCCCTGCGTAGTTGGGAAATCTGCTTCTGGCAGAGAGACTCGGCTTCCTCGAGACTGTGGGGCCGACTGATTTGACGTGATGTCTTGAGGACACTGTATCGAGACAGTCGCCACCAGATAAACCCATCGAGCCTTTCTGGTGGCAGCCTCCGGAACAACGCCAGGGTATCCAGAACCAAGGCGTCGATGTCCAGAGTTTGCGGTAGCTTGGATATCATGAAGGTCAGTATGTCAGACTGATCCGCAGGCATCTCAAGCAACTCCGAGCGCCGTGATATCGTGATTGCCGCAAATAGATAGATGCTCATGACTGGCTCATGGGCGAGCAGAAAATCGTACAGCCGCGCTATATCAGCATAATTCTGAATGTCGTGAGCGAATAAGGAGTGAGTTGCTGACAAGGCGAAGCTATTCTCGGCCTCCGAGATGTGTTCGGCCAGTTCGGGATCGGCGGCTTTCACGATTGCCGAGACAAGCTCAAAGTGCTTTCTTGCCGGCGAGATGGTGGGCAGCATGTAGTCGCGAAGCCGAAGCAGTGAGATTCGTGGGACGGCGTCCACAGCTCGTGTGTGCCCAAGAACAAGGAGCAGAACTTGTACAACATCGTGATAGCTTTGGAAGTAGGAGAGCATGGGATGTCTTCTCAATGTTGACACAATGAGGTCAGAAAGCTGCCGCTTTTTCGTCTCGAGCGACTGCTCGGATTCGTCTGGTTGCATTTAGACCAATGATACCAGCGCTGAGGGACGGAAGGAAAACCTTTAGGGTAGTATACGAAAGCACGATCAACGTCGAGTCGGACCTGGTCCTCGTCCGTATGCTGGGGAAGCTCCCGCCAGGATCGGTTGGTGTCTTGTCGCGCTGGTCCTTCGTCTTCAGAGCTGTAACCCAGTAGAATCGGCCCTGCCCAGTTTATCAATCAGTCAGGTATCACCAGCGAATCAACGAGAGAGGAACAGAGGCATACAAGCTTGTCGGCGCAGGTCATCGGTCAGAAGACCACCGGTTGAGGTTGCTAGCCTGGCCAGGGTCTCAAAGTCACGTCGCTCACAGGCCTCTTGAATGGCCTTGCCCTTTTCCTGGCCTTCCCCTGGAGTCCGCTCACTGCTCTCGCTCAAACCGGGAACCGGCTTCTCGTTGCACGTAGAGCCCATACCGGCGGCCTCGTGCATCGTGATGTCGTGGGATAAGTCAGCGTGCCGGGGCCATGGGCACTCGAATCAAGATGGCTTCCGAGGAGGACAGGCGCCGAGCGAGGTTGCGGACGCTCGCCGCCCTTTGAGTCGGGATTGAAATAGACCCAGAGAAGACAATGGCCGGGGACCGCAGCTGTCAATGGCCGCCTGGGGATGATTTTGATGCGGGCGAGCCAAGGTGACAGGTAACACGAGCGGGTGCGTCGTGTCGGTGTCAACTTGTCAACTTTGTTCGCCGCAGAGATACATCAGGATCAGGCCGGCTTCGGTGGAGCAGAAGATACGAGAGGCCGCCTGTTACTGTGGCCTGGAGGAAAGGGTTCGGTCGACGGCTGTGGCAGAGGACAGAGGACGGAGGATGGAGGACGAGGGCGAGGGCGGTGGTGATGGCGAGGGGAGAATTGCCCTGTTCGGTCGATCATCGATCAATCATCAAACGTCGGCCGCCTCAGACCTCAGATGCAACATGGCAACAATGCACAGTCCTTCTTCTCTTCTGTGCACCTGCACCTCCTCAACGCACACACATGTCACCCGCTGCCTGCGAGTCTCGCCTCTGTTCCATCTCTTTCCTATCTAATAATCTATCCATGCCTTGAGAAGCTGCGCAGGGGTGTTGGATCTATGGCGCTGCGATTGGGCTAACTGACCTGCCCTGCCCCTCGTCGTTGACCGACACCCTGAACTTGCTGCATTGTCGACGGCCTGCAATTTCGTGCGCCTTGTTGGCAAAAGAGCTATTGAAGACATCGTGGAATGCGCTGTCGGAGGGTCGTCTCAGGCACCGCGTCGTGGCATCATCGCGTCGGCACACAAAAAGCAGGCAGTATCCTGCGGCGCCCTGCTCTTCTCTCACCTCGCCATTCGCACCGAGTCAATTGCCCAAGCCATTCGTGCAGGCTGGCCAATCAGGGCTTCAACACTTGGCCTAGTTCTGTGTCATGGCAAGTGTGTGTGGTTCTGCGAGCGACGCAGGCTCCCCAAGTTGTGCTCGTCGACGACAAGATGATGCTGACAGGCGCGTCGGTGTACTGTCGAGGACCCTCAACTCCAGCTCCAGTATCAGATGGGTCCTTCCCGCCAGGATTCGCTCCCCCGCAAAGAACGATGTCGTCTTTGTAGGTTCGACCTTCGTCCAACTCCACGAATTCCTGGATACCGGACAGCTGGTCAATACAACAGCCAAGCTGGACTTTGGGACGCAGATTGCAGACGCAAAAGTCATCTCGGCGGATCTGAAGGTCGTCCCGATTGTCGACGCGATCTTAAAGCAAGAGCGAGACCAGGAACGGTACACCATCCGTGGGCAGCCCGTCAGCCCGACCCAGCCGCCACAGATACTGGTCTTGGCTACTGTGGACAACGAGTTGATCTATGTCTATGCGAAGGAAGACATTGCCGCCAATGTCAAACTGGTCTTTGCAAAGCGACCGTTGCTGAGAGGAGCCGGCCTGCCTCGGAGCCAGTGTCGATATCTGGCCGTTGACTACGAGTGAGTACTATGCGTCTCAACAGCGACAGCGGTGACTGTGGCTGACTGAGAGGTCCAGGTCCCGTGCGCTCGCGGTTGCTTCGCCGTCCGGCTACTTTGGAGTCTTCAAGCTGCGGCCTGTTGACGATGTCAAGACTGAGATTGATCGCTGGGATCCTCTGAGCCACGGATCCTTCCGGCCTTCCGAAGAGGTACGTTCTGCCGGCTGATTACCTACTCTTCTAACAAATGCAGCAACGCTTCATCCAAGTGGATGGCGACATTGTCATGCTTGATTTCCTACGAAGCCCCGATTCCGATCCCACCAAAGTGTTGCTACTCGTGCTGGTCCATTCCGCGGATGAATCCAACACTACCCTTCAATACTTGTACAAATGGGATACGCGTTCCCCTCTCCAGACCATCAAGCCCATGTCTTGCAGCGGCCGCCGGCTCAAAGAAGACCAGCTACCTCTGATGTTGATTCCCTCGACACGGCCCTATTCTTTCCTAGTGGTCCTAGAAACGGGGATTAGCTACTACGAGGACGTCCACTCGTCCGAGTCCAAACGCATCAATTGCCAGTTCGTGGGCAAAGCAGCAGGGCCTCTCGAATGGGTTCAGTGGGCCAAACCGAGACGTCACAACGAATATCTCGAGAAACGTGATGACCTGGTCATTGTTCGAGAGGACGGACTGCTTCAGTATTTCCAGATCGAAAAGGCCTCGAGTACAAAATTTAACATGAACAACACCATCGGCCATCTCGGTTTCGACGTCGACACCGCTTTCTGCATGCTGGCCGGCCCCCCTGAGAAGGGTGGTGATATCATCATAGCAGGGGGCAGCATGACAGACGGAGGTGTCTTCCATGTTTCTGCTCGAGGGTCTCCGCAGCGAACACAAGTCATTGAGAACATCGCTCCTCTGAGGGACATGGTCCTCGCGTCGCCGCCCCTGGGCAATTCCCATGGATTCGAGTCGCGAGAAGCCTCTAGTCGACTTTACACTTGTAGCATCCGAGGCGATGGCCCCGGTGAGCTGTCGGAAATCCGATACGGCCTGGAAGCGCAGATCGGGTGGATGATGGACTATCCGGACGCCGCCTTTCTCGACCAGATATGGTCTCTTGAGATCGCGGAGCGCAGCGAACTGCTCCTGCTGGGGTCACATACAACACACACGACGATGGTTTCATTTGATCTCGAAACCCAAGACATCTCCTTCACGGATGCTGAAAGTCACCCCGGCATTGACTTTGACAAACCGACACTCGCTGCGGCTGTCGTTGGGAACGGTACGATTGTGCAAGTGACCCCTGCTGGCGTTAACGTCGTGCCAACGGCCACGGTGACTCCTCCAGCCTTAAAACCTAATCGCGTCAAGGCCGATCTACAGGTCGCAGCATTCCTCAACGATAATACCATCGTCGCTACAGCAGGCAAGGGCCCGTCGGGTTTCGAGATCGGATTGACGTCCATTGTGACCTTGGGTGAAGGGGCCGCCCGGTTGACTCCTGCACCTCGCACAAGCTTAGCGGAGACCCCTACCAGCATATGTTACTTAAATCTCAAGGATGCTCGACTGCTTCTGGTGGGAACGGCCGCTTCTCGACTCATCGTCTACACCATCAGACCCGACCAAACTCTGCAACTCTCATTCCAAAGTCAGGTCAGGGACATTCATGCGCAGGTGGAGAACTCAGCAATCACCTCGATGGCTGCACTCTGCCTTGACGACCAAGCCGGGGCACTCCTTCTTTGCGGACTACGCCACGGCGTTTTGCTCTGTTTGGAGCTATCGCTTGAGGGCACTCGGTCGCTAAGTAAGTACAACCGGCCCACGTGGGTTCTCCCACTGACCAAGGCGTAGGTGTCAGATGTGATGACTTTTACCGTCTCGGATCAACTCCAGTCCAACTCTTCGCAGAAAATATAACTGCCAACCATCGGGCAGCCTCATCTGCACTGGTGCTATGCCATACCGATATGCGACGTGTGACACTTCATCCGAGTCTCGCCGCAGTGGACTACACCGTCTCTGGTCTTTGGATCACAGACCGAACTGACGTGAGTGTCCCAATCTTGTTGCCGAAATTGTTCTGACGTTTTCAGCCTTCCGCAGAGCCACTGATAAATGCATTTCATCGCGTCCCAAGGCTGGCAACCCCTGTTTCAGATCCCGGGGGTTTGCTGGTTTGTGCCACGGACGACGTGCTCTTATTCTGCTCTCTCGTCACGCAAGAGCAAGGAGTTGTCAGAAAGGTCGCTGTTGACGGCGATCCACAGCGCGTGCAGTTCTCAGAGTATTTGAACAAATTTGTGGTTGCTTTCGAAAGAGTATATCACGTCCACAGAGACGATCTCGACCCGAAGAGCCCTGATGGGGTCGGGAAAGGTCCTATCTCACCACGAAAAATGCAGCAAATCGGCTTGCAACTGATCGATCCTGTCTGGAAGGATCCGAAAGCCAGTGGTACCTCGGTGATTGTCGCAGAGGACACGAATGAGAGGGTCAATGCTCTCATCAATTGGGCACCGACGGATGGGGCGAATCATTACGAATGGGTTGTACTCGCCCTCGAACATAAGATTCCGGGACTGCCCCAGCGCAGCGGTCGGGTCGTCTGTGTTAATGCTAAAAGCCTCAGCAAAGGTTCCTTCGAGAACATCCAGAAAATCGCGTTCCGAAGTCCGGACAAACCCGTCACCGCCATCTGCGCCTACAAAATGTCCTCACTTTTGATTGCCGCGGGAAGGGAAATCCACGTCCACAACCTCGACTTCGCAACGCGCAAATGGAAGACGTTGTCGAAACACGCATTGCCATCCCCGGCCAAGGCCATATCTTGTCAAGGCTCATTCATTTTCGTTGCAACATCACAACATTCGCTGTTCGTTCTTGTGGAACAGGATGGTAAACTGAGCCAACACCAATCAGACACTGAGGCCCGGTGCGCTGTGGACGTGATCGGCTTCCGCGGTGACTCCGCGGTGTTCTCAGCGTGGAGCGATAGCGGGACAGACTTGATGGCGTTCGGCGGCTTCAACAAGGTCAACAAGGACCCCTTCCCTCTATTCCACGCCAGCTTGCCGCTCATGATCAACCACATCTGCCTGGACCCACAGTCGCATTTGAAGATCACGGCACGGTGTCGGTTTTATGGCAGTGCGAGTGACGGTACGCTTTTCCACTTCAGTCTGCTTAAAGCCCGCGAGTGGAAGCTGCTGCATTTCCTGGAACAAATGAGCTATATGGAACGCAAGACGGTCAAGCCCGTGCCCATCAAGAAGAAAGGCACTGAAGGTGAGGACGTTGTCATCAACCCTACCCCTACCAAGCTCAAGGACATGCACATTCGTGGCGATCGACTGCTCATGATGATCGAGCCCGGGCCCTACAATTTGCGAAGCCTATTGAAAGAATCCGAGCGGGCAGAAACTTTCCATGCTCTAGTTAAAGAGGTGTTGGGAGAGACGGAGCACCCAGTCGAGGCCGCAACGGTGTGGATGAGGAGGCTGCTGAGACATCCTCCTCGATCTCGATCCGGATGACTCTCGCTGGGACGAATGAGATAGATGCGGACTGGCTGCAGTGTGAGATTAGTGAGAGCCAATGTCACGAGTACCCAAGAAGCACAACCATCTACCGGGATCTACAAAGGTTCCTGCAGAGCTCCCTTGCCCCTTATATTCTTTGACTATAGGTGCTATGGTCTCGCTTACTAGTGTACGGATACTCTATACCACCACCGGCCACGAATCCCCCCACCAGAGAACACCATTATCTACACCATCACTATCCACAACGGAAGGGACTTCTACGATCTTAAAAGAATACTAGTAGCAGCTATAGTCCTAGCTCTTCTTAGACGAATCCTAATCCTTCTATATTACTATCCCTAGTAGTTAATCGAAGGACACTAAGGACCTACTATATAGGCGAGCTTTAATACTATTACTAATGAGGCCTAGCGTAATTACTCTCTCAGGTACGAATACTCTTCCGTATACTCTACCGTATACTCTTCCGTATACTCTTCCGTATACTCTTCCGTATACTCTTCCGTATAGGAGCGTCTCCGCTAGATATATCATATTTCCCTTCCCACGCCTTCGCTCTATCGCTGAAGCGTATCCTTTGCAGCCGGGAAGACGGCTCATGTCAAACGAGGCACCATGAGCCCTAATCCACCACTGGATTATCTTCCGTCAATGTCCAAGGCGTGCAGCAGATGTCGCGCGCGAAAAGTCAAAGTCAGTCTCCCCATGAATCTGCCTCCCTCACCACAAGCTGGCTGAAATGGAATTATAGTGCGACCTGAAACTACCCCAATGTTCAGCATGTATCAAACAAAACGAGCCGTGCAATATGGAGGAATGTGTATCGTATTCATACTCCGTGGTATCCAAGCTTCAGCAACGCATCTCCTTCCTTCAGGCCAGGCTCGACAGCGCCTCTGCCAACACCGGCACTGATGGGGTGGATCAGAGGACCAGTATGATGTTGCCAGCCATCACTTCATCTGGTAACTGCGACTAACGAGCACTGCCAGACGTGCAGAAGGAAGCAGAGGAGGTCGGCATTCTCGCCATTGGGGGCTCTAAACAGCATTCGGAGAATAAGTACGGTGAGTATCCTCAAAGCCACCAAGGATGCGGCCGACTCTTCCCCCTGCCAATCGTGGGTGATATGAAGACGTGACTAACATTGTTCCATATCTGGGATTTCAGTCGGAAGTGCTGCTGGGTCGATATTTGTTCGAATCTTTCTCAAGCAACTGAATCTAAATCCCGTGATTCCCACACGCAGTCATGGAGGTGGCTTGGATCAGGTTTTCATTGAACAGACAGCTGGCCTGCCTACATCATCGACTGCCAACTTTTTGTTCCGGACCTTTATTGCTCGAGTGCATGTGTGGTGGCCATTTCTCCCCTTGGCCAGCGTCCGAAGGACTTTTCAAGAGATCTATCGGGACCCCCATCTGTGCACCGACTACGACAAATTTCTGGTCTTCGTTGTCCTTGCTTTAGCATCGGACTGTAGCATGGAGAGAGAAGAGTACCGGAAAATGCTCGACCTGAACACGCCACTAGCTTATTTCCAAACCAGCCTCAGATTCTTTGCCCAGCTGTCAAACCACTCACGAGACCTGTCGGGCCTTCATGCCGTACTGCTGCTCACTCTGTGGATGCTCAACTCTGCTATAAGTGCCCATACTAACGACCTGTGGCAGTTCAGCCGTTATGCCATGTCCCTTGCGATAGAGATGGGCTTGCATCGACACAACAGTGACTGGGCATTTAGTACCGATGAATTGGAATCACGGAATAGGACCTGGTGGTCTGTGTACAACTTGGAAAGGTACATGGGCTCGATCCCAATCCGAAATCGTGGAAAAACCTTCTGCTAATACTTGGCCACCAACAGGCAGATTGCTCTGTTCACCGGGCGGGTATTGTCAATTCGCGAACATGCCATATACGCTCAATTACCATCCAGCCGTGGCCTTGACCAGCTTAGCGGGCCCGAAGCTAGAGCCGCTCCTGTATTCTCCTCGCATAACGTTGTGCCATTCAATTTCCTCATACGCCTTCGGCGGATTGGTGGCCGTGTCCTTGAATCCATCTATATCGCCCGAGGACCTGACGGAAAGTGTCGGGATTACTCCTTTCCGCAGATTGGTGCCATGTCGGACAACATACATGGGGATCTGGACGGCTGGAAGCGTCAACTGGACGAAGCAGGACTGAAGCCTTCTCGCGAATACTCGGAGCTCGAAATTGAGTATTGCATTCTGCTCTTACTCTTGTACAGGCCATCGCCCACATTCATGATCCCATCAAGCGAGATGTTGGTTATTTGCTCCAGAGCCTGCACGAGTGCACTGAATCAATGGCAAAAAATCGCTTCTGATCATGGCATTTCAGCTGTATGCCGGTCTTTTCGACAGCTGCACACCATCCTCCTGGTGGGACTTGCAGCGCTCTACTGCGATTGGTAAGGCCCTAAACCTTTCAGTTGAAGCTCCTGACCAACCCGTGTGATCTCTTAGGCGATTCGACCGAATGCGTCCAGAACCTTCCCACATGACTTCAGATACTCGCTTCCGGCATGAACGAGACACCGCCGCCGCTCTTGACCTGATGAGCCGGGGAGCGGACTACATCAAGGGCGATAATCTCTCTCGATACGTTGATTTATTCAAAGTCGTGCGAGACCAGGTTTATAGCTCTTCTGCTCGACAGGGCTCCGAGCCGACCAACATCAATCCATTGCCCCCTTCAGGAGACAACATGGATACCATCCCCGAGACCACTGTTGACAATGAAGAGCTGTTCCCGTTCCTCGACGGCCAAGACTTCGATAGCTATATTAATCAGGTGACAGGATATTTCGCCGACAGCGCCACTGAAATGGACCATGTTCTCACTGCTTGGTATGGCTCAATCTTGAGTGAGACCCAGTAGCCTCTTCCATCCTCATCTCCGGGTTGAAGAAGACCATTGAGTGCCATTTCCATGAAAAGGAATCAAAGGGACTGCTTGATAGCCACACATCTCCAATGCCTCAACCGATCTCTCAAAATCAGATCAGCACGGAGCGATGCTGCCGGTGAAAAGAAAGCTACCCAACAACGAATGGCTGGAGACGACACTTGGTATTTCCACGGAAGCATCGCCAAGAATCAGTCCGATCACGACATGTGGAAGTCCGGACTTCGGGAGGGTGTCATAGGGAATGATGTCTGACCACATTGCCGGTGGACTGGGCTTTCGAGGCACCGTGTTACTCCATCAGGACAGGGTCAAGCACCAGATTTCCCATGACTATGGTAAGGTTGAAAGACCGTGACCGCATTTGGAATCCATCCAAAAAAGAACGGTATTTCACTCAGGTTCAGCAGTTGCCTGAGCTGGACGGGGTTCAGGGACGAAAAAGTCCTGTTGCATGATGCACCTCGAAACTAAGGCAATTAAACTTTTCTGCTTAAGCCTGTATGTATACCTCCGCACTAGGAGTTCTTCGTCCGGCAATTTGCTGCTTTTCCCAGGTCGACGATATTGCATTCGCCCAGCGGACACGTTCTGGCACTCCCCGAAGATCTAGACGGACGCACGAGAGCCTTGCCTTGGCCAGACGCAGATACTGTACACTATATACCCCAGTTTTGGGGAATGCCACGTTCCTGTCAAGAAGTCACGTCCCCGGCACGGTTATGCTGCAGCACCCACCTCTCGGACGGTGATGGAGCTCCGTCTGTTTCGAAGCACCCTGCGCGCTGGAGGTCTCTGATATCGCTAAGTTACATGGCTTTCATTGGGTGCAGCTGTATCAACGTCTGCACATGTAATATTAAGCTTTGCGAATAAGTTGACAGAGAGGAGACCAAACTTAGATAGGGACTCGATTGGGGGGGTAGCAAGGGGCCCTAAGTCGAAGTGGGTTCTATTTCTGCGGTTCGGTGGTGACCGAGGATCCACGATGAGTATCCATCCTACTTTGAGCACTTACCCGCCAGCAGCGAATTCTTGTCGACGGAGATGGACGAGATTGACGAGATTCAAGAAGGAAAGATCGTCTATGAAAAACACAAGATCCCGCCGTTGCTATTCGGGGAGGACCGAGCCCAGCGAAGGTGTAGTTTCCAAGTTCTTTGTAATCGCCAGAACTTCTTTTACTGTGTGTTCTTCTCGACCTTGGTTTGGATTACCTTTCATCAGAAACTGAAGAGGAACCGAAAGTCGATTGATATTTCCACCCATCAATCCTTTTGTCTTCTGTCATCACAAATGGCCCCAGCTCAGATCAACGGAACTGGTGGGACGCATGCCACCACTTATAATCCCAAAAATGCAAACATCAAAGTGCGAGTCAGCGCCACGTATTTTTCTGGTGCGATAAGTTGACCTCCTACAGATTGGCATGCGAGATGGTGTGACGGGGAAATTCAGACTCGTCCCTCGAAATGAGGCTGTGGTCTCGGTGTTCGACTCGAATTTCCTAGTTGGCGACGGGATCTGGGTATGAGATCTGGCCCATGCCTCAGAAGTACTCGTGCTAACCGGTTGGCGGTAGGAAGGCATCCGAGCGAACAAAGGCCGCGTCCAATTTGCCCGCGATCATATTAATCGCTTGTTCCAGAGTGCGAAAGCTATGTATATGGACTTGGGATTGACCAAAAGAGACCTCCTGGAGCTCTTGCACGTGACGCTTGATGCGAACGGCATGAATGATGAAGCTGCAGTTCACATTCGCCTCGTGGTGAGCCGAGGTCTCAAGTCGACTCCGTATCAAAACCCCAGCGTGAATGTCGGTCTGCCTCTTATCACCATCATTCCGGAGGTGAAGGCAGTTGCTGTCGACATGAAATCGCGTGGACTGAGATTGGCCACCACCTGGGTACGTCGAGGGCCGCCCGACGTCAAGGACGAACAGTGGAATCATATCTCCAAAGCGACCGACATCCAGGCCTGCATCAGCGCAAACGTCATGGGCGTAGACGAGGCGCTCATGCTTGATCAGCGCGGGTTTGTGAAGACGTGCAATTCCGTCAATTTTTTCATTGTTCGAGGGACAGAGGTCTGGGCGCCGACGAAGGATAACCAGATGCAGGGCATCACTCGTCAGAAAACCATCGATGTCTGTAAGGCCAACGGCATCACGGTGCGCGAATTGGATTTTTCATTGACCGAAGTCTATGGAGCCGACGAAGCATTCTGCACCGGCACCTTTCCCAGCCAGATCCATGTTGTCGAGGTAGACGGCCGGCGGATAGGGAACGGCAAGCGAGGGCCTGTTACACAGAGAATCCAAGAACTCTACCAAGAGCTCGTTGCTCGCGATGTGTCGAGAACCCGCGAGGAGATAGCCGCCGAGGTCGAAGCAGAACGGGACCTGAGTTTCTTGCGTCGCCTGAATGGCAGCGTCCTTTAGACTTTGCGGTGCCCTGGCGGTCGTTTGAGCGCACTTATTCTACCATTTCACCCAGATTCCGCACAGGACTGCTGCTTCTATTCCCGTCTCTAAGTCGTATTAAAGGTCGCCTGTTCCCAACATGGTCTGACACCTGGATACTTCCAGCAAAGGAAGACATAGGAAGCCGGCAGGGCGGTGGAGGAGCCTTTGCATTCACCGTGATCACCGGACACCAGATAACCGTTGAAGAGGAATTCTGGATGGTTGCCATCTTCTGGTGTTGTACAAAGTCGTGGATGGAGTCTATAATTGAGTGCAGCAGCATCCAAGATGCTCGTCACAGCACTCTTTCCCTGGGAAAGGAATGTGCCATAGTACTGTGAAACTGAGGTATTCCTAGCCTTGTCCTTTTCACCATAAGGCTGGTTTAGGCTGGTTTAGGCTATACTATATAATATAGCATGCGCCCCCCCTGGCAACCCCTCACCCTTTAATGGATAACATGGAACATTTCAACCTTCATTTGACAGGTCCAGGTGTACCTGGCGACTGAAATCACCAGCACCAGGTCCGAAGTCAGGCCTCTTTGTGCAAGACTGCGTTTTGCAGCACGCAATTCAAGGTGGGCTCTCGGACAGATACGAGGAATCCTTGGCATCTTCTCGGTGGTGGCCGAATCTCCCGCCCGCAGCTTCGGGAAGAGTTTACAAGCTACGAAGCTGCGGATGCTGAGACACTCATTATATATCTGGGTCCAGCTCGAAACATGGCAAGAGTTGGGACGTGCTGGGTAGCCTTGCACCGAGCCATTCACCATGTACGACCAACAAGACATTGCCGCGAAAGAACACCCAGCCGTGGAGCCTCGCGACTTGCATCAGACAGCCTCTCTCGGGGATGACGAAAATGGCGCGACCCATCTCAGTGCGAAGCAGAATCAACGACTGTTGCTGAAGACCGACTTGGTGGTCACGCCGCTCATTGTTCTGTCCATGACTTTGGCGTTTCTTGACAAGGTGAGCAGCGAATCTTGGCCGCGACAGTGTGTCACACGGGTGGAATGGTCGTTGACGAAAAAAACAGAACGGGCTTGCGTATGCCGCCGTTTACGGTCTGCGAGAAGACAATCACCTTGTCGGCCAGGACTACAGCTGGGTCAGCAGTGTGTTCTACTTTGGCTATCTCGCCATGGAGTTCCCCAACCTATGGCTGATCACCAGATTGCCCATTGGGAAATACATCGGTGGTTGCCTCTGCCTTTGGGGCATCGCCCTCTGTCTCATGGCAGTATGCCACAACTTCGGAGGACTGGCTACCATCAGGTTCTTCCTCGGCGTGTTTGAAGCCGCGCTACTGCCCTGTATGTTGATTGTCAATTCCATGTGGTATTGCCGGGCGGAACAACCGATCCGCACGGCGTTCTGGTACAACACCTTCGCGGGCGTCTTTGGAGGTATTCTCTCCTATGCCATTGGACGAATCAATGGCTCTCTAGCCACATGGAAGGCAAGTCATCCGTCCTAGAGCCATACTGCGTCATCTTCTTTCGCTGACGAGTGGACGCAACAGTATATTTTCCTGATTTACGGATCAATCACCATCGGGGCCGGAATCCTGGTTTTCTTCGCCCTGCCCGACTCGCCCAAAAAGGCTTGGTTTTTCAATGCCGAAGAGAGGAAGTTGGTGGTGGTCAGGCTGGCTGAAAACCAAACTGGCGTCGAATCACGCAAGGTCAGTATTGCGCCCTGACTGACATATCCTGGAAGAAACCATTGTTGCTGACTTGGGTTCGATCCAGAAATTCCGCACCGCCCACATCATCGAGGCGCTGAAAGATCCCAAATACTGGCTGATTATTGCTTGCTCATTCGGTTACGCCATCACCAACGCCGGCATCACCAACTTCAACCCTCTGATCATCTCGGGCTACGGCTTCAGCAAGTCCAAGACGGTCCTGATGGCAACGCCGCAAGCCGCCGTGGCCATGGTCAGCCAAGCCATTCTGACCGCCATAACTTTTTTCATCCCCAACCTCCGATGTGTCTGCTGGATCATTTCTTCTCTGATCGGCCTCGCTGGTGCTGTCATGGTCCACGTGCTCGACGTCGAGACGCAACGAGATGCATCACTCGCCGGAGTCTACATCATGGGCTTTTACAATGTCCCTTGGGTCTTCATGTTGAGTCTGCAGTCTTCCAACACCGGAGGTGCAACCAAGAAGAGTTTCATCGGCATCTCGGTGGCAATCATATATGGTAGGTGCCCCTTCTGTACGAGCAACGGGCGATTGGCCGAAGCTTCTGGTGGTGGTTTTTTTTTTTCTTCATTTTTTTTCCCCTTCCTTTTTTTTGGGGGTTTCTTTTTCTCTCCCCAATCGTCGAGCAAATGGACCCCTACAGAAAGACCATTGGGAATCGCATAGAGCTAATTCTTTTCCCCTTCGCAGCCGTCGGCAATATTGTCGGTCCACAATTCTATCTGTCAAGCCAGTCCCCTCACTATCCTCTTGGGATTGGATCGTTGATGTTCGGTTTCGCCTTGATGGCCTTCAGCGGCATCTTCTATCTTGTCGCTTGTCTCGTGGAGAACAAGCGGAGAGATCATCGTTACGGGCCCGTTTTAGATAACGTCGCTCGTGGTATGGAGGCCGACCTGCGTGACGAAACGGATGGGCAGAACCACAACTTTCGGTATACGTTCTGATTATGTCTGAGGGCCCGAATCACAACTTTCGGTATACGTTCTGATTCCGTCTGAGGGCTAAGGCCCGAATCTAACGTAGTCTCAAATGCTGAGGGAGCGTCTGCACACCTTCGAGTCGGACACCCAACGATAGCCATAGCCCACGACACTAGGGAGGGATGAGGGAAAACCCGACCCCGAACCCGATAGCCTCTCTAGAAAGACGTTATACGTTGTTCCAATGTTGTGTTTGACGCACAATAGACTTGCTAGTGCATATTATATTGCCTGGCACTGCTTGAGCCTCACACCCCCCTCGTGCGATGCCGGGATCATCTATTCATCGGGAAACATTTGGATCCAGGGATGCCGTGCTCAACCCTCCAAGTACGGGAGATTCAAAGGTCCAGCCCAATTCAGAAAACATAGCCTGGGTTTGTTTGGTCCTCAGCACCGCCAGAGACTTGCCTCCCAAATCGATTGCGAGAAAGCGAAATATCTCTGGTGGATTTGGAGTAGAGTGCGAAAGATCTCTGGTGAATTTGGAGCAGTGTGGTTCATCTCACCATTCGGAAATGAGACAAGGTGCCGAGAGGCTGGAGATTGTTTGTTGTTGTTGGGGGACTCGCAAGAACGAGCCATCAGGGCCGACAGACACACGTCAGAAAGTCTATCGGACCACGGGCGACGCCGTTGACGTCTGATCGAGGAAGTCATAAGTCATGCGCTTCAGTAGACCTACTTCGCTGATACCATGTGCCAATTATTCTCGTTCTGTTGGTGATACCATGTGCCAATTCTCGTCCTGTTGGCAGGAGTGTGTGTCGCAGAAGGGAAGGGATTCAAGCGAGGAACTTACATACTCCGGGATCACAAAGATCTCGTTCATAAACAGTGATACCAGTATGCTGATGTTGAGCTCCAACAAGTGAAAGTCTCGTCTGGTGTTGAGCTCCCACAAGTGAAAGGCTCGTTTGTTTTCGTTTAATCCTTAGACGCAATGCCCAAACTCGTCACCATGAGCGCCTAAGCCTTTCCCGTGATGATTGTAAAGAAAGAGTCGCAGGGGGGTCGCATGCTATATAGTATAGTATAACCAGCCTCTCTCTCTCTGGTTAAAGGGCAAGGCCGGGACTGCCTAAGTTTGACAGATCCCTATTCTCTCTTTCTTTCTTGAAGAACGCCAATGGTCGCCAGAACACATCTGCAGCGATTCCTGCCATCCTTTTTTAGCTATAGCATTGGCAGCATCTTCAGTGTACCGCTGCTCTTCAACGGACGGCCGGGGATTGCCCGTGTCTTCGGAAGACACTACATCTCCCGTCTCCCAGCTGACGTCGAAATATATTGTCCACCGCCATGTTCTTCCATAAAGTGTAAGTTATAAAGTGTATTATTTATGGCGCGTTAAAGTACTTTATAGTCTTTAAGCCTTAATAAGGTCCTAGAGCTCTTGCTGTTATACCCTGTAGTGTAACGCACGTGACCAGGCTACGGTTCACCATGCCAAGCGCGTGTGTGTAATAAATAATTTCTAGAGGCTGCGCTGCCCCGAACGTCACGCTGGTATCCGTACCCGTACATGAGTCTGGGCTGTTGAAATGCCCCACCATCTCGCTCTCGCCTGCGCACGACCTTTCTTAAATCCGACTGTCGAAAGATCGATTCAAGGACGAAGCTGGAGATTTGGACGGTAACACCGGCCATCAGCCAACCAGTCCTTGAGCTCTGCCCTCTGCCGTCCCGGACGGAACTCTGCACACGACTTTATGTCGCCGCCTCTCAACCGTGAACGACCAATATTGTTGAGAAACCTCCTTCACAACCACAAACGTCAACATGGCTCCTAAAAAGAAGGGCGGCAAGAAACAGGCCGACGACTGGGAAGCCGACCTGGGTGAGACGGTTGAGCCTGCTGCACAGGCACCCGCGGACGCAGGACAAGACGCTGCTGAAGAAGAGGTGAACGGTGGCGGTCTTCTGGCTGCCCTGCGGAAAAACAAGGATAAACGTGCAAAGAAAGGGAAGCTTGCTTCAAATGACTTTGTCGAAGGCGAAGATCCAGACAGCATTGACTCCACCCCGCGTGCGGACGACCTCGACACCAAAGCACCTGCCGAAGCTACCTTCGACGGCGAGGAAAATGACGATGTCTTCGCAGCCAATGTGAAGAAGGGCAAGGGAAGCAAGAAACAGCTGGAGGCGGCTGCCGCTGAAGCAGATGCCGCTGACAGTGCCGACGGCGGTGGGGTGAAATCGAAAAAGGAAAAAGAGCGGGAGAAAAAGGAACGAGAGAAACAGAGAAAGAGAGAACAGGTCAGTCGACTGATCTAATTCATGTAGATTCTCTAGACTAACTGCTTTGTCACAGGCCGCAAAGAAAAAGTCAACTACTCCCGCACCTGCTACAGCCCCTGCTCCCAAGGCCGAGCAGCAGAAACCCGTTGCCGTGGAAGAGCAAAAACCCCAAGCCCCTGCACCTGTTCCAGAGACAGAAGAGAAGGGAGGCAAAAAGAAAAAGATCCCTGCTCATCTGGCCGCCATCCAGAGACAGCAAGAGGCCCTTGCCCGCCAACGAGAGGAACAAGCCCGGTTAGAAGCTGAAGCCCAGGCCGCTGAAGAAGAACGGCTCCGTAGAGATGCTGAGGAAGAGAGAAAGAAGGCCGAAGCAAGACAGCGTAAGAAGGAAAAGGAGAAGGAAAAGAAAGAGCAACTCAGGAAGGAAGGCAAACTCATGTCGGAGGCTGACAAAAAACGGAGGCAACAGCAAGAACTTCGACTGAAACAGATGCTGGAATCAGGTGTCAAGGTTGCCGGCCTGACTGAAGGTGCCGAGGAAAAGAAGAAGCCGGCTTACGACAAGAAGCGAAAAGGTCCGAAGAAAGAGGATGTCGATCTTGAAGCGGCTGCACAAAAGGCAAAAGCCGAGGCCGAAGCGGCTGCGGCGGAGCGCCAGCGGCTCGCCAAGGAGGCAGAAGAAGCGGCGGCAGCGGGCGCCACGGCAGAGGCGGCGAAGGGCTACGAGTCCTCAGGAGTGGATGACTGGGAAAAGGCTGCTGAGGAAGAAATCAAGGACAGTTGGGACGCAGATTCAGACGAGGAGCCAGCTGTCAATGGCCACGCGGCACAAGACAAGTCCAAGCCAAACGGGGCTGCGGCATCGTCGACTTTGCCCGTCCGAGATTCCAAACCCCCGTCGAAGGAGACCCCCATTGAATCCGATACCGAGTCGGGGGACTCATCCTCGGACGAAGACCGCACCGCTACCCAGCGAGCACTGGCTAAGAGGAAGGCTGAAGCAGCTGCCAGAAGACAAAAGGCTCACGAGGAAGCGCTGGCAGCACGGTCCAAAGACAATCTCCGATCTCCGATCTGCTGTATCCTGGGTCACGTCGACACGGGTAAGACTAAACTGCTGGACAAGATCAGACAGACGAACGTCCAAGAAGGCGAAGCGGGTGGTATCACGCAGCAGATCGGGGCCACTTACTTCCCTGTCGAGGCTCTGCAGCAGAAGACGGCCGTGGTGAACGCGGATGGCAAGTTCGAATTCAAAGTGCCGGGGTTGTTGGTCATCGACACCCCCGGTCACGAGTCCTTCTCCAACCTCCGGTCTCGTGGCTCCTCGCTCTGCAACATTGCCATTCTGGTGGTGGACATCATGCACGGCCTCGAGCCTCAAACATTGGAGTCGATGCAACTCCTTCGAGATCGTAAGACGCCTTTCATTGTGGCCCTCAACAAAATCGACCGTCTGTACGGCTGGAAGAAGATTGACAACAACGGCTTCCAGGAGAGCTTGGCGCTGCAGAACAAGGGCGTGCTGAACGAGTTTCACGATCGAGTGGAGAAGACGAAGCTCGCGTTCGCGGAGAAGGGTTTCAACGCCGAGCTGTATTATGAAAACAAGGACATGAGACGATTTGTCTCGCTCGTCCCGACCTCGGCTCACACTGGCGAGGGAATCCCGGACATGCTGAAACTCCTGGTGTCGCTTGCCCAAGAGCGGATGACTTCCAGTCTGATGTACCTGTCCGAGGTGGAATGCACGGTGCTTGAAGTCAAGGTGATTGAAGGTCTCGGCACCACCATCGACGTGATTCTCTCCAATGGTGTCCTTCGTGAAGGGGACCGCATAGTCCTGTGTGGCCTCAACGGCGCCATTGCGACCAACATTCGAGCTCTTCTGACCCCCGCGCCGCTCAAGGAGCTCCGGCTCAAGTCGCAGTACGTGCACAATAAGGAGGTCAAGGCGGCGCTCGGAGTCAAGATCGCGGCCAACGACCTGGAAGGCGCCATTGCCGGTTCTCGTCTGCTTGTTGTCGGACCGGAAGACGACGAGGACGACTTGTGTGAAGAAGTGATGGCGGATCTGCAGCAGCTCCTCAGCAAGGTGTCCAAAGACAATCGCGGGGTCAGCGTCCAGGCGTCCACCTTGGGCTCTCTGGAGGCGTTGTTGGAATTCTTGAAGCAGATGAAAATCCCAGTGGCCAACATTTCGATCGGACCAGTGTACAAGCGCGATGTCATGATGGCCGGGACCATGCTGGAGAAGGCGAAGCAATATGCCGTCATGCTGTGCTTCGATGTCAAAGTGGACAAAGAAGCCCTGCAGTACGCGGAGGAGAACGGGATCAAGATTTTCACGGCCGACATCATCTACCACTTGTTCGACGACTTCACCCGACACATGGCCCAGATCCAGGAACAGAAGAAGGAAGAGAGCAAGCTGAATGCCGTGTTCCCGTGCGTGCTCAACACCCTCCAGGTGTTCAACAAAAAGGACCCGATCGTGATTGGAGTGGATGTGATCGAGGGTAGTCTCCGACCGCTGACCCCAATCGCGACGGTGAAGACGAATCCGGTGACCGGGGTCAAGGAGATCATCAGCCTGGGCCGAGTGTAAGTTGACCCCGACCCCTACCTAAACGGCGCGTTGTGACAACGACTGACGAGGTATTAGCACATCCATTGAACGCGAGCACAAGGCCGTGCCCGTGTGCAAGAAAGGCCAGCCATCGGTTGCGGTCAAGATCGAAGGACCGAACCAGCCCCTTTACGGCCGACAGCTTGAGGACAAGGACCCGTTGTATTCGCTGATATCGCGACAGTCGATTGACACGCTCAAAGAGTTCTACCGAGACGAGGTGACGCGGGACGAATGGTCGTTGATCAGGAAACTCAAGCCACTGTTCGACATTCCTTAGACGCGACGATGAGACGATGAGACGGGGACAGGCCGGGGTGGAGCAGGGCGGGCCACCCTCAAAAGTACAGCCCTCAAAAGTACAGCAATTACAGCGATGGTCTCTGTTACAGAGGACAAGTTTGGCATTGCCTGCACAATCTGTCTCTCCGAGGGGATGGGATGGCTTGGACGCAGGAGGGTGAATCCCTCCTCATGTTTCATGTTTCTAGACGTGACTGCATAGTAATTGTATGATGATTCCTCGAGACTGCAGGGAGCACGGCACGGATACGAAGTAGAGGTGCAAGTGATCGAGTAATGCAGCAGATGTGGCAGTGGCATGACTGTATCCGTACGAGTCACTACCAAGTAGAGAGGCCCGAGCCCGTACGGAGGAGAGGGAGTGGTATTAGATACTGCTTGGGAGACCCTTTGACCAAGTCTCGCCATCCGGAGCCGCCAGAAGCCGATGGAGCCCTGGGCGACGGGCTGCCCAATCGAGAGGGCGGGAAAGAAAAACGAGAAGTAGAGCATCGGGCTCGCGCTCCAGCAGCAGCACCAGCAATTTCCCTCGATTCCCGCTGCGTGCAAAGGGTTCACCACTAATAGAGTCTAGGAGGACTAGCACCATAGGAAGCCGTGCTCAGTACCGTACAGAGTATAGTGGTGGTGTGTCTACCGTCTCCGAGCTTCTTCCTGTCTCATCCTCCATTTCTTCGTCGCAGTCACAGTCGCAGCACCCAGATCAGCTTCACGCGACGCAGCCCCCTAAACACGCAACACACACGCTGCGTGCATTTGTGGGAGGACGACCGACCGACCGACCGACCGATCGACCGACCGGTGCTGGGTGTGAGCCTAGCTCGTTGGCTGTTGTCAGTCAGGAACGCTGCTGCGCCCATTCGACCACCGGCAGCGAACTCCGCCCGCGAGTCAACCACAATTCGTTCGCCATGGAGGTGCTCGCCAATGCTACCGGCTTTGCCTCGCCCCTCGCCAACATCGACATCAACTCCAAGATCCAGGCCGCCAGTGCCTCCGGGGTGGTGGGCAGATTGCTACAATCCCTCAACTCCTGGACGGTTCTGGTCACGGTCCTGTTGATTTTGGTCGCGTATGATCAAGGTAGGCGACAAGAGCAGAGCAGCCCTGGCCCCGGCCCTGGCCACTGCAGACACGGACTGACTCTCTTTGCAGGCAGCTACCAATGGCGAAAACACGGCATCGTCGGACCGGCCTGGAAGATGCCCTTTATCGGGCCCTTTCTGGAATCGGTGCACCCGGATTTCAAAAAGTACAAGCAGAAGTGGGAGAGTGGCGATCTGAGCTGTGTTTCTGTCTTCCACAAGTATGCACTGCACTCGCGGCCCCTTCCTCCTATCGGCCATGCTGACCTGACCGTCTCCTCTCTAGGTTCGTGGTCATTGCCTCGAGTCGCGAGCTGGCTCGAAAAGTGTTCAACTCGCCCGGCTTCCTCAAACCCACCGTGGTCGATGTGGCGCCCAAGCTCCTGGGCGCAACCAACTGGGTGTTCCTGGACGGCAAGAACCACGTTGAATACCGCAAAGGATTGAACGGACTGTTCACCCGGCAAGCGTTGGAAATGTACCTGCCGGGCCAAGAGGAGGTCTACAGCAAATACTTCAAGAGCTTCGTGGACATGTCCAAGGAGAACGGCATGGCTCCGACGCCGTGGATGCCGGTCTTCCGAGAGCTCATGTGCGCCGTGTCGTGCAGGACCTTTGTCGGGCACTACATGAGCGACACGATCGTCAAGAGAATCGCCCACGATTACTACCTCATCACGGCTGCGCTGGAGCTGGTCAACTTCCCCATCATCATCCCCTACACGAAGACGTGGTACGGCAAAAAGGCAGCCGACATGGTGCTGGACGAATTTGCCAAGTGTGCGGTCAAGGCCAAGGTCCGGATGGCCGCCGGCGGTGAGGTGACGTGCATCATGGACGCCTGGATCAAGCAAATGCAGGATTCGGCCAAGTATCGAGAACGCCTCGCTCGCGGCGAAGAGGTGCCGGCGTCGGAGAAACCGGCGCATGTGCTGCGGGACTTTACCGACTTTGAGATCTCCCAAACCATCTTCACCTTCCTCTTTGCCTCGCAGGACGCCACGTCGAGTGCCTGCACCTGGTTGTTCCAGCTGATGGCGGGCCGGCCGGAGGTGCTGGCCAAGGTGCGAGAGGAGAACCTCCGACTGCGCGGCGGCGACCGGAACAAGCCCTTCGACATGGACATGCTGGAGTCGATGGTGTGGACGAGGGCGGTGGTCAAGGAGACGCTGCGATATCGCCCTCCAGTCATCTTCGTGCCGTACGTGGCCAAGAAGGACTTCCCGGTGACGGAGAACTACACGCTGAAGAAGGGGTCCATGATCATTCCGGCGGTCTGGCCGGCCACCCATGATCCTGAAGCCTACCCCAACCCGGATAGCTTTGACCCGGAACGATGGATCACGGGGGATGCGGACAAGCAAGTCAAGAACTGGTTGGTCTTCGGCACGGGACCTCATTACTGTATAGGCCAGACGTACGCGCAATTGAACCTCATGGCCATGATCGGCAAGGCGAGTATTCTGCTGGACTGGGAACATGAACCGACCGCTCTCAGTGAAGATATTGAGGTGTTCGCCACCATTTTCCCCCAGGTGAGTGGGCCACCAGGCTTGTTTCCAGATGGATTGCTGACGCCTTTTGCTTCTAGGATCATTGCAAATTGACCTTCTCCGAGCGAGCATAGATGGGGATTGCTCATGCCATGTCGTCGATTTGCTTCCGTCTTGCGTTTCAGCGATAGAACCATGCTCGAGCTCACGCGGATGGCCATGGCCAACGAATACAGTGTACATAGTCAAAGGATGGCCAGCACGAGCAATGGCAGGCTGTCTGGAATGGCGGTCACCATGCAATCAAAAGGGATCTTCGTGCTCGCACGGCTTGATATGGCGGTGTTATGGGTGCCAACGGGAGCAGCCAGGAGCAGCCACGGCTACAGAGATGGGAGTATCGTTTAATGCATATAGATTTGTCGTTTGTCGTTGAAAAGGGCGTTTGCGTTCGAGCTTGGATAGCTCCGAGTAGTATGAGTGTTGACATGGATGGAGTGAGTGCAGTCGACCATTGACCGTTCAACGGGTTTAATTTCTGAGTAGATCACTCACTGAGCATTGAACATGTGTCGATGCAATCACTCCTCAGTACTAAGTCACTAATAATGGGAAGGGTGAGCACTGAATGGTGTACTGGTGGTTGGTTGGTGGGTGGTGTTGGTGGTGTTTTATGTACTTAGTCAGCACGAATCCAAGGCTGAGACTCGACTTGGTCGACTCCTCTGACCCGGCCAAGGATCCTGATCGGTCGGTCGCTCGACCTCCACCATAGACCTGGAGACCGTGCTCTCTCACATCGAACGTTCTCCAAGGCCGTTCTCTGATATCCTGGATACACCGTGCAGGGTGCGAGTGGAAGATGGGATCACCACTCCACCCACTTCCACTGCCACTCCCACTGCCACTCCTCCGACTACCACTGCCACTGAAACTGCCACTGCGGCGACCACTCCTCCGACTCCCAGCCAGTGCGGCTACGGCTCTCTTCTCACCCGAATTGGGATTGGGATTGGGGAGTAGCCGTAGCCGTATGCGTATGTGTACTGCATTCTGGGCAGGCTCGAGAGGGAGATCCTTTTCTACGTCGAGACCGGCGCGGGTGGATTTTACTCATGCGGTACGTTGATCCTTGACCTTGACCTTGACCTTGACTTTGACCTTGTCCTTGTTTATTTCTTATTTCTGGTCTGGTGCTTCGAGATCAGATCCAGTCAGGATCGGGTTCTGTGTCTGTCTGTGTCTGTCTGTGTCTGTGTGTCTGTCTGTGTCTGTGTCTGTCTGTGTCTGTCTATGTCTGTTTCTGTACATTGGTTCGACTCTTGCAAGGGAAAGGGAAAGAGGAGGGAGACAATAGTCCACTCACTCACTCACCCACTCACCCACTCACTCACTCACTCACTCACTCATTCACCACCAGGTCATCGGAGGAGGCGCCGTCGGTCTGGCCATTGCCCGCCAGCTTGCCTCCAGGCCAGGCACTTCGACCATCCTGATCGAGCGTCATGGGATGGTGGGGTCGGAGACGAGTAGTCGGAATTCAGAGGTAACGCTTGCCTCTATCTTCTATCTTCTGTCTTGTTCCCTTTCGGTCCCCTTTGGGTCGAGGCTTAAGCTTAACCTAAGGCTGCCATATTTGTGCAATAACGACAGTCGAGGCTTAAGCTGCCATATTTGTCCAATAACGACAGTCGAGGCTTAAGCTGCTGTATGCCAAATATGCAATAACCATCTAACCCTACGCTACCATATTTGCAATAACCATCTAACCCATCTCAGGTCATCCACGCCGGTCTCTACTACGGCCCAGACTCCCTCAAGACCAAACTCTGCATTCGCGGCAAACAGCTCCTCTACGAACTCTGCGCGGCGCAACAGATCCCGCACCGGCGCACCAAGAAATGGATCCTGGCGCAGGACGCGGCGCAGATGGCCGAACTGGCGCGGCTGCACGATTTTTCTAAGACCATCGACGTGCCGACGCGGTTTCTGTCGCGGCGTGAAATCCACGACCAAGAGCCTGACGTGCGTGCCGACGCTGGCGTGCTGGAATCGCCCACCACCGGCATCGTCGACAGCCACGCCCTGATGGCGTATTTGGAAGGAAGTCTGGACGAGCGCGGCGGTCAGGAGATTCTGAATACGGAGGTGACGAAGATTGAGGTGTTGGGAAAGACCAACACCGGCACCAACACCACCAACAACACCAGAACCAACACCAGCACTGGCACTGGCACCACCAACACCACCACCACCACCAACACACAAGGCTACGCAATCACAACCCGGTCCCGGACTCGTGACGGCGCCCTCGTCGATGAAGACACCATCACAGCCGAAACAGTCATCAACTCAGCCGGCCTGGGCGCAGTGTCGGTGTCGAACATGCTTCTCCCACCCGCGCGGCACCGCACGCCCTTCTACGCCAAGGGCAGCTACTTCAGCTACACTCCCAGCCCTAGCAGTGGCGACCCCAAACCCAAGACGCTACTATACCCAGCGCCCGTGCCAGGTCTAGGCGGCCTCGGCACCCATCTGACGCTCGACATGGCCGGCCGCGTGCGCTTCGGCCCGGACGTCGAATGGGTCGACGACCCGACCGACCTGACGCCCAGCCAGGCGCGGCTGGACGCCGCCGTGCCCGTCATCCAGACCTATCTCCCGGGCGTGCGGCGCGACGCCCTCGCCCTCGACTACTGCGGCATCCGGCCCAAGCTGGCCCGCTCGAGTGGCACCTACGGCGTCGACGGTAAGGGGTTTGCTGACTTCTATATCAGAGAGGAAGAGGGATTTCCTGGCTTCGTTAACCTTCTGGGAATCGAGAGTCCGGGCTTGACTGCGAGTTTGGCCATTGCCGAGCTGGTCGATCGGATCTTGTATGCGGGGGGTGATCAACGAGATGTTGGATGAGGGGGGGCGTCACGGTTGACCTGAACTATTACTTGTATGAAGGGGGGTGTCGGTCGACCTAAAATATTATACCACGACAGTCGAGTCGCCAAAAAGGACAAAGGGACGGATTCACGAGTGCATTAGCCACTTGGTGTATATGACCGTCACAGGGGGTTGTGTATGCAGGGGGGTTGGAGAGAAGGGGAATGGGAATGCAAGTGCGAGTGCGAGTGGGAGTGGGAATCAGACTGAGCATGACATTGAAAATGCCAATGCCGATGCCAATGCCAATGCCGCCTGGTGTTGGTGTGACGGTTATATACTTTATATACACCAAGTGGCTAATTCACAAGTGAATTAGTTACTTTGTCCTTTTTACCGGCTGTCGTGGTCTAACATAGTTGGACTTGACTGGACTGGACTGGACTGGACAGAAACAAAAACTAAAACACAGCGTATCCCCAGGGAATGAAGAGGGGGAGAGTGAGATAAGGTATACATATATACGTATATATACGATATCACTGGCCCGACTTGGCTGGCACGAAAAAACGAAGAATACAATACCATGCCATCCGAGTTGACATTGACATTGACAGACAATCAAACATCATCATCAGATTGAGCTTCAAGAATCGCGAGAGTTCAGGTCCGGGTCCGAGGACACTTTTCTTATGGTATAGTATAGTATCTTATCAGGAGATAGTCAGTATAGCACCTATATATATACCTATCTACATCTAAGAGGTAGATCTAGATCTAGTACGTGGAATAGTAGATATCAATTTCAAGTTCAATATCAATTCAATATTATAATATTAAACAGGTATTCGATCATATAGTTTGCACTGATTGGATATATATATACCCTTCCTAACACTGTTCTATAGGTATTCCACAGGTTCCATCATACGTTTGATGAGCTGAGTTGAGATGAATTATCCAGTTCGATTCTAGCATTCCATGGACCATCAACACGTCTAATTGTAATCGTACACTCACCTATAATCAAGTCACTCACCCACGGCCAGTTCACTCACCCACCGCCAGCTGTGACGGTTATATACACCAAGTAGCTAGTTCACTCGTCAATCAGTTACTTCGTCCCTTTTCTGTCGTGGTGTACCAGTTTGGATGAACCGTGACACCAGCAGCCTCCAGCATCTCAGATACCTTCCCAAACTTCTCTCTGGGCTTGCCTCGTTTCGCTCCCTCAGCCTTCTCGGCCTCGTCGATCTTCTGCCACTTGTCCCAGTGGAGAGGGCGGAGTGGGAGCTTCAAGGCCTGCGCTTCGGCCTGGACACCTGTCCAGCCACCCCGAAGAGACTCTGGTCCCGAGTTGCTGGCGTAAGCTCTTTTCCAGTCCTCGACGATCGCCTCCGCCGTCTGGAAAGCGTCGGTCATGGTGCTGGCAATCACGCCGGTAGGCCCACGTTTCACCCAACCAGAGCAATATACAGCAACCTTTCCATTTCCGTCTCCGTTCCCGACTGTAGCCGATTGACTCACCGGCACCACTCGACCCAGCCCATCGTGACGGATGGTGCCTTTCCCTTGATCGAATTCGGCGCCTATCTCAGCCATGCCTAGAATGGCCTCGGCCTTGTATCCTATCGATCGGAACAATATGGATGTAGCTATCACCTGCGTCTCGTCCGTATTCACCACTGGGGACTCGGACGACGATGGATCCTCTAGTCTGGTCTTGGAGAACGTGACCCCTTCCAGTCGGTCTGGATCCGCCGCAGACCAATTGAGGAATGTCGGAGCGAGTAGGAAATCCAGAGACCAAGACTTGGTCGCCTTCTCTTTGACGGGACTGCCCTTTTTCAGGAGCTCCAGAAGCCGCCTTCTTGGCCGAGGTAGTTTGGCCAGGTCAGCAGGAAACAGCTCGTTCGGGATCGGAGTGAAATTCACATCCTCCAGCTGAAGGAGCTCCCGCACCTCTTTGATGGTGAAGGCTGCTTGCATCGGCCCTCGCCGACCCACTACATGGACATGCTTGATCTTGCTGCCCGAGAGGGCGTGCAGGGCGTAGTCCGTTATGTCCGTCTTCCTTAGCACGTCGACCTTGCTCAGGAGCGTCCTAGTCACGTCCAATGCGACGTTTCCCTGCCCGACCACGATGGCCGTCTCGCCGGCCGTCAGATCTGGGTCCAAATCGCGGTATTCCGGGAGGCCGTTGTACCAGCCCACAAAAGCCCGCGCTGAGTAGATGTGCGGTTTCTCTTCGCCCTCCAAGCCCAACCTGCGGTCCTTGGACGCGCCGTATGCAAAGACGATCGCATCGTAGTGTTTGGCGAGCAATGGGAGAGGAAGGTCATGGCCGAGATTGACGTTCCCGATGAAAGTATAGTCGGGGGACGCGGCAACCTCTTGGAAAGTGTCTTGACAGTTCTTGACTTCCGGGTGGTCGGGCGCCACGCCGAACCGCACCAGGCCGAAAGGCACAGGTAGCTGTTCGTACATGTCGACCTTGGTGCCGGGGATATCTCGCATCAACTTCTGAGCGGTATAGAAGCCCGCTGGGCCGGAGCCGACCACGGCCACGATAGGAGCCGGGCCGTTGTACTGGGCGACATGGTGGCTGGACCTGAATCTCGCAGCGACAGGTCGGAAGGGTAAGGGAGAAAAGGCTTGATGGTCAAGGGCACGGGACACTTGGGTTGTTGTTCTCGCGCATGAAGAAAAGCGCAAGCATCGGGTAATTAGCATGGTGGTATGGTAAAGAAGACAAAAGACATAAGGGAGACCCCCATCGTAAGGTAACCCAATAACCTAGCCTCTGCTGTTGGTGTTGGTCATAATGAGTGGAAGAAGATGACGGACCGAGGGAACGGCGCAGGCAGTCCGTCATTAATATTTAGTATTTAGTATAGCTAGACGGGCTAATGCTTATCGATAAGGCTAAGGTTTAGGCCAGCCTGACGGGATGGCGGGATAGTGGAATAGCGACTCGACAAGATAGCCAGACACTGAGCAGGCCGCGATGGTTTGTGTTTTAATATTGGCTGTGCATGGGCTGATAGCCGACCATCCAAAGCTGCCAATCCAGGATCAACCACGTTGGCGGGCGATATCTGCACTGAATTCCCATGCCACAGTCGATGAGACAGTAGACTACAGGACGGATACACCAACGGTGGCTGTTGGTTGAAATTGGGCGAGAATACATACACGCGTAGTAATGGTACAGTAGCACGCTCGAGTCCAAGTCACAGCCCAGCTCTACGGCTACGGCGACACGCCTGAGCAGCAGCGCACCGCAGGCAAAAATGCAGGGTGATATCTTAAGTTCGGAAATCTCTCCCGCAATTGCCTAACCGAAGCACCATCGAGCCATGGCCCTGGATCCCTGGGTTTGGGCCATGTAATTCCTCCTCGAACAGGAGGCGGCATTGCTGCAAGGGTTGGCGGGAGGGGCCTTCTGGATCAGGTAGAAGAGGAATCTATCTGATCCGACAACCAGGAAGGTGTGAGCAGACTCCTCGCGCTGACTTTTTGCTACTTGGGTTGGGGTTCAACTCGTGGACCTTGCTCTTTTGTTTTTGGGCGTTCCGACGGCTGTTGGGTGTGCGTGAATACGCGAGGGTGCGGCAGAAAGGCCAGGGTTGGATGCAGTGAAGTCTTCTGTCAAGGTCAAGGGCAGAAACGATGTTGGCGGGGAGGGGCACGCCATACTCTCCAGCATGCGGACCTGAAACCGTGGTCATCCTCACGCTCGTGAGTGTCCCACGTCAGTAGATCAAGCCAGGGCAAGCCCATTCTGTCACGTACAGTTGATCTATATCTAGATATAGGTATCTAAGTTCGTACTTCGTAGACGTTGATATATCCAGGCCGAGGCTGCTTATCACCACGTGAGATCACCTCTTATCGCGTGCCTCTATCGTCATGGTCATGGAAAGGCTGCCGCCTCAGCCTCGTCAATTATCAGATAGTTCAAAGTCTTGGATCCGACACAACCTGGCCGCACCGCCTGCCTTCGTGTTCTCTTCGCGTCTGGTTCTATCTTTCCTCCTTCTCCTTGTCTTTTCCCGCCCTTACTCTCCGTCATTTTCGGCCATTCCGCCCCCGCCCCCGCTCCCTCCACCACAAGCATGCCGAAATCAAAATCAAAGTCCCAATCTCAATCTCAATCTCAACAGACCACATCTCTCTCCACGAGGACAACGCCTCTTCCTTCGACCTTCCGCGACCGTCTGCCCTTACCAAAGCTGCTCGTATTCGACCTCGACTACACGCTATGGCCGTTCTGGGTGGATACGCACGTGTCGGCGCCGTTGAAACCCGCCGCCCCGCCGGGCCAACACAACACGCGCATGCTGGACCGGTCCGGCGAAACCTTTGCCTTTTACGACGACGTGCCGGGGATCCTGGCTGCCGCAAAGAAGCGTGGCGTCGCCATGTCGCTGGCTAGCCGTACCCACGCCCCGGATCTTGCCCGCGACATGTTGCGCGGCCTGCACGTGCCTGGGAGCCGCGGCACGAGTTCTGATGATGAAGAAGAAGACGAAGAAAAAGAGGGAGGAGATAAAGGGAAGGGCAGTGGTGCTGCTGCTGCTACTACTGGCCCTCCTATTACGCTAGGCACCACAAACCCAACCTCGCTCCGCGCCGTGGATTTCTTCGTCCACCCACAGATCTACCCCGGCAGCAAGACCACGCATTTCCGCCGCATCCAGGCTGCCATGCAAAAGGCCGGCACGCCCGTCGCCTATGAGGACATGCTGTTCTTCGACGATGAGGGCCGGAACCGCAACGTCGAGACCGAGCTCGGCGTCACCTTCTGGCTAGTCCGCGACGGCGTCACGAGCGATGAGGTGGACAAGGGGGTCTGGGAATGGCGGCGACGCCAAGGTATATCGAAAAGGGGGTTGTCCACCTCGGACGGAGAGGGCGTTGCCGAGTTGGAGGCATGACCACGAGCATAAATGACCGGGGATGGGTGCCTGGGCTGGTCCGAGGACGACTTGATCTATTCGTTGCATCTTACCGCATGAAATAGAAAGGAGCAAGGCGTGCATTACCGCATCAAATGAAAGGGAGCGAGGCGTTGACAAAGAATGAGCATTGAACTGTGACACAGACCGAATCCATCCGTGTCTCCCACTACAGTGATACTCGACAATATACAGTACATCGGCATCGGCATCGGCATCGTGCTCGACACCCGCGACACGACAAGACACGACACGATATAACAGAATGGGGAATAGAGGGCTGAAATCCAGCCATCACATTACAACACATAACATCACATCACATCACATCACATCATATCAGGTCATATCACATCAGCTAAAGATATAGACAGCGCGCGCCTATGTGGACTGAGCATTGGCCCTGGTGTGGCGCACGACAGACAGACGACCGGCGGGCTACACAAGGTAGAAAGAGATGACGGGAAGGAAAGAGATGACAGGAAGGAAGATACTAGGAACAAATGAGCATTCACGCCCGTCCGCAGCCGGCTCTTGTCCTCGTTCCTGTACTAGAGAGCCCTGCACCTTGCACATATTTGTTGTACACTTGACACTTTATCGTCTATGCCTCTAGAGACATGGGCAGACGCCGTCCAGCCATCCAGCCTCAAGCCTCAGGGCAGGATACCCATGTCTTACTCCGGCTCGTTCCCGCCGAGGACAATCAATCAATCCATCCCCTTCTCCCACTTACATGGCCCGACCATGGCATGATTCGAGCACTTCCAATCGTCCCACCACACTCCGCCATAACCGGGTTCCAACTGCCCTGCGCCCTCTCCACGGCTTGTATATCATTCGGTCTTTGTCGCGCCCTTTTAGGCGTGACGGTGGTGGTTGGGGTATCAAAAAGAAGACGAAGAAGAAGAAGAAGTAGTAGTAGTAGTTGTAGCAGTTGTAATAGTAGTAGTGGTAGTAGTTCCTGTTGTTGTACAGATTAGTTTCGTCATCTTCTCTCCCATTGTCCGTCGTGTAGATTGCTGTCGAGTGTTTGCGGGAGAGCTGGCCACCTGTATCCATGATCATGACGGGTATCTGTTGATTCGATATCGCTGCCACCCTGGGTACTTGGTCTCCATGGCCTTTCCACCTTGCTCGTGCGAGATCAACCTCTCGACCTTCGCTTCGAACTGGTAGGCATCGCAATCTCGACAAGCTGGTCCGAGTCGTCGTCGTCGTCGTCGTCATCATGGTCAGCTTGACCCGCGAACTCCGAGGCCTGCTCCTCGACGTCTCCCATGCCAAAGGCGCCGCCCAACTTCTCCTTCTCCATGGGGCTGAGGACCTCTTCATCCGAGCTGTTACTTTCATCTTCCTGCGTCGGTGCAACCATCTCTCCCATCTCTTCGTCTTCAAAGACTTCCAGGGGCCGCCGTTCCAGACTGGTGCGGGCTTCCAGGGGCGGGTTCTCAGGGTCGAGGTCCGATCCGGATCCTTCAGAGGACGAATCGTCCAGGGATCCGTCAAAGTCGTCTTGCGTAGGCCGGCCGTGCATGCCATCACTGGTACTGGAGAATAAGCTGGTCAGTCCACGACTGACCGAAAAGCTGTGGTGATCTCCGGAGCTCTGGTGGAATGCATCTGCATTGCTCCGCTTCCCGAACGTGGTGATGTCTTGTTCTTCTTCGTCCAGCGAAAACGGATCGCCCGAATCCTGTTCGTCGTTGTTGTCCAGGGCCGCGAATGGATCGTCCGCCTCGGATCCGAACTCGGATGCAGCAACCTCTCGCTCGGCCTCTTGTTTGTGCCTCGCTAAGCGGTCAGCCAACCGCCGGCGGGCACGTGACGGCTCGACGTTAAGCGGTGCTGGAGGGGGAGGCAACAGTGGCACGGGTTGGTCAGACTGCTTCGCGACCTATTAGCCTAAAAAGTAAACAATCGTCGGATTGCACCGGTAGCACTCACAATCTCCGATGAAACCCCGGTATCAGCCGCTGGGGGTTGAGATACTGTCCTTCCATGCTCCTCATCTTCAGCATCGTCCATGTCCTCGTCTTCATCGTCTGAGGAACTGCCAAAGCCGCTTGAAAGCGAACCAGCTGAATTGTACCCGGCACTAGTGGCACTGCCATTGTTCGAGAGATCAATGCTGTCTAGACCATGTTGGCCTCCACCTAGGCCGGCGGCCGCCAATCCGCTCGAAGGGCCGAAGCCCTGTCCTGCGTTGACCGCATTCAGGACCGCCTGTCTCGAGCCGAGTCCATTGTCTGGCCTGAACCCTCCGAGGATGGCATTGTCTCTTTCTCTCGTCTCCGCGAGAGTCTTGGTGACGTAGTCCTCCCAGGCCTGGGAGTAGATGCACTCTTGCACCATGGGCGAGAGCAGCTCTCGAGGGTGGCGTTCGCCGAACTTGACCACCTCTTCAGCCACCAGGGTCAGATGCCCCATGTATCCAAGCCGCATGTTCCTGGCCTGTTGAGCCTCGTCGCTCCGTCTTTGGCCTTCGATGATGGCTTCGGTAATCCGACCCGTCTCGAATAGATCGAAGGCAAGGAATCGGTTATAACCTCTGTCCATCGGGCCGTTGAACACTTGCTGGACCACATCGTAGACGACGTTGTGGAGGAAGTTGTTCCAAGGGAACCGAAAGAAGAAGCTCTGTCCTTTTCGTCAGCACCATGTTCGCATTATTAGGCTGGATCGTCAACTTACCACAATAGTCGGAACAACCTTGTTTTCGACAAACATGATCTTCAGGTGGTCTCCAACCACTGGGGCTTCTTCCAGCGTTGACGGCTCATGTTCGGTGATCTGCATTGTGCTGTCCTGGGAAGTCTGTAGAGACTCGCCTTCTAGGTGGCTGGTCTGACCAGCTTCTTCGATACCCTCTCTTGTTGCGCCCGGGCTGCCCGCAGGCTCAGGGCTGTGGGCCGTGGGTGTCTTGTTGGGGTCCGGAGACGCGGCGAACAAAGGGGCGGGCTTGTCTTCAGGGTGCGGGGAGATTCGACCCGGCTCGCTACCCGGAACGGAAGAGTGTATCGTCGTTTCAGGGTCATCGGGGGGCGAAGTCATGTCAGTGTCTTCTGCGATGTCTAGACTCAACCGGCGCACGGTGTCATCTAGAGTTCCTGTCGGGGTGGTAGGTTCCGGAGACGACTCGGCCACTCGAAGGGGGCGAGGAGATAACGGTTCGTCGACCAGTTCTTGCCCCAGTCCCGTCGAGGCCTCGGTGGCTTCAGAGACTGCAACCTTTTCGAATCCATCCTCGTCGTTCAAGTTGGCGATCCGGAGCTCGTCGGTAGAAGTCGACGCCGACGGAGTGAATGCATTTTCGAATCTCGAGGACGTGACCGAGATGTCCACGGCAGAATCTTCCGACTGTTTATTAGACAGAAAGGCGCCCTGCGCGCGCAGTCGTTCTCTTTCCGCGTCTCTTTCCTTGATGAATTCTTCACTCCCCCGTTCGTTCAGCAGTCCCATGTTGCTACAGTGGAGCAGTTCAGCCATGAGTTCGCAGGTTTTGAACCGGTCAAACCCGAGAGGTTCAATCTGGGTTCCCCATGCAGACTTGAGCTGGCCTCTTTCCACCACGGCCGTTGTATCGCCCTTGGTGACAGTGTGTTTCGAGCTGAGAATCAGGTGCATGAAGTCGGGAACATGCTCGGCAAATAGTCTCAAGAGTGTGCCAAGATAGATGGGGTCATGATTCGTAGGCGGGGAGTCGGGACTGTGGCCATGGTCCGGATCGTAATCGGAGTTGTTCTTACGGATGACTTCGATGACGATTCCCACCCCGACCGTCAGAGGGTTCCCCCCTTCAAGCATGTAGGAGATCAACTGGCGAATGCACTTCTCCGACACCAACTGCCGCGTTAGACTGTTGGGGCCGATGCACGATTGCTCATTCAAAGCAGCGTTGGCGGAGATTGTGATGATGGCTTTCAGGAAGTCGCCCGCAGAGGTCTGGGTGGACGAGTTGCATTGTGGAGACAAGCTTGCGAGGAGCATGGGGATCAGGTCCTGATCATGCAGCCAATCCACCATTCCCGCGCCGCCGTCGGATTTTTCCAGGCTGATGATCTTTAACAGCAGATCCATCACCATCGGACAATCCACGTGCTGCAGGATGGCCGACACAATGCCCGGGAGAGACTTGACAAAGTCGGCCATTTCTTCCGTCTTCTTCTCAAACAGGGTTTCGTTGACTTTGGTGAAATAGCCGGCCTGCAAGGGATCCAAAGGAGCTGGGCGTCGCAGGAAGTCCCAAAATTGGGTGAGATCCGATGTATTGGCCAGCAGGGACTCGGTGATGGACCAGGTCTCGCAGGACAAGATTTCGCAAGCCACGTATGCGTATTTCAACCGCTTTTTCTCCGCCTTTTCCTGTTCCTCGTCTGAGAACTTCTGCTCATTTTCCTCACCCAACGCAGGTTCTGTTGCTTCCTCGTCCTCGCCCTCGCCGGGCTCATCGACGTCTGTCGAAGGACCAGGCGCTATAACGTACTGGAGGAGGGCATGGAGGTTTCCTTCATCTCGCAAATACTCTATCAGTTTGGTGTGATGGGATTTGAGTTCCTGGATGAGGTCGGACTCCTCCAACAAGTCTTCGAGCTTGACATTAGGCTTATCGAGTAGGGTGTCGATAGTTGAGATGTTGGAGTAGCCTCCGAAGCGCCAAAACATCTTCACGGTTCTCTTCCCGTCGCGATTAACGGACGGAAATTGTGCCGAACGGGTCTTAGTAATGGCACACACTCAGGGTCAAGTGACGGGGGGTCAACGGGCCGTGGGCAGTCGAGAATCGTGGATTGGCGAATGAGGAAGACATAGACAGGCGTTTCCAGCGCTGAAACATCTCACAGGTCAGTTACTTGAATCTCTGTTGTCGCGCGGACGGTTGTGATCGCGTGGGGTTTCAGGGTGACGTTTGCTGATGTGCACGGCCGACGTCAACCTACAATGCGAGACTGACCTGTTGGGATAAAGGAGTGACTGGAATAGAAGTCAGGCAGGCAAGGCTGGGATGATAGCCTCGAAGGGGGCGCACTATGTCGTTGTACGGGTGCTGAGAAGTTGGTTCGCGAAAGGCTCGTGTGGACAGTGCTGGCGCTCGCTCACTGCACTGCAGGTTGGAGATGCGGCGGAGCGAGACTCCCGAGATGAAGGCTTGGCGGGCCAAGCGGCTGACGTAAGACAGCTGGATGCCGTCACCCTCCGGTCACGTGGACTGAACTTGAGTCATGCTGCTTTAACACCCACTGACTGCAACTGCGACTGCAGCTCCGCCTTCCTCCTACTCTCACTCTCTCATCACTCTCTCGCTCTCTCACTCTCTCACCCTCTTACTCTCTCTTCTTTGCAGGCATTGTCTTCTGCCCTGACTGACAGAGGTGTGCTGACTGTACAGACAAAGCGAGTAGGGTGACCCGCCATGATGATGTTGCTCTTGGGCCATGAATACTCTTGCTAATGCATTTATCTACAGAGTGCTCTGTATCCTACTAGCGTGTGGCACATCAAATGCTGCTCTTGACTCTTGACTACTCTCTACGACAAGATGCCAACCTGATTACTGCCGCTGGGGACCTGACCATGATTCCGAATACACTTGGATCCTTCTTGTGAATCCCAATCAGTGCCAGTACTGCTGTCATGGTCAGCTTTCTCGACTATGACTGACAAACCTCTTCTGATCGTGGTACACCATTGCCTGCCTCATTCTTGGGCCTGACGACAGGCCGAGGAGTCAGAAACAAGCGTTCCACATAGGGAAGTGTGGACGATTGACGAGTCAGGCAGGAACGTCAGCAGAATAAGGCCGTCGGGCTCAAGGCGTTCGACAACGCGACTCATGAGGAAAAGGAGGGAGGAGGGGGTGAGGTTGGAGCATGGAGTAGACCACAGTACGGCACGTTCTGACTGCTGCATGCAAACGACAAACGATGCAAGAGCGGCTGATTTTTGGAGGCCTTAGCCCGGCCTACAGAGGCATCGCTACTGGTTGGCTTCGAGTTGTGCTACCTGAGGTAGTCTAGAGTAGGATAGTATGGTATAGTGATTCGCCGCTCTTGTCTATAGGGAGTCTGGTAGTGGTAGTGGTAGTGGTACGAGTCGATGTGTTGAGATTACGGTTGTATCTACTTTTAAGTACTCACTAGGTACCTGGAGGCCCAACTTACCTAGGTATTCTCCAACTTCAAGCTGAACACCACTATCATGCCAAGTGTTGGGTACCACAGACTTTTATACCTAGGTAAGTACCTGTCAATACACAATATCTACACTTGGAACCCGTACGACAGGTCGACCTGATATCAGGGTGGCACAAAGTTGGAGTCGAACTGAGTGCCCTACGACAATGCCCAGAGATTAGATTGGATTGGCCATGGACTCCGTAGTGCGTAGTGCGTCGCTTACTAGGGCCTGTAGCCCTGCTCGGCCTGTCGGACTCTACAGTATCGTACATAGTATCGTCGAGCCACGGCCTCAGGGCCCTCCACGGCACCCGGGCCCTTAGCCTAAGGAGCCTCAGCCGGCGGGGCATAGCCGGTGACATGTGCATGTCTTAGCGACCACCACATTCAGTCGGCTGTTGGAGGATCTGGGGAAGTATCTGTACGTACTTGGTCGATGGCGAGCTCTGCAGTGCCGTGGGCACTGGTTCTTCGTTATCTTTACCAGGTTCACTACTAAGCCATCTTCTCCCCGGCCGATCCGGGCGTCGGCATTGGCCAAACCCCTTACTAGCTCCTGTCAAGCGTGGCCGGGCCGGCCGGCCACACCCTCCTCGCCACGCACGGTCCGGTCCTCAAACTACTGTACAGTTGATTCACACGGTTCACACGGTTCACACGGCTCAGTGGTTCAGTGGTTCATGGTTCGTAGGTCCCCGATCGAGGGTCGAGGGTCGAGGGTCGAGGGTCGAGGGTCGAGGGTCGAGGATTCTCGCTCCTCCTATCTGACATCTGGCATCTTTCGAGTTTGACATGCTCTTGTGAGCATGCAGAGAACCTACCTTATATCTCAGGCCTTCCTTGTCGCCATTCGCTGCCCGTGCGGCCAATGTAACCTTATCATGGCCCCATGCCAGTATATATGCTTATTCTGGTCCTTGGTAGTCAAGCCAAAAGCTTGGGCTGTGCTGTGCGTGCGCTGCAACTCGTAACCCTGAAGCCGGAGTTGAAGCGGGGCCATACATAGCCTGCTTGAGTGTGAGAGCGAGCGGGCAAGAGCAGAAGCAGAAACCCGACACCAGAACCCAGAACCAGTGCCGTAAAAGACACCTTCCACTTCACTTCACACCATACCACCCAATGGAGCCGGACCGGCAAGCTGCGAATGAGTACGAGCAGCGCCGCAAGCTCCAGAACCGTGCCGCTCAGAGACGGTATCGTATGTTTGTTGCATCTTGCCTCCTGCCTATTGCCTATTGCCTCTGAGAGTCTCTCCCTTTTGCAAAAGATACATCGTCTAAACTAAAGCCGTCGAACAGGCGATCGCATGAAACAGTGCAACACGATCCAACTGGTCGACTTTCGCAGCTTCACTCCCGACGCACTCGCCCTCGCCCTCACAAGAGACCCGCGGGAGCCTACTCCGAGTCAACAAGATTTCTCACCGTCCATCCCAATCCCCAACCCAAGTTCGACCTCCCTGACCGCCGCTCCCACGGCCTGGGCTGGCGAGCTGGCTTCCAGCAGCTACCCGCGCTCCGAAAGCATGGACAACGCGACTTCCTATCTGGATCAGTCGCCATGGAACATGACGGAAAGTGCGGCATCGGCACGAACTCACACACTACAACAGCAGCAGCAGCAGCAGCAGCACGGCACCAACCAAGTCTACTTCCCACACTCGCTGGATCTTGCCGACTCGACCTCGACCTCGACCTCGACCATGAACCATCACAATCACAATCCCCATTCTCGTGCCCACACCCACGACAGAGCTCGACTGGGCAGCAGTGACATGTCAGGCTCCCACGGAGCTCCGACACGTACTCTCACGATCGCCCCGACCCAGACCCAGAGGCAGAGTCAAAACCAGAATCAGGGTCGTAATCAGCCGTTGTCCAACATGCAGCTGCACCATCCCGAAGACCTGACCGACGACGGCCTGCAGTGCTCTAATGCAAGCTCCAACGAATTCATCTACAATCCGGACATGCAGCCCTACGGCCTCCTGGACTGGCAGAGGTCGAGGTCGCCTCCACGGGCTCACCGAGCGTCGTTCACCTCCGGTGTGTCGCTTAGAGAGATTGCCTCCTCCTCTTCTTCCTCCTCTGAGCACCAGGGACTGGTGTTGTCGTCAGCCTTTCCGGTTCGTGAAGTGGGTATACCATCCTCCCGTCTAGTCCAACATTATTCTCATGTCATGTTGTTGAATAAGATCACGCAGGCTCTAGCTGACCGTTCACTTGTGTGTATTAGCCGGACAAGCACGATTTCGTTGAAAAGCAGCCACCGCCTTCGCAGTCCCAGTCCCAGTCCCAGTCAGGCCAGACCATCGACGTCGCGTTTCGTCAAAAGGTGGAAGACATGGTGCAGGAGCTGCTTCGATTTTACCACGTCGGCTTGAGCCTCAAGCTGCTGCAAGAAGATCGGGAGCTTCATAGCAAACTCAGTGCCCTGCAGCGGCACTTTGCCATGGTCAAGATCCACCCGCCCCAGGGCAGAATCGAAAACTCTCTTCCGTCTCCCAATTCTAGCGTTTTCTCAGAGGGTACAACTGGCAACGGCAATGCTATTGCCTCGGTCTCAAAGGCAGCCACCTTTTCGGTTACGGGGGAAGACTATTAAACAAGCTAGATGGGCATTAGAATTCAGATGGGTCGGCCGACTAGAGAGGGACAGAACATCTGCGGTCTTGCGAAGGATCAGGATCACAAATCAATAGATGGACACCGATGGCTCTTGTCTTTATTTTTTCTTCTTTGGGCTACCCGGAACAGACGGGCGGTGGATAGATTGATAGAACCCAAGGCGGGCACATGAGATGCGTGGTGAATCAAGCATAAGAGTGACGAGATCAAATACAGTCTTTGTATTGCGATACTAAGCGACTTTAGTCAAGCACGTCTGACGAGAGGGTGACATGGGGCGGGACCTTTTCCCCCCCCATCCGTCACAGGGGCAACCTGGTTGCAACCGATTACTTCCACAATCCGACACCTGCTCGGGTCAAGGAATCCTGAGCATTCTCGACGCCTTCGGAAGCCAAGGCAAACAGACTTTCTTCCTCGCTAGACAGCGAAGTCACCTTGTATTGCCACTTGCGGCCCTCGTAGCCTTTCCTGGTGCTAACCTTGACCGCGATGTCTCCCAGAGGAGGTAGGATACTGGCAGCCATGTTTCCATAATTTGGCGGAGGTAAGATCCAGGGTTCCACAGCAGTAGCAGAAGTAGACGCCGACGCCGACGCAGGGCTGAGATCGTACCTGGTGACGACCATGCCGACGAAGCACAGCACTTCGACGGTGGCGAAATGCCGTCCCGGGCACAGGGCCGGGGCTCCGCCGAAGACTCGGAAGGCCACAGGCGATCGCTTCACCATGCTCTTCTGGGTGAAGCGGTAGGGGTCGAAGTCTTGGGCGCCGTCGCCCCACTGGGACCGTTCGTTGTGCAGACTGGCGCTGGGGATCTGCAGGATAGAACCCTTCTTGAGCAGGTATCGGCCTTCGAGCACCGTGTCTTCCAGGACGTACCGGGGACTGGCAAACGAGGCCCGGGTCCGCAGCGTCTCCTGGTAGATAGAGAACAGTAGTGGACATTTGGTGCGGAGTTCGGCCGCGTCCAACGTCCAAACCTCTTTGGCACCCGCACCCGCATCCGCATCTGGCTGCTTCTCGACTGTGAACACTTTCTCCACCTCTTGCCGAACTTCGGCGAGCAAGGTCTGCCGCGATAGGATGTTGACCAGAGTCCAGAAGGCCGTGGGCACTGTGTTGGACAAAATGCCTGTTCCGCCGGGGACTTCTAGGCGCGCGATGGCCTCGATCGGCACTTGGTTGTCTAGGCCGGTCTGGCATCTATTCTGCACCATCAGCGAGCCTCGTTTCCACGCCCCTCGGCGATAATAGTCAATCATCCTCTCCGCCAGCCATTCTCGCTGCCGGTACGACTCTCTCGCAGTATACTGTGGGTATACGTTGACCAGAAGCATGGTCAAATTCGACTCGTACGTCCTGGAGGGAGTCAGAGTCAGCGGAACGTGTGTCAGAAGACCGAGAATCTCATCTCACGACGGGCCTACCAGAAATTCGCTTCGTACTGGTCGTTGTCGATCCGATAAGGGTTTTCGGGACCATAGACGGCATCGGTGCTGGAGATGGAGATGACATGTCTGGTCCACTTCCACAGATCGAAAGCAACGTGCTGCCCTTCCAGCTCGTTGAGAAAGCCCTCCAGGTCCTTTAGCATGGGGGTATTCATCATGTCCAGTCCACGCCCGGTCAGTGAAGGTGACATGGCATGGACAAGCTTGCGGTGCGCACCGTCACCGCCGCTCTCGATCTCCCGGAGGATGTGGAGATGGCGGCCGGTGATGCCTCCGAGACGCTCGGCGACAATGGTCAAGATGGGGTCGAACGAAAGCGTCTTTGCGTTTCTCTGGATCACCGTCACGATCTGAGTGCTCCCCGCCACGTACGTTTTGCCATTGGGCATGTTGATTGTGTAGATTGGTAGATCATTGTTCCGGCTTCCATCTGTTGTCAGCACACCCCAGGGACGCCGGGAGGCCTGCAAGGGGGAAGGGGGAAATGGGAGAGGAGGCTTTAGGCCCGACGTACCACAGTTGCATGTAGTAGGCGCTTCCATACCGGAGAAAACCTATTAGATGACCAATGACTGGCAGCTTGGATGGCAGGAGAGGAGGCTCGCGCGGATCCAGCCTGGCACTGAAGGCCTTTTCGACAACGATGGCAAGGAGGAGGACACTTGCAAGTCCGATACCTGTTCTGACTAGAACGCTGATGACCGAGTCCATGTCAATATTCGCGTTGGGGAACTCTCAATCTGGAGGTGTCGGATTGGAAGACGGGGTGGAAAGCCCGATTCAAAAGGGCTTCTTGAAAGTGTTCCAATGCACAGACAGACTCCCACTGGACATGCCCAGATGCGCTTTTGACCCGTAAATTAAACACGACTGGTCGCTATTTATTCCTGCTCTGGGGCACGCGGTGCAACCCATGCACAAGGCTCTCCTCATTTTGCATCCGACGCGGTTCGAATAGCGTTGCGAGGGACGAGGGACGAGGGAGGCATCAGAAGGTTGAGTTGGTTGATGCTCGTGTTCTTTGCCTGTTTGGTGTTGGCGAACAAAAAGGAGGGTCCATGTGAGCAATCTGTCGCTACTGGTGTATTGTTCAAGCAGGCGCTGTGTGCGTGTTTCTGAAATCCTGAGTCTATGCCGCCATCCATCCGAGCCCTGATTCCTGCGTGCTATTGGATCAGTGTCTTCTTCACCATTCATTCTAGCTCAATAACGGCAGGCTCAGCAGAGAGGGCACGATTATTCAAGCTGCAGCGCAGTACAGTGTATCCTTTCCAGACCCGACGGACCCGGACCGCAGCGTTGTCATGTTTCAGAGGATTCGCCGCGCATCTCGACCGTGAAGCTCCAAGGGACAACAAGGCACACACTGGTTGGTCATCTCACATTAGCCTCGCAAAGAACAGCCAGGCCTACCATCACACTGCCTTTAGTGTTGCGGGAATCTGCATGCGGATCATCCTGCTCGGCTCGAGAGACAGCCATCCTGCTAACACAACGATGACGGCCAGCCCTGGGAGGAGAGGAGGGTAATAGTACTCTTGATTCTTGCGACCATCACCATCACTGTCAGCCGGGGAAAAAGCAGTTGTTGTATTTTGTTCGGAGAGGAGAGATCTCCTTGTCTCATGACATGGGTGAAAGACGCGGCACCAGGTACATGTACTCTGTAGTATAGAGAACAGGCAGGTAGGGCCTGAGGCCTCCTACGAGGAGATCATTAGAGAAATCTAGTAAGAATTTCGTGGCGCGAACTGCCAATCTGGGATGACACTAACCTTGTTGTGAATTAGCGGTGCAGCTCACTGCCAAAGTACCGTATCAAAAACCAACCTTGGTCTTCTTGCCATCAATATCAGTCTTGGTCCAAGTTCTAACCTCTAACAACACTTGACTGTATCTCGAGATGGCTGACTAGGAGTCTACAGGACTGTGCGGTACTGTACGTCCTACGAAGTCGGTGCCTAACCGGGTGTCGTGTCCACTGCCATCATCGGTGCCTCTCAGAGTACAGAGCCATGAATTCTCCCGTCTACAGACCAACGTACCTAGGTAAGCTCGCTCGCCATTGGCATCTCGACTTCTCCGTAAGCAAAATGCCAAAGGATATGAAAATGGACAATTTCTGGCCGCGGCCACGTACGGCGTGCCGGGTGCTCTTGTGCTTTGTGGAACTCTGACCTGGCTACATACTAGTTTGTGGTTCCTGCTGACAGCAGAGGCCTCCAGCCAGCACGGCCACGGCGACAAGTCACACGATCTGAGTTGATATACACGAGCGATGTTTCCTTTCCGTCTCACAGAAAAAGTTTCTCCTCCTACGTGATCAGACGACGCGCCGACCGTTCCTGTGCCTGCACCAGCCTGGGACGCATCGATGAGACGAGGCGAGGCGAGACAAAAATAGACGGAATGTGCCGTGCCTGGAAAATGGGATGGGTGGGTGGATCGTGCATCCTGTGTACACTACCTTACTCAGGAATCTGGTCACATATGTCGTGCGCAAGACCGTGACTGCAACTGCGACCAGTCCAGCTCGCACTTGCCCAACGAGCGAGCACTCTTCTCAGACAACCCCAGTCCAGCTGACAGAACGAAGTTCAGAACTCGGTATCACTATTCTTCCGGGACCAGTCCCCTTGGTTACTATGGAATCATCAGGTCAGGGCAGGTCCATTGTTCCACAACTACAGCTGCAGCTACACAACGCTATCAGAGGTGCAACCTTCCTTCCCCGTCGTAAGTGGCAGTGCCCCACTGCCAGTGCGAAGAAAACGGACGGTCCGGGCCACTGGCGATGCAAGTGTGCTTATCATCATGATCAGTTTCAAGCCAGACCAAACTTCAGGTGATGCGGCCCCATCTCGGAGCTCCAGTCGCCCTCCGTCTCCACCAAGGGGTTCATCCTGACCTGAATGTCGGTCGACGGCATGGCAATGCCGGACATGATGTAAGTCAGCTTGGGGTAGGACCAGTGGCCCAGCACAGGGTCGACGTCGTAGCGAGCAATGAGCATGGCAGCGATGCAGAGGATCTCGAGGGTGGCGATCTGCCGGCCGGGACACAAGTGAGGTGCCCCCCCCTCCCCCCCAAAGGATCGGAAGGAGTGGGCCGGCCGACTGATGGGCTTGTGCAGACCGCTAGGACCGTGACCGGGACCGGGACCGGGACCAGGCCCGTCTTCGTCTTTGAACGCATCATCAGTCCTCACGAAGCGAGCGGCATCAAAGTCTTTGCGATTGCTCCCCCATCACTTCTCCTCGGCGTGCACGGGTGCGAAGGGCATGAGCACTAATGTGTTCTTGACCAGATAGTGTCCTCGATCACCCGTCGGGCCGACATGCCGATGCCGTGTTGCCGCAGCACCTCGTGGTAAGTGCCCAGCAGCAGCGGACAGTCCTTTTTCAGCCGGGGCACGTTGAGGGTCAAGACGACCTGGCCATCCTCCAGCACCTTGCGCTCGACCGCTCGGCCAATCTCGGTTCTCACAGCGCGCAGAAATCGAGGACGGGAATAGATCTCGCGCAGAAGCCAGAACAAGGCCGGCGCCGTGTTGGACAGGATTGGTGTCGACATGCCGGCTTCGAACTGAGCAATGTCTTGGACTTTGAATCCATGGTCCTCGAACAGCTTGCGACGCATCGTCACAAGTGTTGACGCTCCCGGGTTGCCAGCCTTGTAGTCGACATGAACTACCCATTTGTGTATGCCCAAGGTCGGCTCCCAGGAACCGATGTCGTCCATGAGTGGCTTGAGCTCGGCGAGCACATCGTGGTTCATCTGACGAGTCCCTTCGGGCGGATACAAGGTGTGGTGAATCAACCGGGCATGTTCGGCGCCCATTCCTTCGTTGTAGCGTCCGCTGTCTGCGAACCATGTTTTCCACAGCTCGGACCGCAGACCGGCAATCCGCTCGGCCATGTAGGGGATCAGGGGCGCGAACGAGAGGGTTTTTGCGTTCCGTTGGATGCTGTGGATGATTTGAGACGTGTTGACCGTATAGGTGCGTGTGCCGAAGATGTCAAGGGTAAAACAGGCCGGTCGAGTCTTCCGTGCTACGGCGGTATAGTATTCCGGTCCTTTTCGAACCAAGCCAATGAAGTCGCCCAGCAGAGGTACCTTGTGCTTGAGCAACGGTGGTTCTCTCTTGTCCAGGACGGGTTGGAGCAGCCATTCTCCGTAGAAAAGAAATCCGTAGACGAAGAAGGCGGTGAGGACGTGGTAGTAGAGGTTGATCATGACGGCGAGGCCAAGACAACAGAAGAGTGGAAGAGTTGTTGTACGTTGTGGGAGATGACAGGTGTTGTGTGCTTGTGCTTCGTGGATAAAAGAAGACAGATAACTGAGAGACTATAGACGGTAGATGATGCTGGCCTTGGTAGACCTGACCCGACCACAGATGCTGTCTTTGTCTTTGGTCTTGGAGGCAGGAGGCAGGTGCCGCGGGTCTCTATAGAAGATGGAGGGCTCATCAAAGCACGAGCAAGTCTGGCCTGATGAGATTGAGATAAACATACAGTATCACTATCACGGCCTTTTCCCCCAGACCGAGGGTGATTGACTGATTCACAAATGCAGATACATACTGATTGTATTGTGGTGTTGTGGAGTCGGAGTCGGTCGAGTCTCCGTGAGCAAGACAACTCACAGCTAGACAGTTGGAAGTCATAGAGCATTGGTCGACGGTAGACAATCATAGAGCATGGGATGCCCTGCCACCACCAAGGGAAAGGGAAAGGGACTGCCAGGTGTCCGGCAATAGGTCGTCGTCGCCACTGAATATTGTATCCTGCAGGTGTAAGCGCTAAGGTATTGTACAAGATAAGGCTCGATGAGCTCAGGGGTCAACCCTTCCCCTTCCCCTTCCATGTTCTTCCCCGAACTGCTAGAGTGTAATCCTAACCCTAACCCTAGCTAGTAACATCCACATCTTTATCCTGATCATCACTATCACCGTCACCATCATCATGCACCTCCCCTCATCATGCATCATGCATGCTTGCTGACATAGCTGATATTGCATTGGCAGAACAGAGAGCCCATATCCTGTAGAGGACAGAGCACTAGTGGTACCTCACACATCACACATCACAGGTCACACGACGGAACCTCCCGGGACCCAACAGTGCCACAGAGATGTGTGAGCCCCGAATCCAACCGAACCGAACAGGGAACAGGAGCACACCTGCCCAGCCTCAATTCAGCCGCCACTGAATGGGCTGCGAACGTCTCCTTCTCCGATGCGGCATCGTCGGCAGAAACGCCAGTGTGCTATACACAAGTATTTTCGAACGGTCAAGTGTGGAAATCGGGAGACGGATTTCTCGGGTACACGACAATTGATGAGTACGACAGCTGAGGAGCTCGGGAGATGGAGAAGGAGAAGCTGTGGGTTGTGTGTGCATGACCACATCGCCAACCTGTGTCACGAACGATAAATCGACATCTTTCAAAGCCGGATACTGCTTGACACCATGAAAGACCTCCATCAAGCCTTCGTGAGAGATGTGGTGACATGGCGTGGTTGTCTCGGTCTCGGTCCCAGGGCATGAGGAAGCACTCCTACAATATACAGTTCAGCTTCCAAGGCATTGACTTACAATCATATTGCGGTATCGACACCGATATCGGGAAACGGCAAAGCCTAAGTATCACATCTACATCCAGCTGAAATGGCTCGTTTCGACGGCAAAGTCGTGGTCATCACGGGCACCTCTTCAGGCATCGGGCGCGCCACTGCAAAGCTGTTCCTCGACGAAGGCGCGTCGGTGTTTGGCATCGACCGTGCACCTGTGCCTGTGCCTGTCCCAACATCGACAGCGGCAGAGACAGAAACAGAAACAGCAACAGCGACAGTGACATCAGCAGAGTCAGAGACAGATACAGGGCCACGATTTCTATTTCACCAGTGCGACCTCACCGCGCCCAACGCAATCTCCACGGCCATGTCGTCGTGCCGGGAGCGATTCGGCGCCCATGTCGACGTGCTGGTCAATGGGGCGGGAGTACTCGACTCGTGGGCCAGCGCCGACAGCGTGACCGACGACGACTGGCAGCGCGTCATGGCCATCAACCTCGACGCACCGGTCAAGCTGATGAGGGCGGTGCTAGCCACGATGAAGGCGCAACGATCCGGTGTCATCGTCAACGTGTGCAGCAAGGCCAGTGTCAGTGGCGCCTCGGCCGGCGTCGCCTACACCGCAAGCAAGCACGCCCTGGCCGGAGTCACCAAGAACACGGCCTGGCGGTTCCGCCGGGACGGCATTCGCTGTAACGCAGTGTGTCCGGGGGGTAAGTCAGTATTTGGTACCTAGTGACTATATCCATCCATCTTCCATTCATACATACACCGAGTCATACATTCATCTATCCACCTGTCCTTCCATCCATCCACCAAGCCATCTCTGTACGTAATGTACCACATTCTCTGCTCTGTCACTGTCCATCCTGTCTGTTTATTTGTTGGAATGAGTAGTTGTGGTTTTGGTTATACCACGGCATCAGCTAAGCTCCTTTCTCATATCAGGCGTCGCCACGAACCTGGGCGCCTCAGTTGTGCCCGGGAATTTCGACATGCAGGCATTTCAGACTTTCCAGTGAGTCTAGTCGAGTCGAACGAATTCGAATTCGAATTTTATTTTGAGTCCTGCGTCTCTTTCAAGGTGGATCATGGATCTTGGATCGTGAATCTGGGATCGTGGATCTGGATCTAGCAACCATTGGTTAAGATAGACAATGGTTGACTGAACTGACGTTTGTGGTGAGACAGGCCTGTCATGAACCTCCATCTCCACGACAACGACGACAAGTCGGGCGTGCAGATGGCGACACCGCATATCCGGCCGGAGGATGTGGCTGAGGGAATCGCCTTCCTCGCGTCCGACCAGGCCAAGATGATCAATGGCGCCATGTTGCCCATCGACACGGCGTGGTCAACCATATAGAGAGACGGAGATGGAGATAGAACACGGACTATAGAGGTATAGAGATGGAGGGATATAGAGATGGAGATGGAGATACGGAGAGAGAGATAGAAATAGGTACGGAGTACGTTCAACATACTCTTACTGAGCGGAGCAAATGGAAGGGAACGAATGGAAGGGAACGAAGTAGAGAAAATTTCGGATGAGTATGAGCAAGAGCAAGAGTAAGACTGAATTCAGATCAAGAGTGAGAGTCAACCTGTACTTCTCTTGATCGCTATAGAAAAGACACATGATTTAGGATCACTTATAATAGATACGCACCACTTGCATGTCAAATGAAGGTTGAAATGTTCCATGTTCTCTATCAAAGAGTCGCAGGGGGAGCGCATGCTACATAGTACTCCGTAAAGTATAGCCTAAACCATCCTCTCTGGTTAAAGGGCAAGGCTGGGAATGCCGAAGTTTAACATTGCAGCGTCATCTGCCTTGTTCTTTTCTCTTTTCTGTTTTCCGTTGTGTGCCTTGTGGACCCGACTTTACTTTCCCTTCTCAATCCGACTCAGGGGTTCTGTCTGTGTATAAACTAGATGAGACTCAGCTTCTGTCTGTCTGTCTATTAACCCAGACCCGACCCGACTTGACTTGATGTGGATTGATGTGACTTGACGTGACTAAGTGGCAGTATCAGTGGCTGTGGCTACCGCCTGACCCTCGGCTGTCTTCTCTTGAATAAGATGGTCTTCTCCATATCAGGAATCACCTGCGTCACAACCTCAGTCAGCCGATCGAGTGCAGAGCTCAGAGTTCAGAGTTCAGAGTTCAGCTTGTCAGGGAACGACACAGGAATAAATGGAAAGAACAGACAACTCACCATCGTCTCAAACGAAGTATTGGCATACCGGCCAGTCTCTCCATCAGCCAGCTTCAAATCGTACATGTGCAAGATCTTGCTCAAGATGACCTTTGTTTCGTCGGCGGCAAAGAACCGGCCTGGACAGGCGTGGCGGCCCATGCCCCAGTTGAGACTGTTCTTGTTGGACGCCACGAATGTGTACTTGGCTCCAGATGGGTCAGTGTTGGTGTTGGTGTTGGTGTTGGTTCCGGTATATTTGCCCTTGCCGTCATGATTGTCGGTGTCTTTGCCCTTGCCGTCTTGATTGTCGGTGTCCTTGTCCTTGTCCGCGGCCGCCGCCGCCCCCTGCTGCCGCAGCTTGTAGAACCGGAAGGCGTCGTAGTTGTCAGGGTCCGGGTAGATGGCGGGGTCGCGATTGACGCTGCCGGCGGGCAGTTCGATGTTCGACCCGGCGGGTAGGACGGTGCCGTCGTGGAGGGTGAGGTCTTTGAGGGTTTTGGGACGGCCATTGGCTGGTGGTGGGTGTGTTAGCAGGGATACTGTACATTAAGGGTTAAGGTTAGGGTTAGGGTTCAACATCAATATCAACCAAGCATTAACATAAACGTAAACCTTATACCTCAAAGCACTCGACATGGATACCAGACTCGACACCTCTCGACACCTCTCGACACCTCTCGACACCTCTCGACACCTCTCGATACCTCTCGATACCTCTCTCGATGCCTCTCTCGATGTATCTCCACACCTCTCGACTCCTCTTCTCTCTCGATACCTCTCAACTCAGGCGGGTAGTACTCACTCAGGCCCGGCGGATTATACCGCTGAGACTCCTTCATGAAACTGTCCAGCATGACCAGCTGGCTCAACACCCCCTTGGTCAACCCCTTGGACCCCGACTTGGCCATGGCCTCGTCGAACTCGGTGCGCAGCGGCTCGTGCAGGTGCGGGTAGGCGGCCAGATCGAACATTTCGTGCAGCATGGTGAAGTTGGTGGAATGGATGGCGCCCATGGCGAGCGCCAACTGCAGCTGGGCCTGATGCCGCAGGTTTTCCGGCGTGCCAGCCTGGTCGCCGAGCCGGTCCATCATCCACTGCATCATGTCGTCGGGTTTCTGTTGTTGTCTTTGTCTCTCAACGTCCGCGAGACCGACACCGACACCGTGGCCGGTGTCACCATCATCGTCATTGTCACCGCTCTTGCTCTTTCTCTTGCTCTCGCTCTTTCTCTTGCTCTCGCTCTTCATCTTCAGCCGCTTCTGCAGAACCGGCACCACCAACCTCTCAGCTTCCGCCCGCGTGGCTCGCATGCGCGCCGTCTGAGGCATAAACCGCGCCGCCAGCGGGCGCAACCACACGGGCCAGACCTTGATGGCCTTGGCCGCGGCAAACGCATCCATCCAGTAGTCGACCGAGATGCGCAGCCAGTCCCGGTCGCGGCACAGGTCGGGCCCGACGAAGCAGCGCGCGGTGGCGGCCGCGATCATGTTCTGCGTCGCCCGGCACATGTGCACCGGCGTCCAGTCGTCACACGGGTCGATCTCCTGCTCCAGCTTGCCCGTCAGCCGAGCCAGGCCGGGCGTGAGGTCGCGGTTGATGGCCAGCTCTTTCAGCTCGTCCGAGATCAACCACCCCGTGTAGTGCGTGGCGAACAGGTCGGCGATCGACCCCTTGAAGCTGAGCTCGTCGTCCTTGAAGTCCACCAGGTCCGGGTAGAACTTTTGGCCTGCGATGATGCGCGTGCCTTCGGTCGTGCTGATTTGGAAGATGCCGTTCCTGAACTTCCGGTACCCTTCACTGAGCAGCGCGTTGGCGTCTGAGACGTATTTCCTCTTGCGTGCTGCCAGGGACCCGACCTCCAGTCCGACAAAGGGCACTTGGGCTGGCCGTGGATTGGGGGGCGCGTGCGTGTGCGAGTGGGTGTGCGAGTGGGTGTGGGTGTGGGTGTGGGTGTGGGTGTGGGTGTTGCTGTTGGTGTATCTGTATACCATTGTATAGATGAGGCCGGCCACAGCCACGATCCAGGCGATCAGGGCCTTGTCCGAGGCCTGAGCCCAACCATCTGCCACTTTCGGCAGGGCCAGGTGCAGGTGCGGCTTGATCTCCAGAGAGGACATTGTCATTGTGATGGTCTGGTCTGGCTGGGCTGGATCCTGTGGTCTGTGGTCAGTGTCTTGTCAGTGACTTGAGCCTTTCTCTTGGATTTGGTCTGGTCTGGTCTCGCGTCTTTGCTTGTACACCTCGACGAAGACGAGAGCGTTCATCCGCCAGGAATAGACTGACAGCGACATGTTGCTTGGGGCTTGCTTATAAGTCGGCGGTCGGGAGGCTTGGGCATAGGCCTGGCATGGCATCTTCATCTTGATGGCCGGGAGCAACCAAGGGTCTAGCGTTGGGGTCTGGGGTCTGGGGTCCAGCATCCAGCGTGGAGCGTCGAGGGTCCAGCGTCCCCAGGGAAAAGGGGCTTAGGATCCTAAGGCTTGCGTCCCTTTTCTGGGACTCAGGGGCTAAGTCTTACAGTATGGCCCCTCCCCATCAGGCGACATCTCAATGCCATTGCGCTAATGCTGCATGCTTACGTGCCAGCCATCACTACCAACACCACCACCACCACCACCCTGGACTCAAGCGAAACCAGTTGCAGAGACGACCGTGCCAGTGTCAGTTCCAGTGACAGTGCCAGGTACGGTACTGTATGTGCTGTGCTGTCTGAGCCGCGCTGGCATTGGAACACATTCTGGCACCCCTGCCCTGCCCCGCCCCACCACTAGACTCCTATCCTGTCCTATCCTGCCTGCCTGCCTGTTCTGTCCTGTCCTTCCTGCCTATCCTGTCCGGTCCGTCCTACAACGGCGAGGGTCGAGCATGGCCTGGTCAGCAACCTGCCAGTCTCGACGAGTCGCATCGTCTGTCTGTCCTGTCCTGTCAGAGCGGAGCTCAGCAAGCATGAGAATCAGAATCAAAATCAGAATCAGAGTGAGGCTCGGACTCGGAGTCGTCCCCAATCAGTACATGGACGGAGTACGGATACCTATTTGATGTCTGACAAGATCCAGGGCCGGAAGGGACGGAGACGGAGACAGAGCGGACTCAATGTACCCAGCTCTGTGTCTGTGCCACTTCACACCCATATGGCCAGGGACTTAAGTTTCCTGCAACCACCAAGACTCTTCCTCGCTCCAGTCTAGTCCAGTCCTCCAGTCCGTCCTTTCCGTCCTGTCCGTCCAGTATCAGTATCAGCATCAGCATCAGATCAGTATTAGGTTCAGCATCAGCACCGCATCAGTTTCAAGCTCACCGATGCCCCGGATTTAGATTTGTGTTTGTCTGTTCCAGTGATATTGATCTTGATCTTGACATTGGTATTGGTACTGTTATTGTTATTGTTATTGGTCTTGTCAATATACTTTACTATATGCTTGTCCAACAGATCCAAGGCCAACTGGCCGCCGTGGCAGCCGTGGCCGCTGGGTGGTTCACATTCCTTCAAGCGCGGCCATTGGAGGTGCTGTTCGGTGGTATGGTGGTGCTGGCTGTTTGTCGACTTCTTCTCACCGTCCGAACCCGGTTCTTCCATCTCTCGTCCATTCCCGGCCCGTGGTGGGCGGCATATACGCGGCTATGGCTTTGCAAGACCATTGCGTCGGGCGACTCGGCCAAGATCTTTACGGATATCAACAAGAGATATGGTGAGTTGGGTTGGACTGACACTTTCCCTTGCCTCATCCTCATCCTCATCCTCACCCTCAGCTTCACCCTCAGCTTCACCCTCAGCTTCACCCTCAGCTTCACCCTCACCCTGGACGAGACCCAAAGTAAAGACACTGACCAGACGAGAACAGGCCCCCTTGCCCGTATAGGACCCAACCATCTGATCACCGACGACCCCGACGTGACCAGACGTATCCTGGCGGCCCGGTCTCACTATACGCGTGGGCCGTGGTTTGATGCCATCAAGATCGACCCGCACGTTCCCAACATTGTATCGGAGCGACATACCGGCAAGCACAATCATCTCCGGCACCGCATGTCGGCAGGGGTAAGTTTGGATTTAGTTGTCTTGTCTTTATTTCTATTCCTACTTTGTTCCTGTTCCTATTCCTCCTATTCCTCCTATTCCTGCTATTCCTCCTATTCCTCCTATTCCTCCTATTCCTCCTATTCCTCCTATTCCTCCTATTCCTCCTATTCCTCCTATTCCTCCTATTCCTCCTATT